AAACGCATTGAAAAAGAGATTTAGAGTCTGTGAAGGCTCAACCCTCGGGTCGCTGATGTAAGGCACAAAAGACACGCACGGAAAGAGCCCGTCCCGGAGAGACCAGGAAGTGACATTTACTGTCTCCTGCAGCAACGCACATTCTTTTAGGCAGATTCCAAATGTCACCAGCACTTACCTGAGCTCCCTCTGCCACCACTGTGTTCATATACATAGAGCCGGGTGCCAAATAGGGATAAAATTGTTGTTGAACAATAGTTTTTTTAATGTTTGTCATTGAGATAGTAGAAAGAGAGGTGTAAATTGTTCGTAATAGCATAGCTGCGTGAGTAGCACTCAGATCTCACCAATTGTTCTCTGTGCCATTGCACACATTTCCTGAAAATCTCGTCCAAATTCTCTCATAACCTTTTGTGCTATGTTGCCAGTCATAGGTAACTAGTTATTCCCAACAATGATGGTAAATATAGGCTCTTGATGATAAATTGATGATGAATATTGGGTTTTGGGCAACAGCTTTTGGACTCAGCCACTCCACTTGCTCACATTGTAGTGATTGAGACCACAATTGAAGTGTTGTAGGGTATCATCTCTAACCAACTTGAAAAAGAAAAGGCTGCAATTACTGAACAGTTGGGTGTTTCTGATTGGAACAAATAAACGGTTGGAAAAAATCGATGTAAAGAGAATCAGGCTAACCAGAGTAATGTTGGGAGGACACCGTGAGGGAGACTGCAGAGAAGGAGCTGGATGGATGTCGAACCACTTCACTGATCTCTAATTACTAAGTCTGCTCTTGTTCATTACATGTGTGTCTTATTTATGGCCCAATGTGTTTTTATCCCTGAGGAAACAGCAGACGGAGCAGGATAAATGCAGTGACATGTGCTCCCAAGATATTTGTTCTGTTCACTAAAGAATTTATGGACAAAAGAGTAAATGATAAAAGATGGAAAGAGAAACTGGTTGGGAATCTTCAAGCACTGCATGCTTCATCCCACCTAACTAAAACGTAAAATTCAAGTATATATTTCAATTGCGAAAGTTCAATATAACATTGAGTTTTGTGAATGCGTGTTTGAATCTGAAACAAATATATGAGTCTGCCATTCTACATCATTGGCCCCACTGACACCGTTCAAGGCAATGTGGGTGAGGACGCGCTGACAGTCTCCCATCCAAGTAGTGAGCAGGCCCTGAGTTGCTTATCTGGAGAGATCCGGCTTTTGCATTGAGGTCAAAGATCTTATCTGCACCCATTGGTCCAACTCTGGCCTGTGTAGAAACACTACCGTACGAAACATCGATGAGATATCATGTGTGTTCACAACTCTCTCTATTGTCCCGATGAAGCCACTGTCAGGTGCATACATATTTGGAATATTGACAATTTAATGATTTGCAGGAAACACACATTGAGCCAATCATATTATAATTGCTAATAATATGAGAACAGATCTATAAGATAGATAACCCTTAATGAAGGAACATCCATTAACCACTGGGCTACCAATTGTCCCCAACATTTTTGAACCATCCAAAAAAGCTCTCTAAAGAACTGTTGTTCCTTCACCCGATTTAGATGTTAATACCCTGAATTAAAGCTGACACTGAGGAGTTTTAGTGCCTTGTTTCTTTTATTTAAAATCCGTTGAGGTGGCGTCAATAGTCCCAAATATGAGAAGTGTGTGGATGGTCCTGCTCTCCTGCTGATCCACTCACTCTGCTCTGCACACAAACTGTGATTAGGTTTGGGAGTGTGTCTAATTAGCCCAGATTTCCTTGTTGTCACTCAAGAAAGTGACAAAAGCCAGACGAGTAAAACATTGAACGTGTTCTTGATGATGGAGAACGGCACACTTTTGTTTGGTTCTAAGCACCAGAGCGTCTTTTGTCTTTGACGTCAGCTTCATTTCACTTAATTAAAAGTTGATCTGTGGTGTGTCGCAGCAAAGTACTGATCTGATTATTCAGAACAGAGTTAACAATGAACAGTTCAAAGCAAACAGTGTGTCTGGAGAGAGAGGCTGTGGAGGTTTGGATAAAAATGGAAGAGATATTATGGTTGTTGTAACTGCTGCACACAGGGCAGAGGCAGGAGGGGACATCGCCATGGCAGCCATTTTGTCATGATTCCATTTTGACATGTGTGAGTTTATTCCATATTAGAATAATAGAATTATATTTCAACTGAAGTACAGGTGGAAAGAAGCTTCAAGAAGAAAATTTATAAATGTTTTCCGCACAACAAATGATTGTGATTTATATGAAAATAGTTCGATTATAGTTTATGCTCTGACAAAGAAGGTGTGAAACTTTGTGACAGTGTTTCTTATGAATTAGTCCAGAAATTACAGGAGTTACAGGAATTGCATTAGCTCTAAACCACAGATTAGAAACACAACCTATACTCCTGAAACAAATGCATACAGTAATATTTTTTTGTATTAAAATATAACAACAAAAAACAAGTTAATTTGTTAAACGCCTTTACCATTTAGGGCAGATCTCTTTAGACCTCACTAATTTTAATTGATTTTACTAAATCTTCCCATTTTCATTCATTTAGAGAAATTGTTGTTCAAAGAGAAAGACATAGTAATCCTCCCTCAGTTATTTAAGATTTATGTATCAACCCCCTTTAATACGCTCCCTCTACAAACTACTCCTGTATTGTGTGTACTGACATATTTGTTGTGTTGGTGAGCATGACGCACACTATGTTTTACACTGGCAACAGAGTCAGTTACAACTGTTCAAAAGGTCGGAAAAATTTACAGAAAATATCTTTGGACAAACAGACATAATGCCTAAGCACCGACATTGAGTGAATGAGATTAACATGTAAATAGAGACAAACTGCGGCCTTATCACTTCATATTCGTTAAACTATACCAATATATATTCTAATTAAAGACAGCCTGACTTTATGAACTTTTTGTGATGATACGAGCTGAGAATTTTGACCTTTGGAGAGATGCTAATTCCAGCTGCTTTTGCACTGTTTCATTACTAATCTGGTGTTAATGATGGAAATGTAATGTGGTCCAATAAATCTTGGACTATTAAAGTGTGAGTTAATAATGGGGCCAGTAACTTCATTATGCGTGAAAGAAGGTCAAGTGTCATCTGTGAATTATACAGCAGCAGAGATCCTCGTTTGGAAATGGAACTTATCATCTGCTAGTATGAGGTCAGGGTTATCAGCAGTCAACGGAATAATAAATTAATAAAGAAAATACTTTTTATTGCTCGAGGTCCTGGGTTTGATTCCACCTCCACGGCTTTCAAGATTCAAGAATTTATTTTGCCGTTTGCAGTAAAACCACATTGGAAAAACTGTGCAAGACTACAGTGTGCACCAGATAGAGAAGACGTTACACCCCAGTGCTATCCTGCTGAAACACTTTCTGTATGGAGTTTGCATGTTCTCCTCGTGTCTGCAAAGTTTTCCTCCAGGTGCTCCAGTTTCTCCACTACTAAAAAACATGTACAAAAGGTATGAATGAAATGTGTGAGTCAATGGATGGTGTTGGTGAGGAGCTTGTCCTGATCTGAATCTGAATCTGAATCTGAGGAGCTTCTGTCATCACCGTGTGTGGATGGAATGCGAATTACCCGTACGCCAATATTGTAAAGCGCTGTGTATGACCTTGGTCTGTGAAATGCGCTATATAAATAAAGATTACCTACCTACCTACTTACCCTGTAGACAGCGCCAGCCACGGAGCAGGTGAAATGTTTTGTCAGAAAGCCCTATACACACAGAAAGTTGCAAAGGGTTGAATCAATATTAGAATGGAAATGTAATGGTGCATACAGACTTGGATTTGGTTTCTGTTTAAATTAATTTGCGTACCGCTCCTTCAAAATGGTGATGTGTAACCAAAAGATGTGTTCATGCACCACTGGGTAAACGATAACTGTGGTATTTGCAACCGCTCTGAAATGAGGAAGATAGGATTCCACTAAAGCTATTCTCCATGGATCAATATCTATTAACCTTTCAAGTTAATCAATCTGCTCTTATAGGTCATTAGACTCATTATGATTTTAACTAGGATTGACCAGTTTGTCAAAAAATATCGAAAGGTTATATTTTCTGTGAATTAAACTCCATCCATTCATTTTCTTTCACTTTATCTGTGTTCTTGTCATGGAAGCAGCAGTCCGAGCAGACGCCCAGACTTCTCTATCCACTCACTCACTATACAGGCCTTAAAATTCAATTGTGTAGTTTAAGAGGTAAAATAATGCAAGAACTGCATGTGTATGATAGCAAGAAGGTCCTGGGTTCGAATCCCGGTCGGAACAGGGCTTTTCTGAGTGGTGTTTGCATGTTCTCCCCGTGTCTGCGTAGGTTTCCTCCGGGTGCTCCGGTTTCCCCTACCACTAAAAATATGCTCACAAGGTAAAAATCCTCCAGCTCCGGTAGTCCTGACAAAGCCGAGCATTAACGTCTGGAGATGGGTTCCTGGGCGCTGTACTACGGCGACCACTGCTCCTGACATAAGCCTTAGTGGCATCAGGATGGGTCAAATGCAGAGGACGAATTTCCCTACGGGGACAATAAAGTGCACACTTACAATTACATTTGTATGAGGATTCTTTGCTTTCTGCCACTGGGGTTTTTGAGTTTTCCCTATGGACATTTATTGACATCATTGGACATTGGTTATCCTGTTATTCTATGGACAGGATGTGTTTTATTATTCTATTTTCTTAAGTTCGAATAGTTGAATTTTCTTGTCTGCTGTTTGCAAATCTTCAATTCTCTGACATCGTTCGAGACGACTGCTGTTTTGGGCGATACAAGATGTCTATTGTTTGGGCAAACATTATCTATACACGTTTGATGTTCTTAAAAATTGGTATTTTCTACTCAATTAGCAGATTTGAGAGCCCCAGGGAGAATAGGAGACAACCACTATAAGCATTTTTATTTTGCTTACTCATTTCAAGTGACCTAACAGCATTCTCTGCACTGTTTCTGGCTTCAGGTGAGGATGACGATGACGAGGACTGTGGGGAGGAGAAACTTCCATCCTGTTTCGACTACGTGATGCACTTCCTCACCGTGTTCTGGAAGGTTCTGTTTGCCTTCGTGCCGCCCACAGAATACTGGAACGGCTGGGCCTGCTTCGTTGTGTCCATCTGCATGATCGGCCTGCTCACCGCTGTCATTGGTATGCACACTGTTTATATTTGTACATACATGAAATCAAGTTACCATAAGTAGCCTTTTCTTTAATTATTATTCAAACAGAAAACAAATCTGCGAGGATTAAACACACGCAACAATAGTTTTCCATTCTCGAGATGGTGATTACCAGTTAAGGCCCAGTCTTTTGTTAGTAGTCTTTAATGTTTGATACACAGGGCGTGTGTATTAATATTTTAGCACACAAGCCTGGTTGCTAACTGCTGCGATGTTGGCAGACTTAAAAGGCACCAGTCCTTTTGAATCAATATTGAGAATTTATATATTCACAAGTGTCATTGATCAAGACTATTCATATCACAGCATGTCTTATTAAGTCAAAATTATGAAAACACACAGTCTCACATCTCACAGGTTTTTTTCTCCCACAACCTGTTCCCTCCTTGCGTTTTAGCAGCTTTGAGTTTGCCTGATTCTGTAGTTTCTCATTGCTCCTCTAACACATGTCTTTTTGCAGGGGATCTGGCGTCTCATTTTGGCTGCACGGTCGGCCTCAAAGATTCTGTTACTGCGGTTGTGTTCGTGGCTCTGGGGACCTCAGTACCAGGTGAGTCCAGACCTGACTTCGGACCCCAGACTGTATAGAAATGGACAAGAACTAATCCCTTAGCTCATTGAAGCCCAATAGGGAAGTGCTCACAGTCAAGTTTTGCTCCAACTCGCTCTACATTAAAAAGTAAACTCCTCTAGCTCAGTGACCATTTATGACTGTCATACTCACCATTTTGGGCTTCAAAAATCTGTGGTTTAGTTTGTAATCATGGTGTTATATCTTGATTTTGATTCGTTATAAATCCAGATCTGAGCTTTATAAGGATTGACCAATCAGATGCGTTCATTCTCAGGGGAAAGTCCAGCTTGCCTTAGCAACCATCTTAGCAACACTACAGGGGCCCTGTTATGGCACTAAGCTAACATCGTTGGAACAAATGCCCATATAAGGCATTGGCTCCAGTTATCTTAAGTTCAAATTAGCTTCTTCCGCACGTCAGCACTCTGTGAGTCCACTCCTGATATACGGCCTATACCCCAGACCCGGATTCCACACCTTCCAGACTCACGCTGCATGAGTTTCCTCAGCGCCGTTTTAATTACCCACAATGCACCGGGTCTGAGCCAGTACAAGCAGGACCTTTGTTTTATTACAGTTGAGATTTATCTTCAGAGGGTCTTTATGAGCATAAGACTCCCCAGACATCTCCAATTTGTAATATATTTATTTTCCACTGCTTTCTCACTCCCGGGACCTCCTTGACATTTATTATTAATTTTCTCTAACTCTGGTGTAGGTGTTATGACCCGCTCCTATAGAACATTAAATATGTGGTGTATTAATATGAACTTGTAATAATTCTATCTCTTGAGTATACGCTATGACATATATTAAAACCCATTACAGCAATTTCTGCAACTATTATTAATTCCTACTACAAAGTAAAACCCTCTCTCCTGCTAATAGATAGATACTTAATTGATAGTTAATAGGAGTAATTCAGGGGCGACAGTAGCAGCAGAAACACATCCATCCATACAAACAAAACAAATAAATGCACAATGCATAATACAAAGCAGCATTAAGTTAGTATGTTCTGACTGTGGATTTAGACAAATCATTTGGAACATAATTGATTTACTTTCACTTGTGGACTTGGTTGAAATATTTCTTTGCTACATCTCAAACTTGTTTTCAGTGCTACAGATGGACCGGTTCTCTATAGCAATTTCAACACCACAAGATAACGTGCAGGTCCACTGTTGTCATGCATGTATAAAACTGAAATGTTCACTGAGGGGCAAAGTTAAGTAGAGACCAGTCAGTATACACATAGTCACGTTGCACAGAAAGCCATTTGCGTCCAGCAGTGAGTCTCATGTGTGCTGTGAGCCGGTAAAGACAATGGTACAGTTCCCAGGCAGCATCATAGATCTTCCTTTTGTGTGAGAAGTATGACCGATGACTGGAACGTCTGGTAAACATGTTTTAACCTTGGCTCTCTCTCTCTCTCTCTCTGTCTCTCTTTCACACACAAGCACCCACACACACACACACACAGGCTCACTATCCTCTCACTTTGTGCAAATCTATTAGCTGGACAGCGCAGACACATACATCATCGCACCAGGATAATCTATGCACAAACACTGCACACACACGTACCTGCCCACCCTGCTACGAGCCTGGACCTATTTGTCTTGTCTGGCTTCTGGAGCTAAGGGACGATGTGATGTATGAGTTCATATTTATAAGGCTCACAGAATAAGACGAATCTAAGTGACGCATGAGCACAATGAGTTTGGAGAGGAGCCTGAAGGTTTTGGTTACAGATCTGAACCTTATTAGCGTGGCCTCCTGTGGCACTCCCATAAAGAAAAGAGACTTTAGTCTTGGGTGCTTATTACAGTTAATAAAAGCCCTCCTGCACTGTGCTCCACTGTGATTAACCTCGTTTATCATTGTTAGCTGGTTAGCAGGAGTCACATATGCACGAGAAAAACGTTACATACTGAACCTTTAGGTAGAGAAACTAGAATTAATTTGTTATGGAGACTTCATGTGCACTGGGTGATAAATGGCAAGACATTATTTTATTAAACTTGAGTATTATGGTAATTACAGCGAAAAGGGGAAAGGAGGAAAGGGAGCAATGAATACAAACATCGTAATTTTGAAAAATGTAAACAGAAGTGCAATTAAGCAAAAGTAAGGCTGTATATTTACACAGTCATGCAGCAATACATTTTATGGATAAAACAACAATGTTGTACTGTGAACTTTAAAAAATGTTAATGTCACAATTGTAAACTATTAGCGCATTGGGCAATCAGAGCTGTGTTGGAAAAGTTAACCACCCTGTTACTTTGTTAACTTATACATAATGGTGAAATGACGTTTGCAAAGCACCAGTGAAAACCTGAATTCTCCACCGACTACGATTCAATTCCATTGATAAAGACGCATGTAAACCTGGGAATGTCAATTAAGGTGTGGAAAACCAGTGCTGGGGGTTTGAGCACAAAGGGAAAAACCAAACTTGTATTAGAAGTGTCTGTATCTGGATGGGCGTAGGGTACTCACTCATTTTGATAATACATAGTCCCTCGCTGCATGTGTTTTGTTTTGTTTAATTATAGTTTCAGCGTTTGGATATTAAGGGAAAGTTACAAAACGCATTTGAAAGCATCCAAAGGTCTGGATATTTGAGCGATGGTTTTTAGCAAATAAAACAAGGAAGTAGTGTGTTATTAACAGATGATTCTGAGAGACTGTTGATAAAACAATATTGTTTGTGTTTTTTTACACTTTTACGTCACTTTGCATCATTCACCTCCACAGCCCTTAAACTGGTCAGATTTGTGAGGACAAATACAAAACATGTGGAATCTAGAATTGCAGATATGCTGTAGAATAAATTTTATATGCCTCTAGTTAAATTAAAAGATATTCTTCATCCTATTTATTCTGTTATTATACTATGATTCTATAATTATATATTTCTATAATAACTGACATTTGGCTCTAAAAAACGCACACTAATATAATCTGTTATTATTATTATTTTGCAATGAACATAATAGCTATAATATTGCCAGCTGGAGGAGGAATTAGAACAGACCCAGGTGGCTTCAGACTAACATACACACACCAAACTATTTAACTGTTTATGCTGCAGATAATTTGTACACACTCACCCATGCACACATACACACAAACACACACACCAAGCTATTTAACTGTTTATGCTGCAGATGTGAATGTACACACACACACATACACACACTTGTCCTTGAAGTTTTCAGGTCAATGATTTATTAGCAGTGATTTCCATACTTGGCCCAATGCCTTTCTCTTCACTCCCTTCAGACCTTTGCTTTCTCTCGACAGTTTCTCGTTTGCAAGTGAATCTTCTTCCATACGACATAAAATAAAAAGAGATGATTCAAGATTGTTGCCAAGAAATTAAAGGAGAAATGGCGCTAAGTAACCAGCTGGATGTTTAAACAGGTTTTGTTCTCATCTTTTATAGACGCCGTTGCAGAGCTTGCCAGAACCTTGCTCAAAAGAAACTGTGCGCCCTTGAGGATGCACAATCAGGCCAATTCAAACCCACAATATAATCTTGAAAATGAGGCTAAGTGACACACACAACTGAGTCATCATCAGTCCCCGAAAAACCTTCCTTTGCCCCGATCCATGACACGCAACCTGGCGACTAATTGATCTTGGACCGAATCTGGGATAAGATGGCTGACAGCGCCTAGGCACACTAACAGGATTAAAAAGAGTCTAATTTTAGATCGACTGTCTCAATGAGGGAAATAGATTTGTAGAGTTGGAGAGAGTTGTGTTTTAGTAAATGTTAGTGCTCTGTGTTTATAACTGGCAGACTTACTTGGTAATTGCATTTTTAGTTTAAATCCCTATAGGTTTAGGTTGGGGCACTGACTCGTTCACAGTTTTGGTTCTAACACTAGTTTTCATGTGCATGCATTTCTTGGCCTTGATTCAATGTCAGCTGTGGTTCAGTCCTGGCCCAAGTTAAAGTGGTTCTCACCCCGGCTCCTCGGAACTTACGTCAATCACATTTCCTGTTCAAATCTTCCTCTAAATGGGCGTAGCCTGGAGGACTAAAGGGGGCGTGAACGAGACTGGGCCGTTTACATTGCTCTCGGCGGGGGGCTGCTGACGTCAGATCTTGCTTCAGACGTCAGGTCTTGCTGCCGCGCCAGTGTTGGCGCCAGATTCAAAATTCAAATGTAGTGATACAGGTCGCCAGCAGATGGCGCCTCACAGACGGTTTTAGGCAGAAAGTCTAACTTTCAACTAATTTGCACCAAAGTGACAAAATTATGACCAGGATATGTAGACAACACTATTGGACACTCATTTAAATCGTTTGTCATCAAAAAAAGTGGATTTGAGGGTGAGTTGTCCTTTAAGGCCCAGACCAGGTTCAGTCCTGGTTCAGACCTCGTCCAAGTCCAAACCCAACTGGTTCAGACCTGGTCAGGTACAGAACTTACTAGAGTGAATGACCCATTAGACTGAAAGTGAAAGAGAAGGCCATCCTTGCTCAGTACGCAAAAGATAACGTCTTTTCTAAAAAGATGGATTGTTCACAAAATAGAATTTTTATTCTTCAATGTTTTTTATGAGAAAAATTTGGTAAATTACCTCCCCTATAATCTCGTTCCTAAGAATGACATTCATAATCATTTAGGTGTGGATAGAGGTGGACAGTGCATTTATTTGCAATAGCTGTTCTGGTAATGTGCAATATTGACTGCATTATTATAATAGTGAATAATTGAATCTTTGAATCACACATTATTTACCTTTTGGTATCCAGTTCATCAGTTGAGTTTGTGCAACTAAAACTATCTTTAAAGTATGAAATAATGTTCTGTTCTTTCTCTGTGCTTGTCAGATACGTTCGCCAGTAAAGTGGCAGCGATCCAGGACCAGTACGCGGACGCCTCCATCGGGAACGTGACAGGATCTAACGCGGTCAACGTGTTCCTGGGGATTGGGGTCAGTTCAGACCCGTTTATGTACCGATTATGACAGACATCGTGACTGCACTTTATTTGGCATTGTTTATTCTATAACCGTAGTGTTTTTGGTTTTTGACCATTTTCAAGCAAGAAGTATTTTCCAACGTGATTTCTTGTAAAGTTTCTTGCATCTTCAGATACATCTTCAAACAAGTGAAGTAATCTGGGTCAGCACATTAGCAAATAGATATATCCTAGTAAAAAAGGCTAAAAGATATACATTTATCATCTATGATTTTAGAAATGATATAAATATTAATATGTTTGCAGTGGTTTTGTAAAATGCATTGATGATTACCAAAATTAAGCAGCCTATGTCATTTGCTAATTGCGATTATTATATCTAGATGAATCCTTTTTGTTTCCCCCAGGTGGCTTGGTCCATTGCCGCCATCTACCACAACAGCCATGGCAGAGACTTCAAGGTGAACCCGGGCAGCCTGGCCTTCTCCGTCACGCTCTTCACCATCTTTGCCTTCATCTGCGTGTCCGTGCTCATGTATCGGAGGCGGCCAGACATCGGAGGGGAGCTGGGAGGGCCGCGAACTGCCAAGGTCCTGACCACCATGCTCTTTGTCAGCCTGTGGCTCCTCTATATCCTGTTCTCTTCACTGGAGGCCTACTGCCACATCCAGGGCTTCTAAACAAGGAGTTCAATACAACACAAAGCAAAGGCGGGGACTACGGCGGCGCGAAGGAACAAGAAGATTACATAGTCTAGAACGACGGCTGCATCGCCCTCCTAATCTGCTGTGGAATAAAAGCCAGTTTGGATTGTGTGTACATCATAGGACAGAAATATTCAAAGACCAGCATCATCGGGGCGCACACAAAAAGCTCCACAGAAGGAATACATAGATGTTGAAACTAACCAATCATATCATTTTGACATTAACTTACAGTCGTACGCTTCTACCACAGCGGTGCAGTAACTTTACTTTGCACTGCGAGACCATCCGAGACCACAACATACTGCTGAAGTATCGGACAGCTCGCCACATCGTCCATTCAAAGTAACTGCGTGTGTGTGTTCATGTGTCAGTGTGTCGTGGTGGAAGATGGTGAAGTACTGTGAAAAAAAATCTTGTTACGCTGTTCTGTTTTTGTCTGATGTCTCTTTCCGACACAAGCCCCGCCCAGTCCCTGTGCAATCTGCTGAGCGAGGCTTCTGAGCGGAAAGTGCATTCTATGAAGTGAACGAGATGTAAATATTCTGAGCTGAATTGCATAGCAGCTCGCTCTGAATGTCTTTGGTTTATGCTGTGCACTCGGGAACAGGCCTCCGTGATGAAAATGATTCAAGGTCAATCAAGAAAAGGAGTTGTGTGCATTTACCTTTAAATGGCCTGGCTCAGCGAGACAAAGCAGGTCAAGCGACCGTCAAAAACTGTTTGTTACTCATAGATAGCCATCTTTTCTGCAATAGACTTCACAGACATGGGTACTGGCCTCAGGTTCAGTTTGTACATACTGCATCATTGCTGCTTTAAACATGACTTCATTTAGCAGCTTCTTCCTGTAGTTTGGTTTTAGCCACTCCCCAGGCTGGTCTGTGGACCAATCAAATCAAAGGGCTTAAAAAATGTTACGTTGTTAATCAGATGAAAAGTCTTTAGAAATGCTCACATTTGATGAACAGAGTTAGTCATTTTTAATTATGTGTCAAAACAAATTTGATGAGTAAATTGTTAATGCACAAACTTTAACCTATTCTCAAAAATCTGGTGGAAAATTAAAAAGCTTGAACCCAAAGAAATCTATATTTTTTTGTTAGATCATATAAATATTACGATAAAGGCAGAAATGAGAAATTCATTTTAACATGTAATCATGTTTTCAGCATTTATTATTGAGATGTTTACACGTGAGACTGTTAACTCAATCTTGCTACTCTTGTGTAGCCTCAAAGTGATCATATGAACTTCTGTAGATAAACATTTGTAAAACAGAGGAGAGGATAACCGTCGATCTGTCATTCTATGTTACAAATTAGACTATTTTAATGTGTCCCTGCACAACTACAAAATCAAATTGTGTATTGAATTTGAACCTCCTCAAAAAGCCCTGAATTAAAAACCAAGGAAGAGATATCATTTTGGGAATTAAAAAGCTTGTAGGATTTATTTACCAAACTAAACGTTGAAATGAGTCCATGACAAAGGCCTTTGAGTGGCAGTTTACCCCTGTTTTGCCAAAGGGAAACCTTTTTATCAGCTTTGCAGTTCCACTCTCAAATCTTTCTTAAAATGTCAGGTTTCTTCATAAAACATAAAAATTACAATTCTAAAATTGAGACTTTTCTATTCTATTTGTATGTCTCTTCACTGGCATGGAGCTAAGGTTTATACACTGTTAAAAGTTAGTTTGTGCAAAAATGGTTGGAGTAAAATATATATGTATATTGGTAGACTTTCATTTGTGCCTGCTGCCGAAATTGACTTTTTTGAGGAATGATAATTTTCCTGTTGTAAATGTGCACATTACTATATCCCAATGTAAAAGCAGTAAGACTATAGTGAAAAATGAAACAATCCAGATCAGCTTTTTGGACGATTTTGGGATTCAGAAATCGACCCAAAGAAGCATAGTCTGTAAATACATTTATTAAAACAAAGAAGGAATTGTATTATAGAAATATCAAGAAAATGAAGGCAATGTTCTGCACTGGTCATACCGCTTTGGCTGTTTTTTTTAACTCAAATGTACACAATGATGTAAAAAGAGAACGCTGTCACTGTACAAGCGAACGTACCATCAAACTCACTGAAGCATCATGAGAAAAACAGGAGGGACTACTTTTGGAAGAAGTGACATTTGTACTGTCCCTGCAGCCCACTGTCCACAAACACTTTACACAACTGAAGGAAGAATTTCAAAATGGAAGATTTAAAAAATACATGAAGATACAGCCATATGTTGATCCCTGGGTCAGCGAGATTCGGGCGGACTTCTCCTACCCGGCACGTGTATTGTTATGGTGTCTCTACCCAGTGTGTCTCTCAAGATTTCTACCTTGCTGCCAAAGTAACAAGTCCGGCAGTTTTGTTTTGCCTGTAACCTCCTCCCCACGTCCTTCTTCCCACAATCCCCTTTGTCATGTTTTTCCATATTTTTGGGAATGTCAATGTGCTACTTGTTGACACTGTGCATGAATGCTAAACACGTCTGTATATAGTAATAGAAAATTGTAACCCCCCCATTCTTCTGGTTGTTGACAAAAAAATAGTTCGAATGTTGTACAGATTCAAGACCTTTCTGTTTTGAGTTACAATTGATGAGAGTAGTGGATTTAATTTAAAGAAGAGTTTTGAGGTAACTTGCACATTAATGAATTATTTTGGGTTTAAAAAGGCAATATCTGCTGTTATTGAATGAGAGTCGAGATCCTTAAGGAGCTATGTATCTTGAATAAAGTATATGGGAATTGCATGGGATGTTTGTACAAAAAAGACACTGCTTGCTACTCCTAATACCGTGGCTGTATTCTCTGACAGAAAGAAGACCGTATGTATATCTTAAAGGTTATTTTGTCCTGAAAGAATAATAATATTAAAACATATTGTGTATATAATGTACAGTGTTATAAGAGAGATGGCCTGTGTGCCCGTCTAACCATAGAGAATAATGACATATTTATTTCAATGAGTTCAATGCGCTCACTACACTCAAGAATGACATATATTGCCTTTTTGGAGAAGTTGTAGTTTGGCTTTAAAGCTTGTTTCTCTATCTTGGCCTTTCTCCTTTCCTTATCATCATACTGTCCCCCCATAACCAAAGCCACTCAAGGGGATTTTTAGAGATCAAGGGTCCTAGTTTGAATAAGCAGACGAACACTTGTGATGTCCAATCATTTGCCACTGTGTTCCAATATTTTGTTGGCAGAGTAAATTAAAACATCTTTGGCTAGGCTGACTACATGTGAAACTCGGAATATTATAAATTCGCTAAAAGGTTCATTCACTTCTGAAATTCAACTTACAATGTGAGCCTTATACATGATAGATTTTTTAAATGCAAATTAAGCTACAGTATAAGAAGCCCTTATTTTCTAAGAATTTGCTTCATCCAACGCCTTTTTGAACCAGGTACAAGGTGTTTTTTCCAGTTATATTGATATATGTAAAAGTAATTATTGTGCATAAAGAAAATGTTTGTTATAATGTTAATAATTTGCTCAGCTTGTAGAAAACCTAAAATTACAATATTTAGGCAATTGGTCACTTTGGTCACTAGACTTGTAAGGAGTCTAAATCATATATTGGTTTCACACATTAGGTTGAATTACAAAAAATAAATGCACTTTTGAACAATTAGAATTTTTCCGAGTTTCACCTGTAGAAACATCACAAAGGCTAGACGCTAAGAAGAAAATACAGATTTGGATCAAAAGTAAATGTTTCACAAATCTACTCTGATACTTCTGTCTGCTTCTCCAAACCAGCCGTGAAAATGTTTGAATAAAATCTCCACAATGGTCCCTCAAGTGCTTCGGACACATCACTATCGTCTGTCGCACATGGAACACCTGTGATTGAGCCCGTCCCCCGCCTCTCTCCCTCTGTCATCAGGAGTGCGTGAGACTTTTTCAATTGACTCAGTAACAAAATAACGTTGAAGACTTGTTTTGTTGAATCTTTAGTGTGCCTGTGTTATAATTTGTTAATGCCACTAACTGTGACTGCTCTTCATGGTACATTCTGATAAAACAAAATAAAGTTTGGGATACCCTGTTTGAGAGCGGACTGGTGTGTGTGTGTGTCGTCTCGCTGCCATGGCCGGACTCCTCATGCAAATGGACTTATTAAGTGCATGTAAATGGAAATTACAATCAGCAGCGTCTTTTTTCTCACACGGCACGCGGCCAACAAACACTCGTTCTCTATTGTGACAGAGGATAATAGAAATGACATTTGCTTGAATAGCAGACATCTCATTAAATGTCATTGTAAGATGGAAATCTGCTGCTTTCGCTAATACAATCATGTCTTTGTCTCGGATTTGGAAGAGAGTTTGAATAATTATAAAAGTCACAGTTCTATTGTATCATTAAGTTTTTGTTCAATTAAAAGGAATACATAACATTTCTGCTGGTTTCTCCATGGAGCTGCTTTCTTGTTGGCCCTAACCCAAGTAGCTGTTGATACCTCTTTAACTGGTACCAGGTTCTTCTTTAGTACCTGCTCAGCCCAGTTAGAACCTATTAAAGTGTAAACTGACACGGTTTGGCCAGAGTGCAGCCATGGATACCCAGGAATTGCCCCGGATGTGATAGCGATGTTATTACCTTGACATACATACTTACGTCCTTGACATAATTATGTACATCAAAACATGTCACGGTAATAAAATTGCTAACCTACTATTGTCTGATTTAAAAAAACAAATACTTTTACGTCAGCATGTACTATACTTGAAACCCCAAAAAGTTACATACCCCAGCTTTAAAACAAATCTGAACATTCTTTTTGTAGATATATACATTTTAGGCCGAACGAACAGAAGACAGTGTGATCCACCTAATATCACCTCTGCAGCCTCCTGATTGGTCGAAATTCATTCAAATCCCTCGTCATTGGTTTAACAATTCTCATCCTGCAAAATGTACTGGTCGTGGTTCTGCCAAGGGGTAGGACTGTAAATATGCTATTGTTAAAAAAAATATATATATATTTATAAATAATAGTAAAGTACCTCATGGTCAGAAATATACATTAGAAATGACATACGATTCAAGCTGCTTTTATCACATTTAAGTGGTATATATTAAGATTCAATAGATCACAACGATAAAGGCAGAACACCACGTTTCGTCACTTGTGGCATGTTACACAGCTGCATTTTTTCATACTTTTAAGATATTCTCAATGCTCTCCACAGACTTTTTGATCAAACCTTCACAGAGCATGCTATCCCTGAATGCCACGTTGTTTTCTCGTTGCTGCCACGATGATGGATCATTCTCATTCTCCGCCAGTGCCACTAATATGATGGATATGTTCCATAACGATCAAACTCTTATTTGAGCTTTGGGAATGTGTTTCTCATGTTGTATAATCCGAGTGTGCAGCCTGTGTGAGTCAGCAGAACAGAGCGACATGTGCGCCCCTGTGTGTGTTTACATGGGCCCTTATAGGAAGTGCAGCCTGAAACCCAATTATGATGTCACATCTCATTAGGACATAGGCACTGATGGGCATATGCTTTTCTGTAGGCAGTGCTTTGAGAGTCAATCATGACTGCCAACGCACACAGGGTCAGATGCAACTATTCACATCTACAGTATTTTCACATCTACACATTTCTATTTTGACAAGTGCCTCCTTCAGCGCGCTCAAGTGTAATGCATGGATGTGGCTCCACTACAAAAGAAAAACAAAGCACATGGGGTAATTAAACTGTATTCGAGCATTTCAGAGGGATGAGAAATGAGCTTAACAAGACGATTAACATCTTTAAACAACATATTTTCCTTTGAAAATGATCAAGGCCATCGAGACAAAACAAAATCTCAACATGTACTGCACATATTGATACTGAAGCTGGAATTCAGACAGAAGGATAATATAAATCATTGTTGTTGACAATAAATAGATAAATACATACAAACATTTCATTTTGGTTTATCAATAATATGTCAAGGAAACCAGGTACAAAAAAGTAGTCTGACCAAATACACTGACTTTGTACCGATTCTAGCTAAACCCCAGCTGGTGGATTGCATCAGTAATCAGAAGCTTAGAAACTACATTAGTCACAGACAAGAAGATTCTGGCTCCAAAAGTTGCATTATAGTTACTTTTTTGGACCACGAAGTGTGCATGTTTCATACAAAAAGATACGGTAAGTATTGAAATCATTCCCTTATTAAAGTGGAAAAGAACAAGCTATATGTGCTTATGTCTCATACTGTGAGAGAATAATGGCAACAAACCAACAATGAACAAAACAGACCCGATTAATCACCTTAGAAGCGTGGCCATACTTCAAACCTGTTTTCATGCTGTGTCTCCATCTGCAAAGTTTCTTGTCAGGAGTAAAAGGATAAAGTTGTCATAAAAATAATGTAAATTACTGATGAGGATAATAACACTTAATAACTCGCAACTTCTGTCAATAAGGCAACATGCACACAAATGTTCAATCCAGCAATGCTCTGACCCTTAAAAGCCTTAATATACAACATACAGCAGTATTTATTTGCACATAAATGTCAGATTGCTCCTCAGAGGTAAATGTAGATAACCCCATTAAAGAACATGTAGAGCTGCAGAGCTGGCCGTGTGCAGAAAGTGTGGGTTTGGTCTTGTTTGTGTTTTGTGCGTGGCTCTTTGAAACATGTGGAGTTGTGTTGGAGTGGCTGTTTCACATGCATTAGACCCTCGGAAATGAAATGTCAGCTAAATACCAGCTCATGAACCCTGAACCCCGTCTCTTTCTGCATTTTGTGTTGTGCTCACAAGGTAAAAGAGATATACCTCTGTGAATATTTATAGCATTAAAAGCCTTATCTTATTGCAGTATTGCATTTAACCAAATATCAAGATTTGTTTTTCCAATTTGATGGAGGTTTTTTCTCTGCAAATCTGTTGTGTTGCCTGCATGAAGATCCATACAAACATACATTCTAAAGTGCATCAATGACTTGATAAGTGAACAGACTTCAGATTGATAACATTACTTTACAGCTACCCCATTGTGGCACCTGATGTTCCCGGAGGACTCCCATCACAATTCTAACCAGGCCCTGTCCTGCTTAGCTTCTGAGATCTGATGGGCAATCCAGCTGTTTTTTGATTCACTATAGGGGTGAAGAGGAAAATGTGTATGTATTAATGTCAAACAACTGATTCCTGTATGAACCAGGAAAAAATAAATAAACAAAATACGAAATGAAATGAAAGACAAAACAGAATTTATCAGAGGAAATCAGTTACTGGGATAATTGATTGTGATTTGACAGTCCTGCCTTTACATTTGCACACACCACTTGCTCTTCTCTAACCCCTAATGGATCCACACCCCCTCCCCCTTCAGTCTGACCTCTCCTGTCGCCTGTACCGGCCCCACACTCCCACAGACGCTCCAGAGGATGTGAGTTCAGTGTTACTCTGTGTCACGTTCTCATGAGAGGTTGTAGGCGTCGAGATGATGCCGAGTTACCGTGGCAATTTTGTCTTGTTTCCTTGGAGACATGTTCCAAGCAACAACCAACCATGGCACATGCACAGCTTTAAGCGCCAATCAAGGCTCGGAGATGCACAAGAGTGATACCAAGGAGATCGCTCCTATATGAGGTAGTTTAATACAGCACGTCAGCAAATACCAAATAGTTTTTTTTTTAAAAACAGTGCTGATAACAAACATTTATTTATTCTATTAAAGTAATCTATCTAAATTCTAACCAGACATTTCCACAAAATATGATGCCAGTTCTAAACCAAGACAAACATGGGGATCGATGCTGCAGCACCTAAAGGTCATTTAGGTATAATTTAATACTACCGTTGTCAATAAAGAGAAGCACGTATAAGGAGAGAGATTTTTTATTAATTTTAATGCAACCTGCGAGCACCGCTAAAATGATAAACAAAGACACATATATGGGTGTGAAAACAAGAGCTTAATTGATACTTACATATTGTTATCTGGTAACCGTGATGTGTGCCTCTTGGTGGGCAAACATACCTGCAACATTCTTTACAAAAGAACTTGTGACAGAGGTCAAATCAATATCATTCAAATCAAAAGCGCCGCTTGCACTCTATTTTATTAAATCACACAAAGCCAAGTCCACATTATTGTCATTAGCATAACAATGAGAAAAATCAAACTAATCTAATTTCAGTGGGAGACAAAGAGGGAGAAGAAATAGTGAGGGAGTAATAAGAGTGATCATCAGCATTAGATGAGAGCAGAGCTGTGAGTGTGAGGACCCACACTGGACCGAGTGAAAGAACACTTCCGTCTACAGCTAAAAATACATTTTAACATTATAAATGACTAAATCATTCTCTTTGTTGGTAAAGATTCTGGATTCAAATCCTGGTCTTGGTTTGTAAATTCTCCCCAGGGGCTCCGGATTCCCCTACCACAAGAACACGTACAATAGATCTCTCCTGAGCCCTCCCTTCATTTTAGGATGGGTCAAATGCAGATGACAAATTTCCATGGGGACAATAAAGTGTACCTTACCCTAAATGAGAATAAACACAGCTGTGTGATGGCAGCTTCAGGATAGAAAAGAAAAATAAATCAATGTCTTTTTCTTTTTCATTTTTCACAATTATGTTCCTAACTCACTTATGTTTCAAGACACAGTCACACAGTTGAATGGAAAACTTGTCTTCATTGTTCATGATGTGACTAACAAATACTGCATTGTTATGATCTGCTACAATGTAAAATTGTGACAAAAAGGCATACAATGTTGGGTTAATATCAATTACTTTACTCAATCAAATACATATATGTATAAAGCGCAATTCTTACAATGTAAATCATAGATTTTCAAATGCAACATTCCGATTATACATATAAAAATAGTTAAAGCTGGAGTTTGGTTCAATGGTTGGTCACAAGAGCTTTTTTTTAAACAGAAAAGTGAAAAAGAGAGGACTACACTCACGCATCATCTCTCAGCCCATAGCATCAAATAATGACTCACATGGTTCTTTCTCTGTATTAAAGTATGGAAAAATAATGGTGACAGCGGTTAGTGGTCTGGTTTGCTGTTCTTACAAGACGTTTTCTGTTGGACAAAAGAAATATATTACTTATGAAAAGGTTAGGTACCCAAGCCTGAATAAAAACGCACATCAAATTATAAATAAAATACAAACTCAGTCGTATTCTTTCCGCCCACAACTGCCAACATCAGTGTAACCAGTAGGACTAAGCCTTGTCCAGTCCCTCCTTCACATACACACTAGTCTTCCTACATTCAAATCCACACATGACATTCACACAGCGCTGCCTCTCGCCCACCTGCTGCACCACTCACTCAAAGACCCGGGGAAAACGCCTGGATGCTTTCAACCTTTCCCCAGCACACAACACTCCAGCAAAGTGCTACTTCTCCACTCACACTCATTCCAGGGTTTCTGGTGTTATGGACAAAGTAAACATGGAGGTAGATTTAGACAAAAAAATAACCCCAGATGTTCTTTTGATGTTATTTTCGTAATTACGTTGTCAAACGCTCTTCATGCTTCGACATCAAGTAACTATGGAAACATAAATTCCACGGTGTTAATCCGGGCGGTTCTCGCCATTTGCAGAGCGCACTCTTCAAGCTAGATCTATACCCACGATAAGGCCTAATCCAATTATAGGAATATGTACTTCATGGTAACGTGCTCAAACTGCATTCGGAAAGCAATAGTCAACGTATAGTCAACAGATGCATTCAAAAATATTAAATACAGCCTCTATGAAAATAATATAGTTTATGGCTACATAAAGAATTCATAGATAAAAGCTTCCATCAAATAATACAAATAAATAAATCTGAAATCCTAAATTGCAATAATTTCAATATAATATTCTGAGATTATGAAACTGTAGTAAATTAAATAATAATAAACATGAACACTACAAACTTGTACTTTCATTTTTCTCCAGTAGGGGCCATGCGTTTATTTCAGGCGGAGGTCGCGGTCTGAAAGGTATACATTACTTTTTTTAAAACTATTATGTTTGAAAAAGTAAAAAGTTGAAAAAGTTTTCGGAAATACGTTTGCCAATCAGTTGCTCTCACGTCGACTCAAACTGTGTCTCTACAATACTCAATTTCAAACTTTCATTTTCAAGAGCATCTACGTGTTGTGTTCTCTGAAACTCATCACTTTTGCCCTCCGCAGCCCCTTTTTCACCTTGCCGCGCCTCTGATCTGTCTGTCAATGGCACTCTGCCGCCTTGTTCTGACACAGTGCTCCCCTCTGTCCCATTGGCCTTTTTAGAATTAGTCCTAAATGTACTCAGGCTGCCACTGGCGTTGGTAAAATATGTCTCCATTTTAGCCACGGGTCCCTGGTCGGAGAAGAAGTGACGCAGGTAAGCTTGTGCGTAGAAATCGGATGAGATTAAGTCAAGGTTAATGGACTTATTGGAAACACCATCACTCATTCCGGCATCTAGTCTTCTTCCTGTCAAGTTAAAAACACTCCGGTTACAACCATCTTAAGTGAGATTTATTATGTTATTCCGGCCATACAAGATGTAAGCACCTGTTTTTGTCTGCAGATCGCACAAAGGTATAGTGACGCTCACGCCAGTCTCTCGATCGGTCAGGGTCAGACCCGTCATGGCTCCTTCCTCGAATACATCACTGGACTCTTCACAGGAGGACGAGAGACCGCCATGACTTTTCACAACACTTATTGTGCCAGCTTTATACTTCCTGTGGTGATGTAGTACGAATAAGTACTGAGATATGGTTGGCAACGTTTTACAAAATACATTGAATGAATCTGGTAAAATGGCTGATAAATGCACATCTGGCCAGCAGAGGGTGCTAGAGATACACTGGTGGAAATCAGGAATGTTGTTCTTTACCATAATCAAATATAATCAAAAAACATATTGAAATTCCATGTTGGATTTCTTTTGTCAAGATGATTTACGGACTGAAAAAATGTGGAATTTTACCTATAAACTGGAATGATCAGTTCCAGGTCTTCTCTGTACTGTGACAGAGCTCCCCTCGCAGCCTGGGGCTCTATCTGACCCTCGAGTCCAGCCAGATGCACCAACATTTGGGTGTGGAAGGCTGCTCCGCTGGCCCACTGCCTGAAAGATCTAATAAAAAACAACACAAACAGTGGATTTATCCTAATGTATAAACTGCCACCTTTTTTAGTATTTGGGATGTCTCACCTGGAGTCGCAGTCACCTCGGAGCAAACAGGTTTTGAGCTGAGTGAGGTTCAGACTAAGCTGCGCCTCCAGTCTGAATGTGTCCTGTGTTAATTTACTTTTATCATTCAGATTAATCCTACAGCGCTTCAGGTATTCTTCCATCAACTCCTGCAGCTCGCAAACTCTCTACAGCAAAGACACAATTAAATATATGGTTCAATTTGCAGTTTCATATTCTTATCTTACTCACCTGTCTAGCAGATGGCCCAGAGGACTTTGCCGGTGGTTTGGATGATGCATAAGCCATGTCTATCACCATTGTCACCACGGACCCCACCAAACCAGCCAGCCGAGGTTCATCTGAAAAGGCTGTGAGCCGACCAATCAAATCCCTCAAGTACGTAGGTGCTCTGCTTCCAATGTCTCTCTGAAGCTACAAACAAAACAAAAAGCAACGTTTGAGGGTAAACAAAAAACAAGAAAAAGTACAAGGGACTCATGGACATGTAAAATTATGTTTCAATAGTTTTCAACTACAACTTCAAATATCTTCAATTGTGTGTACTAGTAGCTACAATTCAATGTTACACTCCTCTCAAATGCGCAGATCACACAAATTCATTTTATTTGCCATTTGCAGTAAAACATGTAATACATTTGCAAAATAAAACACAAACCTGTAGCATTTGTTCCTGGATGGATGGGCCGGAGCCCTGGGTGTCATTGGCCAGGAGCAGAGGGTGCACCACTCTGAGGTTTGGGACGGCACCAGCATCCAACATAAAAGAGAAGAGGACCTCACCGAGCACGTCCTGAGCATGAGAGAGCTCTTCTTCTGACGAAAACAGCTGCCCCATAATTCTTTGGCATTTGAAGGACAGGGGTTGTGTCTACTGCAAAAAAGACAAAAGTAAAGGGACAAATACATGCATTTATATAGAACAATTACAAATGTTTTGATTGACTTAATTGCAACTCATAGTCAGTGACATGTGACTTAGTATTTCCTCCTACCGGGCTAATTAATAATAATAATAATGCATCAGTTTTATATAACGCTTTTTTGGACACTCAAAGATGCTTTACATGTCATTATTCTTTACTCCATACACGGTGGTGATAAACTACTACTGTAGCCACAGCTGCCCTGGGGCACACTGACAGAAGCGAGGCAACCAGTATGTGCCATCGGCCCCTCCGACCACCACCAACCATTCACACACACACCAGACTCATTCTAGGCAATGGGGGTGAAGTGTCTTGCCTAAAGACACAACGGCAGTTTGGCACTTTACAGCCGCAGCCGCCCCACTGTGGCTGGTGTTTCCAGAGGTTAAGTGTCTTGCCAAGGACACAACGACAGCAGACAGTGGGAGTCGATGGTGAAGGTCGGACTCGAACCCACGACCCTCTGGCTCACAGGTTAGTGCTCTACCAACTGAGCTTTCTACTGCTTACCTTAAGAAATGACTGATCATGAGCACATGATTTTTTTTTTTCATGTTCAGAGATCTATTCAGCAGCATTCAGTTCTACATGTGTTGTTATTGTCATATTCCCTGAGTATGAAACAGTTCAACAGTATTTAGGAGTTTCAAAGGCAATGTCAAATGTTTTTTTATAAATAATAGGCTATGGTCCGTCAATTATTAAACAAAAACATTACAGTTTACATTTTGTATACTTACTGAAGCAAGGGAGTTGATTTGCAAACTGCTGTCGTTAATTTACTTTTTCCACCAACCCGCCGCCAACTGTATTATACAATACCATACATTCAGTACACACTGTAATAATAACCCTATTACATAAACCTATGAACAGTCTGCACTAGATCAAACTGAAATGCATCAGCTGCTTCACTACTTGCTACTCTAGGTTTTTTTGTGAGAGTTAAGAGCATATTAATGGCTGAATAACAATAGGTTTACTTACAAGCTAGCTCTTCTGTCAAGTCGAAGCTCAGTTAAATCTAATTATTTTCTTAAAACTTTCAAAGCTTCATGCTAGCTCCAGCTGCTTCTTCCTCGTCACACAGCGCCACAATGTATCAGCACTAGACCTACAGCGCCATCTAGCGGCAATGATAGAAACTGCATCCTAAAGGTTACCAAATTATTTACCGTACCTCATATGCAATCTATTTACTTGCCTTAAAATTAGCAATGACTTTCGGCCACTGTGCATCCTAAATGCCGGATAAGTTAAAGTGCTAATCCTCTTTTCACGAGGGCACTTTGATGATGCTCTATTGGGATCTTAATTGCTTTATAGTCAGTATTAATAATGAGAAAATAGGCCAAGGGCTTATGATCTTCTTTTCACCATAAGTGGAGCAGCCCTTTATAGCAGCGGAGTGGTGTCGATGATTTAAACTTTACTTGAAATCTGGCCCAAAGGGATTTGGGATTTTATGTTTTGTGTGAAAGCTGGTCTTTGTTGAGTAAATGGCTTCTGCTCTGTGGCCCCACACTGTGCAGTGATACTGAGAGGACATTGAAGACTGAGGTTGTTTTATAGATAATGATAAACCTAATAGATAATTATTAAACAGATCACATAACAAACAACATGAAGACTTTGGGATCTTAGTTGTGGGTGAATGAAGCATCTTGCTCAACCACAATTAAACCATATTAACTTAATGTATTCAACACACAACACAACAAATAAATACAATGAAACCAACTATTCATCTTATATTATACTAGGTCTAACTAGTTACTATAGTTTTCCAGTATGTAGACCAATTAGTAGGTGGACCTACATCATGGAGGATACTCCCCAGATAGATATAGTTCCGTAATAGAAGTCACCTCAGCTGGTTCCTCTTGATTTGAAGAAGCAGCGGCTCTATTCAGAGACCCTCTCTGCAGTGACTGAGTTAACTCTATTTGACGCAACAAGAACAACAACAGCAACATAAGAAAAAGAGGAAGAAAGAAAGAAAAAGAAGAGTAGAGTATATGAATATTATGATGTTATGATGGGCAACCATAGACTGTAACAAAACTAAACTAAACATAATCTATGGATAGGATTTATATGGTGCAACAGTGACTCCTAGTGGTTACTGTTCCCAGTTGCAGCCCCGTGTAAACAACCAAAAACAACATGGCGCTGTACGAGTGTGAGAATAAACCACGACAGTGAAGCGTGATTTTGTAATTTTACAATTAGCTTTAGCTCCTGTTGAGAAATGACTGAGTCGAGCCTTGATCAGGCTCAAGTGCGTTATTTCTGCACTGCAGGTCACGGGATGGAGCCATTTCTGGTGGATGAGCTTAGAAGAAAAGTTGCAGCAAAAGATGTAAGTTATCGACAGTCATTCTTATCCAATGTAATGTCCGATCTGAAACTGCTTCTCTACGTCCTCCTCATAATATATATTATCCATGTCCAGATTTGAGACCGCCACAAATAACAGTACATTTTTGTACAGATTATCCATTTTCAGGGAAAGGTGATTTTCAGTACTTCTGCAAACGTAAGCAGCATCCTCAATATAAAATCTGCTGAGAGACTCTTTCTGTTGCTCAATCATGACACACCGTTAAAGCTGCCAGCCCACGTCAACCAAGGTACATAATAATAACAACAGTAAGAACAATTCATACTCTTGTATAATGTTCATTATGAGTAACTTTTTATTTTGAAGCAAAGGCCTCATCTCTTCTGCAGTCCAAGCTGATTGGAGACAAGAATGAATTGGAAAAAGTTGCAATGTTATGGTTGTGCCTGCAGGAGGAGCTAATGACCAATGACTCTAAAGTCCTGCTAAGCACTGCAATAGATGATGGGCCTCTTGGAGACAAATGCATGGATCTGAAAGAGTGTTATACAGAACCCAGTGAAGGCAAAAGAAAGAGATTGGATCAGGAAAACGCAGATGGTATGAGTTAACTTACCAATGTGTTTGTAGAGTGGCTTCTGTGGCATTGGTACTTGATCCATTCCTTGTCTTTATTCTAAAAAAGGGAAATCCACAGACCAACAGTCCAAGCGACTGCCATCTCAAGACCTAACCACGTTTAGAATCTGCTGCAAATGCAGTGGAAGTCTGGCTCGACACTTCAGCACACAGGTGGCAAAAACACAATATACTTTTGATAAAGGATTTATGTGACTAATACTACAATAGGTTATGTACTACCGGTATACACTATAGTGTACCAATAATATTTCTATTCTGCAGGATGTTAGTAAAGTCTTGGGAGCAAGTCTGACCACATTGCTGGGCTGGAGGGTTGACCTTAAACACCCTAATTTAGAGGTTTGTTTTACTTACTACTAATTAACCCACATGAATAAATGCATTCAATTATAATGCCTTTTGTATTATGATTTCACTAGGTTAATGTAAATTTGACTGACGATTATTGTCTCCAGGGGATCCCTCTGACAAAGTAAACCACTCTATTTCATACAAATGATGAAGTGCATACTTCATCATTTAGTGTACAATTAGTATTTTTTGTTTTCTTTATCCTCAGATTTCCTCTAGCCAACAGAAAATATGCCAAGACCACTGGCCTGAGGTCTACAGTTGCCTGGGCTATGGCCTCATTGGCTCAGATACAGGTACTTAACGATTAGTTTATTACACTGAACTATGTTTTATGTACATACTTGTTTATGTATCCATATGTATCAGCCAGGATCTGTAGTGGTTGACCCAATGTGTGGAGTTGGAACCATCCTGATCGAAGCTGCACAGGAGCACACTGTACAGTATAAGGGAATACCTATTATTGTTGAACTTAAGTTGTCAGTAATGTCAATGTGATTTTACTTTCAAACAGGGAACCTTTTTCCTGGGAATTGATATTGATGTGGAGCAGCTGGACAAAGCCAATGGAAACATTGTTTCTGCACAGCTAGAAGATAGGGTGCAAATACTTAAAGGCTCGTCTTTGGGTAGGCTGCATTCATGCACACAATACTGAAAGTATCCATTCATTTCACTTTGTACTGTTCTTTTATGGTCATGTGCAGTTCTGCCTTTGCTCAGTGCAAGTGTGGATGCAGTTGTTTGTGACTTGCCTTTTGGGCGTAAATTTGGAACTAAAGAGGATGCTGCCATCAACTTACCTCTGATTCTGTCAGAGATAACAAGGTATTCACTTTGGAAAGGAAGACAATTATTTAACACTGCTATGTTATAACTATATATATTATTTTCTACATAATTCTGTTTTCTACCAGAGTGCTTCGGGTTGGTGGCATTCTTGTTCTTCTACTGAGCCCTCAGTTATCATCCATAATTAAAAAACTTTTCTCACTCAAGGACATTAAATCAAGCTCTGTTGTAAAACAGGAGTGCCTCTCTGATGCAGCAGCTTTCACCACGCTCCTGTCCAGTCAAGGCCACAAAAATGGATCTGCATCTGCCCAAGCAACCAAATGTCTGTCTGAACACAGCAGGGCCAAATATTACTCTTTGAAACATGAAAAAACCTGTAGGGTCAGTTTAGGTGCAATTGATGGACTAATACAAAAGTATGTTAAGTTGGACCTATAGACTGTATAAAAAATATTCTTGCTTTGAGTAAATTCTCTATGATACCAATATGTCCATTGATTTTATTCCTGCACTACATGAACCACAGCTGCACAATACTGCCATCTGCCACTTTTAAACCTGCTTAGCCCAGATTTACATTGAACGGTTTAATACAGTATTAGCGTTTGTGTTTACTGAGCACACATTGTAAAGGGTATTTATAAATATATTCTAAGAGATCATTATTTAAGTGGTTGTTTATCATTCTTAGTTGTTTCCGTGGATCACTATGGTATAATCATAGGGCCAGTTTTGTTTGCTGTTATCTGGATTTGGATATGTATTATATTATATTTGGACTTCACTAACGTCCACAATAGCCCTCACAGTAAGGAGAAGAGGGGAAGATACGCCATAATGTCCATTGCGCATGCTCATTGCGCACTGGAAGCCATGTTGGATCTACAGTGGATTCGGGCTGGAATTTTCTGACGCCGTATGTTTTTCTTAAAATATTGGATTTTGTCTCTGGTTTGGGGTCCGTCAACCAGCCGCGATCGGAGCCCTAAAAGCCCTGAAACATGATGGACTCCAGTGTGGACCTGTCCCGGCGGAATCCGCAGGAGGATTTCGAGTTGATTCAGAGGATAGGAAGCGGCACATACGGCGATGTGTACAAGGTAAAGCTGCATCAGGGAAAGCGTCCTTCTTTCATTTATCGGACGCGATGTCTGTGTACTTTTGCCTGGGCGATAATGCCGATATGTCTACACTGGTTTACAGAAGCACAAGGTCAAGTATTCTGTCTGGGATCGCTTGATATTCTCGAGTGTTTCTTCGCCTTATGGCTGCAGTGTTTATTGGTCCAACTCCTGGACACTGCTCTTCTGGGGAAACCACAAGTGGCTTGAGGTTTTTACGCGTGTCGTGTTTGTTCCCATTCTATTTAAATCTATTTTATCTAAAGTCTAGTTGAAGTCGTTGTGCTTGAATCGTGCTGTTTGTCAGAGGAGCTTCTGTTACTGTCACATTCATGCGCACTGAAGTTGTCTCTGCTGGCCAGGGTGAATGCACTTTCAGACTGTTGGCCACTTGCACATAGACCCATGGTCTATAATGAAGATTATCACACGAGATTAGCATGAAGTATGTGTACATATGCAAAGATAAACTAAACAAGGCAGTATTATTAGTATGAACTCTAGTGCTATCCGTGTGCACAGTCTTAGCCACTCGGATGCTAACCTGTATTTGTTGGTTCTTGAAGCAGGAGAAATGATCCAGTCATGCATTTAACGTTATGCTCGCTGGACAATACGCACTATTACTGTCATCAACAATGTTATTGAATTGTAAAGCTATTGATCTCAAATGCGCTTTAAAATGATCAATAAGGCAGAGTGACAGCTGCGTCTGTCCGGGTGAGTTTGGCTAGCGCAGAGAGGCTACATAAACAACACTGAGGCTGGCTTCTCTCACTGTTACATAATCCACAACATTTAACTTATACCTCATGGAACTTGATATTTCAAGTATGTTTGTACAGCTCTAAGAACTTTTACTGATTTATCCTGTTATCACATGTTAATCACTTATCACCTTATGTTCCCACGCTTTTCCATAGGCCCGTAGCTTTGGCCTGGCACGGCTCCTGAGTCATAGCCCTGCCCCAAACCTGTCTTTAATTTGATGGTGACTTGAAACATAAAGTTGTTTTAAGCAAATGCAGATTGACACAAGTAACTTTATAATTGAGTAGCAAATGATACCTTTGCAATGATAGTTTGTAGTGTTGCAGTTTCATGGGGCCATACCACTCTTTACCCCGGTGTTTATGACGGCCTGCTGTTGGGGAATTTTAATATCCCCTGTGTGGAGTCTATGGTGTGGGCACTGCTAGAGATTGATTAGGCTGTTTAATAGATCTAGATGTTTGGATAACAATAACATCGACAACGTGTAACCATAAAAACAAGTCACCCTGGCATGAAAATACCTACTGAGTTTAAACTGCGGCTTAACTGAAGTTTATCCCCAACTTGCAAATATCTGAACACACTTTCTTAAAATGTAACTTACATTTTTAAAGATTTTTTTTTTAAATTTAAATTAACCATGCACAAATGTTTGCCTCAACTTCTGCTCTGTTTTTTGAGAAAATAATATAACATATTTCACGTAACATAGCATATCTTCTCCTGTATATGTAATCATATTTTTAGCAGAGTCAAACCAACATTGCATATTAACAGCGTACTGCATTAATCAGATATTTAAAATAATTACTGGCTGCTTAAGCAGTCATATTTTTCTTTCCTTTTTTCTCCTGTTCAAGGTTAGTTAAGTGTGTCAAAGCCCCTGTTTAGAGCTAAAAGATTACATTCCTATCTAATTATGACATTTCTATGATCCAGCCAGTATTTGTCTTTTATCATTTATCCCTACCTGCATTGAATGTTACTCATGTCTTATTACTTACAGAATAGGATTTGACATATTTTAATAGAAATGAAATAGAAATGTGCTTGTTGTATGGCTTGACTGACTGTCCATCTTTTAAAATCTACTAGTTTAGTAGCTGATTGGTTGAGTCTTTAAAGGCCTAATGTAAATTCTGAAGCTGTTTTTGTCCAATTGTTGCCCTCACCACTCTGCTGCCATGGGCCCATATTCAGAAAACTGTCTATTTGCCAATACACAGGGTCTGGCTTAACTGCTGCTGTTTACAGAGTTTGCGGAGAAGCATTGCTCCTGAAGGTGAGGGCTGTAGCAGAGAGCAGATCATATGCTGTGTGCGCACTACGACAATGTGCCAGGCCTTGATGTGGCATGTGCTGTCAGATACGTAGATCTCAGATACGTATCTTAGATTAGGAAAGTGTCTATATACACTTTTCTCAAGAAATCAGCTACATTTATTTTACCCAAACCCAAAACGCACTTAGCAATTTAGTAAACGTATTGTTCTGTCACTCAGTCCAGTTACAGCTTCTGCGTACATTGGTGTGTGAATATGTGTGTAAATTGATAAGCAGTTTCTCGATGTAAAGTGCAGTGCAGTATAGGTTAAAACAAGCAAGTATATCCATAAATCTTACAGTTCATCACCCAAAATACCCGAAATTAAACTAAACCTGTTGTCCAAACAATTAGAATTATCTTTCTCTTTATGGACACATTTATGGGGATGAAATCAAGTCCATTTTTTTATGATTAAAATTGATAAATGTAATCATGAAATATATTCTATGCTGCTCATTTGTGGTGCAGCTGTGATGCTGGAATGCAGGATTCACTTCCGTATATATGTTTGAGTCTGTGTTCATGTCCTATTGTCTGAGTGGCCGACAGAGGAAGGCAACAAGCCAAGAGCCAGCAGTACACAAAGCCACATGATTGTGGCACACAAACTTAGCACACTGCCTCAGAATCATCCTGCTTTTGTCGTCTTTCCTGTTGGCTTGGTTTAGCATTTATATAAATTTTTTTTCATATTTGGTAGTAATTATTTATTCATAACACATTTTTCATGCAACCTCTTACAGAAATATATAGTTTTAAAGGGGGTGTTGGACAAAGTAAACAAGTCCAGTGAAAGTCTGTTTCTGGTACACCTGCTTGCAAATAGATCGCTTTTGCCACTCATTCTTTTGTTGAAGGCCACATAGTGCTTAAATGCATGAGTTCTACACTGCACTTGTATGCAATATTTCAATGTTTATTTTCATTTATTTCCAACCTGCTGGTATTTTGAATACTGAAATATGCTTAAATGTAAAATCACTATTTTTGTGATGGCAATTGGATATTTTTGTCTTTGATAAGAATATTGAGCAAATTTAACCCTAATTGTTATTACTAAGCAATTTGCTTTTTTTTAAGTCACAGTAAATGGTTTCTGCAATGTAATTTCCAGCAGTGGGAAAAGTTAGTGAATCTTGGATGCAGTAAATTACGCAGTGTGTTGTACGCACTACGCACTGTCTGGTTGGGTCAGTATTCGAGCATGTGAAGTCTGTGTCGTTTCAGTCTCACAACAAATGTGGATTCAGTGTCTAGAATATATACATTCATACTTTAATTCTGGTTTAATTTATGTGTTAGTCTGGTGCACACTATTTTGCAAATTCTAGTGTGGTTTTACTGTAAGTAACAAATCCAAATTGTTTTCTGCCATCTTCTAAGACACTTTTACTGCATTTGAGGTTCATGATAAAATTTGAAAGATATTATGAAAGCAGTTGCTGTTGTGAAGGTTGTTCAGAGAGTAACTTCCGGCGAGTGAGGCTACTGTGTTTTCTCTGCTGTGCTTCAGTGAGTGCGACTTAGACTTAGCGCTAAAGACAGGTGCACTTGTTCAAGCGCCTAAGTGCACACAGAGCTGCACCTCGCCTGCATGTTCAGTCCTGGTGGTTATGACTATTGGTCCTAACAAGTTTAAGGCCACACTAAGACACACGGTTTATATTTCAAACATACATTTCATAAACTGCTCCAATTCAGTAAATGCAACAGCAGAACACCAGAGTGGAAGAAGGGATGGCATGAATGTGGAAACAAGGAGAAGGACTAATGGTTTAAATGTCATTATACATATGATTATAAATGATATCTTCCCTGTTGTTGTCACTTATATTAGATGTCGCACTGTAGGAACAAGCATTATGCTGTAAAAATAAAGGTCTAGGAATTTGGTAGATTGTATACATTACTATGGCTGTAATGTCGTTACCCAAAGTATTGCAGATAGTTGTATAATATATGGACATTGCCTAAATTGAATTAAATAAAATGCTTTCAATATGTTGGTCTTTGTGTAAAACACTTTAGTTTGTGTCCTAGAAGATGCTAACATTGTTGTGTTTATCTTTAGTCAACCAACAATTTGCAGTTCGAAGTGACTCAAGTTTTCTCTCTGTCAAGAATAAGTTCTTTGTCATCGCTTTTAATAAAACACCTCCTATTCACAGATCATTGTGATGTGAAATTACTTCTCCTTACCTGGATGCATGCAGTAAAAACACCTGCGTGAACAAAAAGACTGATGTCAACACGCCCTCATTGCTTTTAGAAAGTTGTAACAAACAGCGTCTGAAGTTGTGCAAGGAGCTAATGACGCTCTAATTGAATCATTGGCTTAAACCGTAACAAGAATGTGAAATGTCTGAATTCACCAGTGGCCACAGTTTTAGTGTATGTGATATCTGTCCTATCAGTGCTTTTTTTCCCCATCAGTATTCTAATAATGTGTGTAGATATCATGTGCTGTAGATGAGCCCAATTAGCTGTGAGTAAATGAGCTTAAAAAATCCTAAGTGACAGATTGTAAATGTGAACTTGGCAGCATGACTGGTCTTATTGCACGCTCCCAAAATATAATGCATTTTGGCTATAGTTCTGGGCATTTAATCTCATCCAACTGAGTGTAGAAAAAACAAAAAAGTAATAATCATATTTTAGAATTGAGTGGTCAAAAGTGATTTGGACGCACACAATTCAGAAGTGGCTTTTCATTGAAGGGAATATGCAAACTATGGTACCCGCATGCCCACATTTTGTTTAGAAGGAGGCTTACGGTCAACCAAAAACCTCACACAAACACTGCAATCATGATGATATTATAAAAGTCTTGAATTAAAATAAATGCAGACCACCATGCTATTTTAGTAGAAAATATATTTTGCATACTTGTAAGAATGAGCATTGGGCTGAGAGCTGATTGGCTGAGTGAGAGTGGTCTTCTCTTTTTCACTTTTCTGTTGAGAAAACACATGCATGTGAAAACTAGAGATACTGTTTTAGATCCGGCGCGAGTTACGTTGTTTCGTTACATCATTCCATTGCTTTTGCTTTGATAGATTATTTAGTCATTATATTTTAGATGTATAGATATATTTTATATTAAAGGAGAGAAAGGTTAGTCTCTGTTTACTATTGTGACTCGATATATGCCAAACCGTTCAAGTCCCATCAGGCCGCAGTGCACTGTGCCTGTGACACTGGCACTGAACCATGTGAGTCATCTCTGGTCCTGTCTCTAAGCTCTTCTCAGACGTCTCTGCCTCCTCTCCCTCTCACTGCTGCTTTGTTTTGCTGTCACTTCTTTAGAGTGTTTAATTCTGTCTCGGACCGATTGTAAACTAATGTAGACCACATTGTCGACCACATTTCCAGTCAAGATCAATCTCTTAAAATGTCTCTTGGGAACATAATTGTTTAAAGACCTTCATTACATTGACCAAATTCCCTTCAAAGAAAATTACAGAGAAATTAAGCTTGACTGAAAGAATCACCCTAACTTTTGTATTAATCAGTCAACACGGGAAAACTGGCCTGCAAGTGGTATTGGGAAAAGTGTGATACAGGACTGCAATAACAATATACATTGCAATATTCCGCTTCCTCAAAGAAATCAATATGCAAACTTGGAACTTCAGCGTTTGTCCAGCTCCTCTCCCGCCATTTTGTATTTTGTTCTTTCCGTCCACTGTACCAAGACAGTCTGTGGGCTCTTCTAGTTTATGCATGAAAAAAACACATGATTTATACATAAAATGATTGTAGCTATTTCAATATTGAACTCTACTTTTTTCAATACATTTTGCATTCGTAGTCTACATGCATTTGTCTTTGGTCATAAACTCATCAGAATATTTTTTTTCTTTGGGGGTTCACCCGCAGCCTGTCAGAGCCCTGCTGTTTCTTCTGCATTAATTAGAAAAAAAAGTGAAACAATAAAGTTGGGGCTTTAAGTTGTCATATTTTTTGACATTTTGGTAACTATACAAAGGCTTGCTGTGTGCCTGCGTTCTCGCATTACTTGCGTGTCCTTGGACTGAAGGGTTTAATACATCTCCTCTTTGAAAGCCATGTTTAATTCATATTCCTTCAATATAGAATTCTTCTCCCATTGCACCAGAGCTTCTGTTGTCTGTCAACACAAGTGGCTATTTATAGGAAAGGAACTCTAGTTTGGAGCAAAACTCTCCGATTCAAGGCAGATTTTGGCCTTTCCAATTTACCTAAGATTTTGACAAGACAGATTTTAGAATATTTTTAACTTGTCTTTGGTTCAGAATACTGCTGCGTTTTGTTGTGTGCAGTGTGTCCGTGTTAAGAAAAGTGATTACTTACAAGTTGTTGTTCTCTTCTTGTTTTCAGGCACGCAATGTCAACACAAGCGAGCTGGCTGCAATCAAAGTTATCAAACTGGAACCAGGTAATTTTTGTTTAGTTTCAAGCTGATAAATAAAATTTTATCTATGCGTCAATCTTACTTCAAGCAGCTATAAAATAAATGTACGAACCAAAAATGTTTGTACTTCATAGTTCTTTTAAACTATGAAGCTTATAGATATAACAGTGGTAAGCTGTCTGCTGGCCTAAAGAAATATCTGAATTACAGACTTTTATTTTATTATTTATTATTTTTACATTTATTACTATTTTTTCCAATACAAGCTACTTAACAATTGAATCCAAATGGTCTATTCGCCTCCTTTCATTGCTTTCCCCCCGTTTGTGCTGCTTTCAAACATGTATTCATAAAACAGTATTCATTCAATCATAGTTCAGCCATTTGTTACTGGGGTCAAAAACACTTGCCTGGAGGCCTTTAGAGTCCGTTCTGATCAGTGTAAATCAGACTGCTTTAACTAATCAGAGTTTGACTTTACTATTCCCACCCTTTGATTTGATAGTCAGAGAGCGCGCTAGCTAGAACAAGTAAACTGCCTTTTTTGCGAGCTGAACAATATTCATGTTGGTTTACAACCCACAAGGGCTGAAGGAGAAGAAATTGACTTGGTTGTAGGTTTATTATCGAAGCCATTTTCAAGAAGGACTTTTCAAGAAACGCTGGACATTGTTACGAAAGTTCGGATAACTCCGAGGCTAGCAAGGTAACACCAGCCGTATACTTATTAGTGCTATGGCTAACTACCCTTTTGGAGATGGGCTATCTCTGTTTTCCTAAATAATGTGGCGCTTTTATGAGGTTATTAGTGATGCTTTGTATGTGTGTTGCAGCTGTAGCTGCAGTATAAGGAGACTTGTTCTCTTCTCTTTACCGGGAGTCGAATAGGCCACTGACGCTTTTGGCTGGTGGTCCGGTTCGGCTGAATTATTGTGTGTGGATCATTGATGTAACAGATTAATCGCGGCTCTCAATATGACGTCCTGATTGAGTAACGCTGACTCTGGCTGTTACTCACAGAAAGTTTGTGGAGGGTTGTATTTTGCCGTTCTTTACTAACTTCCGATGGAGGAAGCATGTATTGTTGCCATGGTATCCACACAGACTCAGGCACTGTAGACAGAGTGAAATGTTTAGTGATGCGCTGATGTCGCGATAATGCTCTAAACGTCTTATTGACCTATCAGATTGCACAGTCAGATCTTCTTGGTGTATAAATAGCCATAAAGAAGTTATTGAGAGGTGGATTAATTCAGACGAGCACTACTGAAAGCCTAGGTGTGAAATTCACAGTCCTACACTGAGATATACATAGTATAATCTCAGATGGGCAGCTCAAACCATGTCAAAAAAATGGATCCCTTTCAACAACAAAAAATAATTGAACTTTGGGGACATAATTGTTACATTAGGACGTGTCATGTTGCATGGGCATTTCGGATCCACTTGCATACAGTCTAAAATAATCTCATTTATCAATCTTATTATTATTATAGACTTTTGGTGTCTACAAACAGTAACTTTCTGTTACAGTTTATTAACATTTTTTGTGCCTCAGTATTTATTATCTGTACCTTTTTCTTTGCAGAAGTGGAGAGATTTTAAACATTTTAAACTGTTTCTGCAAGGAATTTAGCGCCTGTAGAAAAACAATTTTCTTACCCATGGATCTATTATGTTAACGGTTTTAGCTGATTTGTCCTGCTGTATTATAGTTTCTTCAGTGGCATAAAATCATGCCACAAGGTATTTCAACTACTTAGTATCAGTAGTTGAAATACCCTGGCAAACATACAAAAAGTAAGAATGGCTTTCCGTTACATTTTTTGGTCATTGCTTTTACAAATGTTATGTTAAAAAGTATTCAACTGACCCTGAGTGCGTGTTTGGCCAGCCTTGTAATGTTTGTGTTTGTGTATGTGTGTGTTTGTGTATGTGTGTGTTTGTGTATGTATGTGTGTAATGATAGGTGAAGACTTTGCAGTTGTCCAGCAGGAGATCATCATGATGAAGGATTGTAAACACTCCAACATTGTAGCTTATTTTGGAAGTTATTTGCGGTAAGGAGCGCCCATGTCACCATCATTCACACAAACTTTCCAATTCAACCTAGTGATGCAGACTGAGCAAACAAGACTCTGGCATTTTAATCTTTTTCCTGTTACAGAATCAAATATAAAGTTGGCACCAATAATTGTGTTGTCTGGTGCGTTGCAGGAGGGATAAGTTATGGATCAGCATGGAGTACTGCGGGGGAGGCTCTCTACAAGACATCTATCACGGTGAGCCCAAGACTAACACTTCTCTGTGGACTCGTGTTGCTCAGGTCTCCTCACACGTGTTCTTGTGTCATGTCTGCAGTCACCGGGCCTCTGTCGGAGTCACAGATTGCTTACATGTCACGAGAGACTCTACAGGTACCACTCTCCAGCCCGGTCCCTAATATGGGAGCGTTTCTTGTGGGGATGAAAAATGTGTTCAATCAAATTCAATGTATTCTTGTTTAGCCCTAAATCACAACAGCAGTTATTTCAGAGGACTTTACAAAACTGTTGAGTTTGCCAACACAGATCAGAGAATCAAAACAGTTCAAACACAAAGAATAGAGAACACATAGGTATTGGTTAGAGGTGCAACGGTTCATCACTGATCCGTGATCCGTTCGGTTCAACGTCTTCGGTTCGGTACAGACGTGATCCGCGGTTTAATTTATGAAAAAAAAGTTGTGCGCACGTTATTCAGTCCACACACAGCGCGGTCATTGCGAGCGGAGGAACGGAGATGCTTGAAAGCCCCGCGTCATTTAAATCCCCAGTATGAGAGCATTTTGGCTTCACTGTAACTGCACTGATAATTAATATTCGACAAAACTGTCACGATGTGTAAGCACTGTGGCACAAGAAAGACATGAGTGAAAAAAGCGTCTCAACGACCACCTATTGTCGCGGCATTTAAGCAGCTCCTTTACGCACAGTCAGACCAGGCTAAAGTCAACTCTCCCGCGCATCCTCAGCTGCGCTCACGACTGACGCTTGGACGTCCCGCGGAACCTATAATAGATCCATGAGCGGAACCGCTCACTTCATCACCGCAGACTGGGAGATGAAAAGTCTGGCGCTGCAGACACGCCCCCTCTACGACAGTCACACAGTCACACAGCGCAGGTACTGACACAAGCAGCGGAGGAATGGAAGACAAAGGCCCAGTACTAATATCCCAGTCACAACTGATAATGCCAAAAATTAAATAAATGCAGTGAATGAGGCTGGGCCCAGAATGGAGCGCCTCCTCGAATCAGGAAGGTGGTGTAATATATGAGAGTAAATATCCTCATAAAGTGCCTTCTTATGTTGCACTTTGTGTTGTTTTTCATTAATTATGTTAAATAGACATAATTGGATGGATGGAATATTCCATCCATCCATCCATCCATTTCCTTCCCCTTAATTCATTTCTAGGTCAGGGCGGGGGGCAGTCAGAGCAGGTGCCGAGTCCACATAAGCTGTGTTTATTAAAAAGACAAAACTTTTTTTTTGAAAAATGAACCGAAAAATGAACCGAACCGTGGCCTCTGAACCGAGGTACGAACCGAACCGTGATTTTTTCAAACCGTTGCACCCCTAGTATTGGTCCATAGGGGAGTTGACCAATGTCCATAAGCGTTGATAAATGTCCATAAGTGTTGATAAATGTCCATAAGTGTTGATAAATGTCCATAAATGTCCATAAATGTCCATAAATGTCCATAAATGTCCATAAATGTTAACTTGGTCCATGTTGTTGTGTCATTAGGCCAGACTCATTCTGTCTGTGTGAGAATTCTGAGCGAGTGACTGGTAGTGTTTGTAGATTTAAAGTGTTATTTTTAGACTAGTGCTTAGAGATGTCCCAATTTCAAGTTGAATGACAACGAATGGAAATAAAACGACCTAATTTTACATTAATTAATATTTTTTGACGTTCAAGAAATGTCTGTTAATAGCTTAAAAGTTCTTGTATTTCTGTTGCACTGAAGGCTTAATAAGATTTGCCCGTAAAAAAAACTTCAAAATTAAGACTGATTCTAATGTAAACAGATTAATATAAGTACTTAACGCATAATTTAACCTCTTTAATCTGTATGTAGCCAACTTCGTCTCCCATTCATCATCCAAAAAGTTGGATTATGTGACCAACTTGGTAAAAACGATTGTACTTTTAAAATCCTCAACATTTACAATTGATTGTTTTGGAGATTATGCTTTGACCTGAGAACCCACGATTATTAGTTTGATAACCATGATGTGCTTGGTCATGTCAGAAAGTGTATTATTGTGTAATACGTTTGAATTTCCCAATCATGTCTAAATTTCTGACTCATGATCTTATGATGGTTTTAGTTTGACATGAGATCAAGTGTTTGATGATAATTTACTTGTTTTTTTCACAGGGTTTATATTATCTTCATAACAAAGGCAAGATGCACAGAGACATAAAGGTAAGGTTCCAATGAGTTGCACTTAGAATTGTGAGACTTGTCATTGTTTTCATACAGTTTATGTGCACCTGATACAGTTAGCACTCAGATGCTAAGCAGGGACGGGGCCTGGTTAATAATGTGATGGTAGACCTTTGGGATCACCAGGTTCCACACTGGGGCGGCTATGGCTGCCCCAGTGCAGCTGTGGCTACAGTAGTAATGCCATGTGCAGCATCTTTGTCATGAAAAGCGTTGTATAAAACAACTGCATTATTCTTTTCTGCTCATAACTCCTGCAGTTTTCTCACGTTAATTGCTAGGTTTGCTTTGGGCTCATTAGTTTGCCGTGCATCGAAACGGCAGAAAGTGCTTCTGTGTGAGCTGATTGGAGTTGACACAGAGGTAATTTATAATGTGGCTTGTGTTTGTGACAGGGAGCCAACATCCTCTTGACCGACAATGGTTATGTCAAACTAGGTAAGAGGAGCAATTACCTTCTGCTTGAAAAGCATGTCAATGGCCTATTTTTCCCAGTTTGGCTCCTTCTCCTCCATTCTTTCACCCTGTAATTTCTGTTCACTTTGTCTTTACTGATTTATCAAATTGTTTTTTTAGCCGATTTTGGCGTGTCAGCCCAGATCACGGCAACGCTTGCCAAGAGAAAGTCCTTTATTGGAACGCCATACTGGTGAGTTGACAGTATTATTAAAGCTGAAGCATTTTTTTAATAAAGAGATTAAACCTACATTCAAAAATGCAGCGAGCCCAAAAAAGATATGTATTTTCATCAGATCCTAGATACCTGGGGCCGTATTCCTAAAGATTCTTAGTGCTAAAAGTTGCTCCTAGTGGCCAAATTCTAAGAATTTTCTTAGAATCTTGACCAACTCTTAGAATTTCCCCTAAAAGTGAGGAGTAGCTTCTAGTTAAGAAAAAAGCTATTCCTAAAGAATCCTAGCTCTTAAGAGTGCTCCTAAGGTGAGATCCCTTAAGAGTTGAGAGGTGGACTTTTAGCAACTTAAAAGTTCCCTAAGAGGACAAAATGGTGGACGGTAGAGGCAGGAGAAATATTCTATACACTGGATCACAGTGAATCAGTAAAACGCTGCAGATTGGATCCTGCAGGAATCATGTTTAAAAGTCAATCATGTAAAAGTCATCATGTACAAATATACAGTTTTGTTTTATTAACAGCAATCCAGTTCAAAAAGGAGTGTGAAGAAGTTAATACTTTTAAACTCCCACCCTCTATTTATCATTCTAAATTAACTTAAATTATGTGGTTGCTACAGCTTAGTTTATTCCATGGTGTATTTACAGTTATGCAACAGTGACATTCACAATAACATGCACTTGATTTGTGTATGTATAAAATGCTTATATTAATATTTTTTCCTTAATTCCTTTTACGTCTTTCAGTATCACAGCCTTTACTAGCACGGTGGCTGAGTGGATAGCACTCTCGCCTCTCAGCAAGAAGGTCCTGGGTTCGAATCCCGGTTGGACCAGGGCCTTTCTGAGTGGAGTTTGCATGTTCTCCCCGTGTCTGCGTAGGTTTCCTCCGGGTGCTCCGGTTTCCCCTACCACTAAAAATATGTACAATAAGTCTGGCATGTGCCTCCTGTACTGGCACCCCCACTCCCAAAAATCATAATTGTAAACCGCTTTGAGACTCCGATGTGCAGTGAAAAGGCGGTATATAAATAAAGATTACTACTACTAATACTAATGTTATCATAATCATATATATATATATATATATATATATATACATATATAAGTGCTCATGTTATATACGTTTGTTAAATATGTGTGATAAATTGGTGCTGAGCAAGCTCTAATGATGTGGTGTAAAAGTCAAACTTACAACAGTAAGTTTGACAATATTAGTAAATACATTGATATATCTGACTTTCTACCTTTTCTGATTATTTACAATGACACAGTATTCCTAAGATTAGATTCTATGATTGAGTTTGTCCATTAGAGGATCCTTATTTTGCCCATTATCAAAAATATGGTTTCTCTAACTTTTAGGATCAACCAATCACAGCGTCTGAAATGATGACTCATACCTAGCAACGGGGTCGGCCATGCCTCCTCACTAAGATAAAAGTTGTAGTCCATTCCTTGCTCAGAGTTCTCTAAGAGTGTTCTGGAATAACTTTTAAGCTAAGACTCCTAGCTAGGAGTTTTTAGGTTAAGATAGGAGCTCTCTGAGAGGACTCTTAGAATCTTTAGGAATACGGCCCCTGATCATTAGTAGTCAAGGAGGCCATGAACCAGTATTAATTTGCAGTAAAAGTTGAAGTAATGGTGTTAACAAGTATGTTAGCATTGTCCATTTAATGTATAGTCTCTGGTTTAAATATGTAAGCAAATGTTTCAGAAAAAAGCAAAACAAATCCAAACAAAAAATACCTTCCATTGTACAGAATGGATGTGATGCTACAGCATTGGTTAAATCAGATAAAGCACTTCATAGGGAAGTACTGTAGTTAATAAATGTTGACCCTTTTTTTAATAGATTTAGAACCTCAGTGACCGGCCCTTTTGAATTCTTTGACATGAGCCAATAATGTGCTGATCCCACATGTTCTATCATTACTAACAGGAATCTTACCAGAGCTTGTGAAATGTAGGCTGCATCTTGTTGATTTAAAATAGCTGTGCTCATTCAAAGGCAGTAAGCATTAAGTTTGTTCTGGTATTGGGTGTCATGTCATTGTCCTCTCTGATGGCGCTCAGGATGGCGCCTGAAGTGGCTGCGGTCGAGCGAAAAGGCGGCTACAACCAGCTGTGTGACATCTGGGCCGTGGGCATCACTGCAATAGAGCTGGCGGAGCTACAACCACCCATGTTCGACCTGCACCCCATGAGGTACAGCCCCGCATCACTATCTCTGGGCGGTCTGCACGCTCTCAGACATTCATGCGTTTTTCTTTTCCCACAGGGCTCTATTTTTAATGACCAAAAGTAATTTTCAACCTCCAAAATTAAAAGATAAGATAAAATGGTAAGATGCAAAGACTTTGTCCACAATTTATAGATACAGTTGTGCTTGAAGTTTACTCACCCAGCTTGAAATTGTGATTATTTTGGCTCTATCTTTTGTAGTTTATGAACGCATTGTACTGGTTGTGTGTCTCCTTACCCTTATTTAGAAGTCTCCTTCCCTCAGTTCTCAATAGCGTGTATCTTGTCTGCATGCCTTTATACCCTTTTATACCCTTTTATTCCCTATTCCCTATACCAAAGCAAATTCCTAGTTTGTGACTTCCTGTTAACTTACAATGCAATAAAAGCCTCTATCTTTTGTAAATTCCTGGGCTGCCGTGCATGAACTCTACATTTTAGATATCCCCAGATCAGCTTAATTATGTTAAAATTAGTTAAAATAGAAAACGTGTTTCTTTGCCGCTTTTTCTTTTTACTTGTTTTTTGTGCATGTGCAGCACTTAGGGCAGCTAGTGCTGTTGTAAATGTGCAACACAAAAAGTTGACATTGACAACCCCACAACCACTAACAATGAGAGTTAGTGTTGCTGTGTTATCATTTGTAATCTCCAGAATATGGCCAAAACTGTGTGTGTGTGTGTGTCTGAATGGGTGTGTAAACTTTCAAACATAACTGTATATTTTGCCTTCTTATTCTCACTGTTCTTTTCTATCTGCTTATCAGGACAAATAACTTCCACCACTTTGTCAAACTCGCTCTCACAAAAAACACAAAGAAGAGACCCACGGCTGAAAAACTATTACAGGTAAGCCTAGAGTTTTCTCTGTGTCCTGTCAGTTATTGTTGCTTCAGACAGATATGATACTTGTTGATTCTACTGATTGTTTTAAATGTGACTCTCATAATCTCGCTCTTTCCGGTTTGGCAGCACCCGTTTGTGTCGCAGCCTCTGAGTCGGACTCTGGCCATCGAGCTGCTGGACAAAGCCAACAACCCTGACCACAGCACCTTCAACGACATCGACGACGACGATCCGGAGCCAGAGGTAGTCTTCTTATCTTCACATTAAAGCATCTGCAAAAATAAACCTGTACATTGGTTATATGAAAAGCTCTGATACTGAAGTGTTTTTTGTTTTTCTTTTCTTACATTTTTTGTTTAACCTTTTTCATTCTTTTCCATTCTTGTTCTATACATTTCAGTGGTAAATAAAAAAAACACCTTTTTATTTTTCCATCACTATTTCTTAAGTTCACAAATTACTTATAACTATGTACTTGTTCATGGGAAGGTCTCATCAATAACATCTACTGAGAGAACTACCATTTGGCAAGGCAGTTCATACATGAGGCAACTGAAAGTGCTTAACCAAACAAAGGAAACATGAAAACCATACATTAGGGATGTGACCATTAAGTCAAGTCCCAATTTGATTTTATTTGATCTCCAATGTCCCTGATGGTTTTAAGTTCCTGTTCTTTACACAAATCCACCTATTTTTAAATTCATTCATTGAATTTATATAAAAAAGAATGCACAATATCAGAATATGCATAGCTTTTTTTTTCTATTTCATTACTTGTCTACACCATTTACAAAAGCAAATTCCTAGTGTTTTACTTCCTGTTGCTTACACTGGTGATTAAAATAATCTTTGAGCAACTTTGTGCAATTTTGTGCATTTAGTCATGATAATAATTGCATGGATCGTTCGAGCTGTCAACACAGAAACATTATTATTATTATTTATGAAGAAGAAGTATTTTTCTTTTTTCTTTTAGTGCCTCTTGTGCTGATCTCATGAATAGAGAACCATTGCCTGGCCTCTGTCACTGTCTCACTCTCCTCTTTTCCCACTTGTTGCTTCCTTCTCAGTTCAAATACAGGGGTTATTTTCTACCCATAAGCCCCGGTGCTCGCCGTGCCCCTCGCTTTGCGGCCCGTAGGAAGGTACCAGTGTGAGCTGCCCTGTCTGCAGTGATGTCATTCTAACTCTAATGCCACTTGTTGTTCCCGTCTGCGCCGCCGCCAGAGACCCATGAATAAAAGGGCATTTCTATTCAAATCGCTGGTGGGGCGTTGTCATGGGAGCTGACGTTGGCCTTTCAGATTTAGGGCCTTGATAGATAACCTTGGCACTTTCACAATAGTGTTAAAAGACTAGAGTTCTTTAGTAGTTTGGCTTCTGCACAAACCAAAACAAACTTTAGCTAGACGCTTATCACTTAACAATAACAGGTCTTCAAGCGACTTAATTTGATACATTTGCGTACACAGACAGAGATAATTTCAAATGCACATAATTCATCAAGTTTTATGTTTTTTCAATTGTTATCGTTTGGTAAGTACAAGAAAAATACAATCAGTGAACGACAAAGCTAAAAGAACAGTTGACATGTAGTAGGCCTATCACTGATATTACTCAACTTATCGTCCAACAATTGATAGATAACATAAAATATGTTTTGGGTCTGAATATTTATGTATAAATTGTCATTTATACATTTTCTTGGCAAATGTGTAGTGGCGAGTATGTAGCTATTTTTTGGTAACGTTATTAGCTGTATAGGGTTCAAGATGACAACATATTACTTAATTTTGATGATTATTTTGATATAGATTATTTAAAACAAAATTGTCCTGGTATTATTCTGCTTCATCGTACTTTCATCAGTGCCATAAGGTAGTTTCAATATTTCCGTTTATCGCAATAGTTTATTTATGCAATTTATCGGCTGTTAGACCTGTTATGATAACCAACTTTATCAGAAGTACCGCTTTTATTATTGTACCGGCTCCGCTTTAAACTGTGTGTCTGAGTTCTGAGTGTCTTCTTGGAGTTTCAGTTTGCCGCATGGTGTCAGCATGTGCGCTAAATGACTTGGGTATGATCTGTTGTCTTGGAAATTGTTGCAGCGTAGAGTCATTTCCAGATATGGGATTAGCCCAAAATGACCGTGATTGGCCCTTATCAATTGTGTTTTATAACGTAAAAGCGCCTTTTCTGGTGGAGAGTTCAGTTTAGAGATTAAGCTGAACTACTGTACCTGGAATGTTCCACAGTATTCCTTCAAACTTCAATTTGACTCATAACCAGTTAATCATATCCATTTTTAGGAATATATTTTGTTTTTTACTTGCAGTATTTTGAGTGAGATGTGATACTTGTAACTTTGTCTAAGGAGACAAGCAGCTGTCACATTAGACCAAGTTCAAGCCCACTCTTTGGAAGAATATTAGTATTTTATTGAAAATTACGTCTCTGTGGACACACGCATGCTGTAGACCCTCCACTAGAAGTTTTGTTCAGAGCAACTTTAATTAGATGAAAATTTAATTTAAAAAACGTTCTCAGGATTGGGCAATATTCACTCTAAAGGGATGCAGCTGAAATTATGACTAAGTTTTTCAGAAAGAAGCAAACAGAAGTGCCAGCACCTGGTTCTTGTGAAGTTTACTGAGGCATTTTAAAACAATAGTATTAGGAGCACACGGACAACAATGAATCTCAAGCTAAGGTTTGTTATTTTCCGTTGACCGTTGCTATGTTGTGTGTGTCTGGTTGCAGTGTGGCTCTGGTGCTGTGTCATCAAAATCACACCCACAGGAAATGGCGGTGCATTGTTGTTTTTCAACCTTTGTAATCTCCTCAAGTAAACTGGCACCACATGTATGTTCTTAAACACGTGTTCTTTCCTCCTCTCAGTCCCCTGTGTCCGTCCCGCACCGGATCCGCTCCACCAGCAGGAGTACCCGGGAGGAGAAGACTCTCTCAGAGATTAACTGTGAGTTTGGATCCAAAGCAAACTTCACTACTTCCCATCATGCACTAACACTGACCTTTAATGACATTTCAGTCGGCCAGGTGAAATTCGATCCTCCGTTGAGAAAAGAAACAGAACCCCACCATGAGCCGGTGAGTTTATTCAGCAGTATTTGCCTCACGTCACTGCTGTCATAAGGTTAATACAAGAGGTACCACTCACTACCACCAGCTCCCTGACTCTGATTTATCCCTGTGAATGGGTTTACTTGCCATATCCAGTCTTGGAAATAAATGCCGTCATGCAATAAGCCATGACAGTTAGGAAATTAAAGACAAGATTTTTGAGGGTATTATTAAACTATACCACATACACTTTTCCTCTAAATCTGAACATACTCTGAGCAACAAAACTGGGGCAAAATTGGCCTTAAAATTGCACAAAATATTTCCCTGTGCCTCGGACTTGTACAGTACAGAGGCAAGTCATTTGGCTCATGACCAGTCAGGCCCGGTTCTGGTCAGGCTACGTCCGTACAGTGAGTGCATGCGTCTACTGCTGCTCACTCCTGTCACTTTCCTCATAAGCGGCACACTCTTACTGTGTGTGTTTGAGAACCATATTGCACGTCTTAAAATCCCATCAAATCCCAGAGAGTGTGCCCATCTTTACAGGATCAGACATGGACTTTGTTAAAAAGGTAGATCCCTCTCAGTTTCATTTGTAGCCAACACCAGATTTTCATTCATTCCAGTATCTTCTGGATGCAACATTTGCATAAATGCGTACAGAGAAAGGGGCGGGGAATGGTGATGGGTGACACCGCCATTTTATGGACACTGGAACTTCAAATTCAGGTCGATAAAGGATAATTCTAACAAGTATTAATTAAGATAATGAGGTTAAGTTTACATTATCCTACAATATGTCCCTTTTGAAAGATCTATTTGTCACGCACAATCACAGCAACCATTTCAATCTTTCCCTCTTTTTTACCCACTTTTCTGTTCCGTTTTCTTTTGTTTGATGACATCTCGCTTCTACTTCTTCTCTGCAACAAAATTACTGTTTGAGTTGTACATTACATTTGCACAACCCTCTCTCGCCTTCACCCGTTTATCTCCTTCCTCCCTTCCTCCCTCTGGTAGTTGTTTCATTAGTGTTCTTCTGTCCTGCTGACAATCTGTTCTTCCTAGACCTTCAGGTTATAGATGTTGTGCGTGGAATCAATAACATGTTACCATTTCAAAATCTAAGTCGGCATAAACACACCGTTATGTACGCAAAAGGTCTTTCTAGGATTGTAAAGAGAACAGAGCAGTGATTATTTGTTGATTATCATTTCACATTATGTTGTGTTTGTGGTGGATGGTCATTTTGTTGGTGGCAATGGGGCGCAGGTGCATGGTGTGGGCTTCTATTTTTAATGATTTAACTTCAAATAAGTACTTTTACACACCCAAAGTTTACAGAAAATCTTTCAGCATTCAGTACATCTACTAGTTCTACATCAGTAAAACGGAGTAGAAAAAGGGACTTTTGGAATGGCCTTGATTAAAGCTGGGGCGCTATTTTTTTTCTGGCAAACTAGTAAATTCTAGTTTTTCCTCAAGCACAGCCACACATCACGAGATAACAAACTTGTAAGGAAGAGCCATGTGAGTCACTTTGGACTTAATGCTCCTTGGCCATCCCTTTCTCTATTCAGTCTGAAATCTATGATAAAATATGCACATAGGGCAGGCACTCGGGATGTTTTTCACAACTTGTTCACATGCAGATGCAAACATGTGCACATTGAGTTTGATAGAGTTTGAGAAATCTGATACTCCAACTTTAAGCTGATTAACTTGGAGGGCACTGTTTCTCATGACCATAGACCGTATAGAGATGGAGAATGCCGACTCCATATCAATGAAACTCAATAGCGAAGTGCTCATGGCTCCAAGTAAACTCCTTTAGCCCTGTAGCTGTTGGCTTGAGCTTTTTGGGGTTTAAAAAAATCCATTATTAGCGAGCTCTGTGATCCTTACTCTTCAATATTCTGTTTTGTAAATCCAGGTATGACCTATATTAACCAATCAGATGGCTTCATTCCAAGGGGAAGCTCCAGGTGGTCTTGTTACAGTGCAAAGCTAACATCATCTGAATAAATGCCCATATAAGGAAATTGACTCCAGCTAGCTTATGTTCAAATCAGCTTCTTCTGCATTCAGTAATGACTATGGGTGATGTCAGCATTTCTTATATACTTTCTCTGGAATTAGTTCAATCAAAATTAAAATATAATCATTTCAATGCAGTATTCTTCAGTTATAGTGTATATACAGTTATTCAGAAATCGCCCTGTTTGTCATACCTTCCATCATACTTGTTCCACAGACTATCAAACCATTTATTATACAAAAAATAATCCCATCCGTGCACCCATCTGCCTGTGGTCCACCCTGTTCTCATTCTTGCCACACACCCTCCATGCGTCCAGGTGAATGTATTAACTGAGGTCTCTCTCGCTCTGTCTTGCTGACCAGTGTGATTCTGAGCCCTATCTGGACTGTGTCGAGGAGCTCTACTATACTGCAAGACCTAATCTGGTAGTACTTTTCTCTCCGTCCCTATCTCTGCCTCTGCGTCTGTCCACTTAAAATAGCCTCTTTCTTATCACGTCACCTTTTCCGTAAGCTTCTGTTACTCTTTTGCCGTCTCTGGGCCCCTGTTTCTTGTTCATTTTGCAGAAATCTGCGGTTTAGTTTTCTATTCATTTCCAAGTCTTTGGCAGCTTTGGCTTTTGCATCACTCACCTTCAGATGTCAGTGTTGGTGATTTAGGTTTTACTCGCACACATTTGGAGGGGAGGTCACATTTCATACACTCAAGGGGATTTATTTCTACTTCAGTGTTTCTCTGTAGATTGACTTTTCATCAATTTGTACTAAAGATACTTTCTCTCCACCTTGCCTAGCAATATGTACTGCTGTTCTTTCAAATATGTGGTCTTTTATGCTTGTATGTCTGCATGCTCGCTATGTTCTGTATTCCATGAAGTGTGATTTCACTGTAGTATTGTTCCTAAGAACACACAAATGTTTTAAATTTGTGTGTTTAATGTATAAATGAATGCTAAACACATTGTAAATAATTAGCTTTTGTGTATATTATGTCCCCCAACCAGGCATAACATGACCTACAGCCCTGTGTAAGGAAGCTTCTGTACTGTATGTAACTACACCTCTATGCATGAACGGAACGAAGGTCAGACATGACCTCTTGTGGTTTCATATTATCATTTTGGCCTGAAGGCTTCGGCTAATGCCCCATCAGTATTTGATGGGCAGGGTTTAAACATCTTTAATAAGTTCTGTGGTCATGTAATCCCTGATTGGGGGTCATAATGTTAATGATTTTATATGTTACTATTTGTATAGCCACTTATGGGATATTCATTTATTTAAACAGATCCACTGTTCTACTGCCTAACTTCTGTCTGCTGGGTATTAAACATGACACTTTTTGCAGGAATTGCAGTTGGAATATGGGCACGACTCACCAAGTCTATTGGGAGGAAACCATAAGTAAGTTTTTAAGACATCAAAGCCATTCTGCGCATCCCTTTTCTTAACTTTAACGTTTCTTTTTCCCAAAGGAGTCTCTTGAAGTCTGTAGAAGAGGAGCTGCTGCAGAGGTATGTTCTAATTGACAAACCTCCCGATTGACTTCATGTCTTCTTGATTTGCTGGTGTTTTAACTAAGCCCACCCATCAATCAATTAACGGCAAAACTAATCGGCCCAATGACATGCGACTAACTGCAGGGCTCAGAGCAGTGGCTGTGGGACTCTTCTTTCCAGCTTCCTTGCTGCTTCTTTTCACTTTGGGGTCTGACAGTGCTTCGCAGGCGCTTTGCACAGGGCATGGCTTACACACACGCGACACATGCTACCTCCCAATCTGCAGTGGATGATCTGAGCAAACCCTTCCAATCAAAGCCTATGAATATGACGTTTTGAGCACTTCTATTTTACTTTGAGAAAAAGAAAACGCAAAATTGGAAAACTATTACCTGCATTGCGCCATGTACGTTTCTGGTTTATTTGTATAAACAGTTATAGGAGGTTGTTCTGGATTTAGTCTGATTTATAATCCTTGTTTTTAGGTTTGTATTTCTTGGGTAGTAATGATGCCATTTGAGATTCACTTCTGGTGTAATCACCGAACATATTTTCTTTTCATGTTTCTTGGCATACAATGTTTTTTTTTTTCAAACGCTTATTGTTTTGTCTATAGATACCTGTCATGTTGTTATCCAGAACTTATATGAATGTGTTACAGAAGGATGGAATGAGTCTTCAGATAATGAAATTTCATCTTGTAGTGATCTAGACACTTTGGTTGATCTGGTTCACTTTAACTGGACCATCTCTTGTACAACTGGGGCAAAACATCTTCAAAACAGACTTAAGTTACCAGTGGACAAATGTTTGGTGGTTTTACATCCATAATTAAAGCCTCAAGTGAACCATCATGTGTCCAGTTAAAGTGAACCAGTTCAACAAGTGTGGGTGCGCCTCCAGTAGATTGCAACGATCCAATTGCAAAGTAACGGATACTTAATCCGTGTCGATCAGACGGATACTGCTAATCCCTTTGAAAGTGTGTGTGTTTATATGTGATAAGATCCGGGTTTAGTGTTGGCTTCACTGAGCTCTTCCTCTCCCTCCCCCCCATTCTCTTCTGCATCCTTTGGCCTTGCTCCTCGTCCCCTCGTCTCGGACACTTTCACGTCTCAATCTCATGTCCCCCTCCCCCCTCCTGCCCTGTCTCCACCTCCGCTCCCAGGGGCCATGTGGCACACTTAGGGGATGATGAGGATGATGATGGTGCTGATGATGAAACTCACACTCAGTAAGTTGTCTCCGAGACCTAGACGCCGGCCTCGCTTCTGTCCCCCTCATCCTCCCCCGCTCCCTTCACTTATTGGGAGGATGAGGTAGGAGACAAAAGAAGGATGCTCTCTGTCTCTTTGCCACAGTTTCATCCACGCCTCTCTGAGCAGCACACCCCACCATCGCACCTCAAAAACACCTGCGTTTGTGTGTGTGTTCTCCATGCTCCCGCCTTTTTCATCGAATATTACTAACTAACAATAACCCTGCACTAAAAACACACCCAGATTCACACATCCAGCTACAATTCTTGTTTATTTATACAGAAAGAAGAAAAATGACATAGAAATGTGACGAATATGTTTACAACTCTACAATTGGTAATATCAATATGGAAATGGAGTCTGGGTTTGGTTTTAAGTCCAGATATTGCCGACGCTTCATCCTGCTTTGCCATCTGCGTTCTGCTGTGTGTCTGTGTGGTGCTGTGTGTCTGTGTGGTGGTGGTGTGTGCGCCTTCTTTCTTGTCTTTTATTGAAGTTATGACTACATGACTTGACTTGCCCCTTCAAAGTGAAAGAGTACAACGCCTTTTTTGCATACATTAACTTAAAGCTGGGGTACCTTACTTATTTGTTTTCAAAAATAATCTTTTTAAGAGCAAAAATGTTCTGAACAAATCAGACTACAAGATTCTGTTTTTTATCTTATGTAAACTTGCTTGTGGAAAATAGTGAGGGAATCAAACTGTTTTAGAACCAGTAACAAGTTTGGGTTTTATTACATAGTTAAATGTTTTATGGTTTGAAAGTTAGGAACCCCAGCTTTGATATTTTCCTCTCAAAAACATCAACTTTTTTTAGTTGTATGCTTGATTAAAAAAATGAGCAATGTAGTCTTTTATGTTCAACAGTCCATGATTTCCATAGCTCCTGCTTCCACCAACCATAACATATTTCCAACTGCTGCATACTTCAGTAAAAACTAGCAGAGGCCAAAAGCCTGCACTAGTTTTTCCTTTCTGACTTTTATATCAGTGAAAGATGCAACAGTGTCCCTCTATGTAGCTTCCACTCCTTGTTTCTCAGTTGGAATGAACAAGTTCTACATCTATGTACAATGACAAAGTGTCTGAATGGATTTGACGTGTCCCATCGATTCATGTTTATATTTCACATTTATGATCTCATGCATCGTCTGTAACTAATCTATTTTGACGTCACAGAAAATACACTTATTGTTCCCTTGAGTCATCTGTACATACTTGTCATATACTTGCCTTGTTGTCATCCAATATAAGACTAATACAAATTGTTAGTGTTTGTATTAGGCTTAAAAATTGGCTAAATTAACCCAGTTTACTGACATTCATCACTTTCATTTTGCATTTCAACTAAAATAATATATTAACATCTAATATTTGTCCGAGTATGCATCAAATCATTAGTTTTTTCCATTCTCTTTCAGTAAATCCAGCACGATCATGAGGCCAAAAGTCCCTCCTCCTCTTCCTCCTAAGGTGAGCTCTGATTTAAGTTTGTCATTGGATCGTTTATTTTATTTTTTTTGCGTTGCCTATCTGTGTTGAGTTTAACTAATCAAACATTGTCTTTTTGTTCCTTTATTACAGAAATGTATGTTTGTTTTTATGTATTCTTTATTGTTAAAGCTTCAATGTCAAAACTTTGATGTGAGAAAATAAAACTTATTTCTACTTTTAGCCCAAATCCATCCCCACCTCCACACCGCCGCCACATCCCAAGCTGAAACCGGACGACAGCCAATCACAGAACGAGGAGGACGGGGGCGGGACCATCAAACGATGCCCCGTCCCAGAGACGTCGAGCCCCGCCAAAGCCTCTAACGTCCCCCCACGGCCCCCGCCCCCAAAGCTGCCCCCCCACCGGCGCAGTAGCCTAGGTAACGAGAGCACGGCCTGCCCGGAGGTGGAAAGCACAGCCCCAGAGGATGATGGGAGCTTTAGACATTTCTGGGAATGGCTCCACACGCCTCACACAGAGGAGGAGCTGGAGGAGGCTTGGGAGGTGCTGAAGGAGGTCAAAGAGGAGCAGGAGAAAGAGAAGGAAGCGAGTAAGAGATCAGTAATCTCCGCTGACCCTGTCCTCCCCTCCGATTGGTCGTCTGCTCTCCCATTAGTCGCTCCTCGTAGTCTGAGTACTTGTGCCGTAGTCTCATTAACAGCAAAAACCTTTTATTTGTGTTTCAAGTTCCTCCCCTCCATCAGCTCCTGCTCAATATGATTTTGTCTGTTAGGTCATGGATATTTTTGTTTGTAACCAGCAGCAAATTAAAATCCAAAACTTTTCCCTTTTTTTTCCATTTTCATGCAACTGAACACACTTTGTGCCATATAGATTTGTTTTAATACATTTTTCTCAGACGTTTTTTCTTTTATTTATCCATGTTGATTTTAGTAGTCTTAAATCTTAGTTTCAGGACCTTCGGCCGTTTCACATCAAAATTCTGATGGAAAAAGTAAAACTAGCATTCCAGTAATTATTATTTTGAGATAAGTAATCATTTCAAGAAATGTATGTAGATAATTGTTATATTTAGATATAATTATTAGTTTGTGAGTGTACCAGCTGTCAGTTCAGTCAGCTGGGTAAGGAGTTTTTGCATGTTATTTGAGGCATTCATGCTGTGTGCAATCCTCACAGATTTGATTTTCTCTTTCTTTCTAACCGCCCTCCCCCGGCTCTCAGCAGTCACTGCTTATGTTTCCCTCCCATGTGTGTCTGTGGCCCTGTTAAATTGTACTCAGCCTATGAGTAGAAGTCTAATTGTATGTACTGTTCTTTTCCCCTCACTGGCCCCAAGCTGCACAGGTGCACGTTTAGCATGCTCTGTTTGCAGGACACTGCATTCACAAACTCAGTGATGGGTGGATGTTGTTACAGGTAATGGACTGAACACTGCACACAACGGGGAGAAGAACAGCCCTGCTGAAAGGCAGTCCACAATGCCCCCTAGTGTCCCAGCACGGAAAGACAAGAAAGATTCTCAGGTAAGGAGCCATGCTGAAGAATGCACCAGCATCACCCAAACAAAAATTAGTTCACTTAAATCCAGGAATACAGTTTTCCCATATTTATTATATGCATTATTCTTGCACTGGTTCAAATGTAAGGGTCTTAAAATGTGGAAAAGTTGTGCATTAATGTGGTCATATACTGTTTACCCATTATTTAAAACCATAACAATCAGTACTTTTCTCACAGATGCAAGTCAGCAACGGGCTTCCACCAACTCCTAAAGTCCATGTGAGTATTTTGAGAAAATGCACAATGATCTGAGAATGTTGAGTGACACATGATGATGTGTTGTAGATGGGGGCCTGCTTCTCCAAGGTCTTTAATGGATGCCCCTTAAAAGTTCATTGTGCCACCTCCTGGATTAACCCGGACACAAGAGGTGAGAATAGATCATATTTTGTAACACTTTGATTAGATCAGTTAGCTGTAATCACGTGTGTTCGTTTCAGACCAGTATTTAATATTTGGGGCAGAGGAGGGCATCTACACATTAAACCTGAACGAGCTGCACGAGACCACAATGGAACAGGTACGATCTCGCACTTTGGCTAAATATGAAACTTATCTACATTTATCATAATAATAATAATCTGATAATCTCATTCTTTGGCAGCTTTTCCCTCGACGGTGCACCTGGTTATACGTCATGAACAACTGTCTCCTGTCTATATCTGGTATTGAACTCTACATCTGCTCATCCTTTGACACAAACACAATCTCAGAACAGATGGTATCAGTAGAAATCATGTAATGTTCACATTTCTATTTGGGGTCATATAGGTTTAGATAGATACTTTATTGATCCCCTGTAGGAGAAATCTGTGCAAACAAAACAAATAAATGGATCATTCTAAAAGTAGCTAACAATAGAACTTTAGGACACAGCAGCAGAGGGGGTGCAGCCGCTTGGTTCGGACCATTTTCTCTGCTCTGGTCCAGAGTAAAATGCTGAATGCTTTATTAGCATTTTTCAAAAAGTTGGCCTTCCTCCAGTGGATTTATGCTCTGCTTGGTTGCGACCATGAATCCTCTCTGCTCTGGTCTGGATCAGTGTAAAACCATATCTGTACTTTAACACACTATACTGCAGTAACATTTACAGGTAGAAAAAAACACAAAAATAACTGAAGCTCAACCAAAAACAGTTTCAGAGCTACTTAGGACTTGCTGCTGTTTCTAGTGCATTTAAATGAAAATATAAACAAATTTACAATACCAGTTTACACTTGTTTGTTTTCCAGGCAAAGCATCCCAGTTATACTCTCATAACGTGAGTGGTTTGTTTGAACAAGCCAGACAGTTACAGAAGCTGCCCGTCTCCATTCCAACACACAAGTTGCCTGATAAGATGATTCCTAGGTATACATTTATTTTTTCAAACGTGTGAATTACTTCTTTTGTGCTTATTGCAAAAACAAAAATTACTTCTTTTTTTTTTCTTACAACAGGAAGTTTTCAGTGACCAATAAAATTCCCGACACAAAAGGGTGCCAAAAGTGCTGCGTAGGTGAGTGCTCAGAATACTGGAATCGTGGAAACTGAATATTAAGCCTCAACAATTATTCTGAAATATAATTGTAATAGTTTTAATGGTAGTATTCAATGATTTCATTAATTTAATTATGCAGACTTGATTATCATATGCTAGTAGCAAAAACTGATTATTACATAACAGTGCAAAACAAAGACACAACTATTTTGATTATTTGTTTTTAATTATACATACAAAATATCAATCAAAAAAGTCATTATTTGATACTTTGGGCTGAGAGCTGATTGGCTGAGTAAGAGTGCGCTGATCTAAACTATACAGCTACAAGTAGTGGTCAAACCAAACTGTTTTATTCTTGATGGGAAAAAGAAGTGCAAACTAGTCGACTACTAAAGAAATCATGAGTGAAGAACTTCTGATGATAAATATTTAAAGAAGTGAAATTATTTTGTTCATAATTTCTTCCTCTTCTTTTTAGTGCGAAATCCATACACGGGTCATAAATACCTCTGTGGAGCCTTCCAGTCCAGTGTCATGCTGTTGGAGTGGGTCGAGTCCATGCAACGGTTCATGCTCATTAAGGTCAGTTACAAATATTATAAATAACATTATACAGTGGCACTTCAACGTTTACTCACCCAGGCAGACTTTGATTAACAATTAGTGAAAATTCATTCATTGACCTGTATATTTAAATGTGTTACTTTTATTTCTGTGCAGCACTTTGGAAACTTGTTTAATAAAATATACTATATAAACAAAGTGAAGCCTTTAATTTGGTTTTCTATTTTCAAATAATAATGACAACAGAAAACGTGTCCCCGATTAGAAGTCTCCACCCCCAAGTTCTCAAACGATTGAGTTATGTTTGGTTCTTATGGATGAGGTTCTGTATCCTATCTGTCGGTAAATCTGCCCATTCTTCTTCCAGTCCCTGTAAATTTCTGGGCTACCTTGCATTAACTGCACATTTAAGACCTCCCCAAAGCACGCTTATTGATGTTATAATTTAGCTATATTTTAGTCAAGCAATACGTTTTTATCTTACTTATTATCTCCAAATACGGCCAAAAGGAAGAATTCTCTGGCTGGGTGTGTGATGCCAAATAGATAGTTCATACGTTTGTTGAATGCACCCACCACAGAACATCGACTTCCCGTTGCCGTGTCCCCTGGAGGTCTTTGAGATGCTGGTGGTCCCGGAGCACACTTACCCTCTCATCTGCGTGGCTGTTACGAAAGGCACAGAACTGAACCAGGTGGTGAAGTTCGGTGCAGTCAACCCAAACGCCACCTCCTCCTGGTTCACCGAAACTGGTACAAAGAGACGTCCAAGCACATGTTTATATGGCCTCATGCAACCCTTTAATCATTTATTCATTTACTGCAGATACACCACAGTCGTGCGTCATCCATGTTACTCAACTAGAAAGGGACACCATTCTCGTCTGCCTTGACCGTAAGTGTGCTGCCCGTCTATATCAAAATACACATTCTTGATTGATGGATGGATTGATCAGTAATGGGAAACGATACCATTTGATAGATAGATACTTTATTGTTCCCTGTAGGAGAAATTCAGGTGTTCAGTAGCAGCAAAAACACATCCATCCACACAAACAAAACAAATAAAAATGATCATTCTAAAAAGCTAACAACAATAGTAATTTGCGACTCGATACTGTCTGAACATTTTCTTTGCAATTGTAAGAAGATTTTCTGCCTGTTTATTTGTAATATGACATTATTATAGCAGGTCGAAGTTTTGTTTGTCGTTTGCCCAATTATTGCCCCCTTCTTGCTGTTTGATAGGTTAAGGGTTATGACTGATTTATTGGTTATGACTGTCTCTGGGATAAAGTAGTTTCAATCTTTATCGTAATATATATGTATCATGGTGTTCTATAAGACTAATCAAAGAGTGATTTTAAAATGAATGCTCAATAAGTTGATATTTGCCTTCTTGGTTTGTCTCTCATCCCCTTTTACCTCCATGTGTTTCCCAGGATGCATAAAGATTGTTAATCTTCAAGGGCGGTTAAAATCCAGCCGGAAATTATCAGCAGAGCTCACTTTTAACTTCCAGATTGAAGCAATAGGTAAAGAACTGAGGTTTATGTTTTGTACTGAGCGGAGTGCATTTAGCTTAACATCTTGAATTCTTCTCCTCCACTTGTGCAGTGTGTCTACAGGACAGTGTGCTGGCCTTCTGGAGGCACGGCATGCAAGGTAGAAGTTTCAAGACCAACGAGGTAAAGTGAATGTTAATATTTAGCGGTACATGTAAAAAAAAAGTGTGAAAAAGTTCAAAGAAGTTTGTCAGTCACTTCTGAAAGTGATGTTATATATCTGAATACAGCTTAGCATGCCCTTACTAGGTTTCCTCCAGGTGCTCCCAGTGCAGTACAATAGTTCAGGGTGAATGAATATGTGTTTGTGAATGCGACAGTCGGACAACGTGTGGAAATTTGCCCAAAGGTGTTCCAACCAAATAAATAAATAATAATGATAAAAACACACCAGACTCGTACTACTTGAGTAAGGATTTAAATAAACGATCACAACCTAAGTCTCAAGCACAATATAACACAAGATATTCGTACGTTCATCTTTACGTATTCAGTACTTGATTGGGCGTTTGCATTGTTGCTTCACAGTATATTCTTTAGTTGGGTACATACTAGTATATTCTTTAGTTGGTACTAGTGTATTCTTTGGTTGGGTACATAACATGCTTGTATATTCTTTGGCGGGGTACATAATAGCCTGGTCGTACCACACCTTAGTACAAATGACATTTCGTACTAAGGTCTGGAGGTGCTCCATTGAGCTCCGTTTACAGGTGGGAGGGGTTAACTCCTTTTGCAGATTGAACCGATTGGATCTGAGTTTACCGTGACGTATGTAGTGCGCCCGAGTCTGTTGTTAGCATTTAAAATTTAGCCTAGCCATCACCTTTGCCGCTAATGGAGCCCGTAGGGAGTAGCGCCACAAGTTTTTCCAACGATTACATTTGCTAAACATTACCCTTGCTCCGGCTTCAATTTCTTGATAGAACCAGACCGGATTACTTTACTATCGCATTTTTCGACAAACTACAACCTACCAAACTAGAACCTACCTGTTTGACGCAAATTCTTGACGTCAACCTGCCTTCCGCGCTCTCTGAATGGTCGGTCGAAATTCAACCGATTGTAATCGCTAACATAGGGACTAGACCCAGACGTTACATGCAGTGAAATGATGATTGAACGGAGTGTACGGATGGCTAAGGCCATGCTCGGTACATACTAGTATATTCTTTGGTTTTATACATACTTGTATATTCTTTGGTTTTATACATACTAGTATATTCTTTGGTTTTATACATACTAGTATATTCTTTGCATAGATACTAGTATATTCTTTGGTTTTATACATACTTGTATATTCTTTGGTTTAATACATACTAGTATATTCTTTGGTTTTATACATACTAGTATATTCTTTGCATAGATACTAGTATATTCTTTGGTTTTATACATACTTGTATATTCTTTGGTTTTATACATACTAGTATATTCTTTGGTTTTATACATACTAGTATATTCTTTGGTTTTATACATACTAGTATATTCTTTGGTTTTATACATACTAGTATATTCTTTGGTTTTATACATACTAGTATATTCTTTGGTTTTATACATACTAGTATATTCTTTGGTTGGGTACATACCAGTATAAAATCCTATCAGTCTGTATTTACTGACGTATTATCTGTGGCTCACAGATCACGCAGGAGATCTCGGACAGCACACGGATCTTCAGACTCTTGGGCTCAGACAGGTAGGTGTTCTGCTCACAGTGACGCAGACTCAGGCGCTGCAGACTGCATTAACTCCTGTTTGTTGTCGCTGAAGACGTGCTGACAGTAGAGATCCAGACGCTGAGGACATAGGTGTCACTCTGCCCAGGTATACACGCTCTGTCTCGGGCCGCAGCTGCCCCAAACTCTGCCTCTTTCTGACTGTGTGTGGGGCGTAAGTAGGGGCAGTGGTGGAACACTTGAGAGAATAATGGGAGATTATACACCAATACCAGTAACATTTTCTATTGGCCCTATTTGTATTAATCTTCATTCATATATGTTTGTATAGGCTTAAAGCTAGGGTACCTAACTTGTGTTTCATTAATCCTTTAATGGTTTGGCTGATGACTCACTATATTTATTCACTATTCTAGTCGCTATTTGAGTTGCTATATCTACTTGAAGCTTGGAGCTGAAATCTACCTCATTGGGACATCAAATTGCATCTCAACCATTTAGTACAATTAAAACTAACTAGTGGTTAAAAGTTATGTGTTATTAGTGCTCCTGCATCGTAGAAAATCAAAAAAAAAGATATTAACATTTCTTTCTCGAGTGAACATTAAAGGGTTAAAAAAATACATGTTTGTCCCAACTTGAAAACAAATCAGACCACACCTTGCTGTTGTGCTGAGAGACGATGGTCCTTTCTTTTTAACTTTTCTGTCTGAAAAAGAGGCCACAAATGCATACACGTGAAATAGTTCATTGTGGTTTGAAAGTTGGGTACCTCAGCTTTAAGTAGTGTAATGTGTCTTTTCATATTTATGTATTTGTCTATCTTCTCAAAGTTTAGAATGTTACAATAATGGGCTATTTTTTTACCACTTTAGAAACTATTGTGTCTGGAACTTACTAGAATAGTTTTGTCTCTTTCAATACCGTATGCATGAGATGAGTCAATTGTTTTTAAATGGTGTCTATTTTCCCATTATAAAGAAAAATAATGTTTCAGGGTTTGGTTGGATCTTCTTTGCCTTTTGTGAGACTTCAGGTGTATTCAGAGCTGACGACTAACATTGGAAAATGGTGCAATGTCTGTCCCCCACTCTTGTCATTATGATTCTAATGATGTTTTCTTATCTCTCACAGGGTGGTGGTGCTGGAGAGCAGGCCGACGGATAACCCCACGGCCAACAGTAACCTCTACATTCTGGCCGGTCACGAAAACAGCTACTGAGACGTACAGACTCCTAAAGCCACACCGCTCCGACCACTATATAAACCAAACCTGGGAAAGCCTCCTTTAAAGCAAACACTACTCAGTATTTAACGACCGCAAGGCTATCTGATAACATAACTGACTGTGGATTTCCAATCGGGCTCAGAAACAAACAAGCTCATACAAAGCTGAGAGATCAAACTGAGCTGATGGATCTGGCGCCCTTCTTGATCTCGAGTCCGCCCTCCAGCAGGAAGTGACAACCGATCCGCGCTCCTGCTGCTCCTGCACACGTTACTACTGCTACTAGTGCTAGCTTCACAAAAAGCCATGTTGCACCTAATAATTTTCTCTTATTTTTCCTTTACCTTTTTTTAAACACCTTTTATTTATTGTACTATGACGATCTAACTTCAGCAAAAGCTCACCTGTTTTTATTGTTTTTATAAAAAAAAGAACGCTTCGTCACTTCTGCTATAGCATCGATGTTCTGTCCCCACACAAGTGCTTGATTGACCTCTATTTAATTGTTGTAAATATAAATGTAGTATTTTTGGACAAACACTAAGAGACTGGTCATAGACTGTTTGAATACGCAGGAGGAGGAGGAGGACGCACTTATGGTTGCATCTTTGTGACAAACTATACATTACAAAGTCTTTTGTGCGTGACGTCACTAATGCTCGTGTGCTCTAATCAGACGAGTGAAGAAGACCCGCTGTGATTGGTCGGTCATTCTGCATGTGTCACCATGGTAACCTTTTGTGTACACCAATGCAGTGTCAACAGAGCTGTTTATGTTCCTCTATACTAATTAGAAAACACTTTTACTTTTTGTTTGTTTCATGTTTATTGAACCACTGGTGTTAAACATTTTGCACAAGGATAAAGATTTGTGAAACAAATGTGATTCTAAATATGAGTGCACGTGTGGACGTGCATGGTGTACAGATCTGATCTCACATGTTCTGCTCCAGTCCTTCGTAGCTACATCAACAAATGCAAACTGCAATGAAACTGAGATTAAATATAAAGTTCCCTGTCTATGCTTAGCTTGTAGAATCAATCTAATATATTGGAGTTTATTGGAAATATGCTCATTTAAGTAGAACAGTTACTTATAACATACACATTGCAACAATTGGTAGTTAATTTAATTTTTTTTTCTTTGTTAGACATTAATAGTGCATCCTGGTCAACCACAATTTCATAATGAAATATGAATCATTTTGTAGTTATGGTTAAAGTAGGCAGTTCCTCTTGATTTAAATATATATAGTTTTTGATTCGAGGTTCTCTGAGGTTCATAGACCAAAGTTGCCCGTATTTATCTTCTGGGCGTCACAAGTCTGTCCATTCTATCAAACACTAATTTATTCTGCGTCCTCAGAATCTCGTCACATGTTCCTCGTCGACTCACAAAACTTTCAACTATTGAACTCAACCTTTGCATCCATTGATTTCAGACCGTGTTGTATTCAGTAAGAGATTTGTCTTGCGTTAACGTCAACATAAATTACTTCTCAAATTGTGGAATATTTTTTTTATGCAAACAGAGGTCAAACCTCCCGCTGCTTCCAAATTGTTGCTTTACTGACAAGGCCCCTTTCCATTAGTTTAAAATGTTCCTCAAAATGTTGGCTGGTTATGCTTAGAGGACGGACTATATTATTTTTTATTAAAAGAATTTGCATCAGGCGCGTCATACATGTTCGCAAGACTTTGTCTCTCCCTGTTGCTCACAAATAATTACAACTCATTTGATAGTAAGGGTTACTATGGGCTATCTCGGCATGTTATGTCACACTTAAGCAAATTGCCCTTTTTAAAGTAATCCTGAACAATGAGCCCATAATAGGTTATTTCAACATATAAAAAAGCATAAAACAGCATACAAAGTCTAAATCACTACAGATGAGTTTTAAACTCTCGTGTATGATAAAAACTCCACTTCTATGTAGACTACGGATATAAAAGTAAAGTCCGACTCTTGTTTTCAACATGCACACTCGTGTGCACATCGTGGCTCACATGGTCCGAAATATGAAACATCATTACATTTGACGTTACTGACATCAGCCTTAAACATTCCTTTTAATGTCCATTTTTCAGAGAACGCTTGAGTCTCGCTTTTAATCTTAAAAGTTAAATTTCTTTTTCAATTGACATTTTGTTTTGAGCTTAACAACTTTACAGCGTGTTTGTTTCTATTGAATAACGTCAAAAAACTGAAAACAATCCTTTGTTTTAGCCGCATGATGCAAATATATTTGGACATGTAAGAAATATGTGCAAAATGAATAAGTGTTTTCTGCTTTCCCTCTTTATGGTCCGTTTTCATCATGCACACGTAATAATGTATATAGTGTAAGATAAAAATGGGTTTGTTTTACCTACTGTACAATTGCCTATATTTTGTTTCAGAAGTGTAACAGATTTATGAGACGACAGGTTAACACATTAAAAAGATGGAAGTGAACTGTGTTGTTTTCTTATATATCAAACGTAGAAGTATTTTTGGCATAGTACTGTAGGATTACTTATTTTCCTGGGATCTCTACATATATAGTTAAGTTTATTCCTTACAGATTATACTAACTAAAACTGACATCTCATAGCTGAAGGAAAACGTTACAATGTTCAAAGACTACAGTAATACAGGTGTGCAGTTGTCATCCATGATTATAAGTGAAATAATTATGGTTAGCCATGCTTCTAAGTTCATGTTTTGGGTTAGTATGAAGCGCTTCTTAATCAGTAAGACAAAGTATTTATTAGTCATCATTGCCTCTCACTGAACAAAATGCATTTAACTTTTAAACTTAAGCACATAAAAGCTTTTACTTCTTTGCCTTTAATCAAATAAAGAGAATAACAAATACTTTCCACTAGGGTTTGTATCTGTACTTTTACTTGAGTACTTAAGACCTCCACTTATGGCTCCTGATCAAACAGCACCAAATCTGTTGAAATATAGAGTTTAATTTTCTTTTTAAACATATTTTACTAATACAACCAGAAGGTATAAGTCATCCTGAGTAAAGAATGACAAGAACATGGAAAAGGAGAGAATAAATAGGAGTAGATTTCAGTACAAAGAAATACAAATGCCACATATGGCTTTCAAAATTGACCATTTTAATGATTCAAAATAAGTTGCATCTAAAGTTGGAAGCCATGAATATGAAAACAAACTGCTACTAGTGCAAACAATATACTTGGTAATAAACAGCCACTTGTATAGATTTTGCTGTTGCAGAACCCAAAGGAAAAACAAAAGTAACTGCTTACGAGTACTTTTACTTTACGGCACGGTGGCTGAGTGGATAGCACTCTCGCCTCTCAGCAAGAAGGTCCTGGGTTCAAATCCCGGTTGGACCAGGGCCTTTCTGAGTGGAGTTTGCATGTTCTCCCCGTGTCTGCGTAGGTTTCCTCCGGGTGCTCCGGTTTCCCCTACCACTAAAAATATGTACAATAGGTATGGCATGTGCCTCCTGTACTGGCACCCCCACTCCCAAAAAAATAATAACAATTGTAAACCGCTTTGAGACTCCGATGTGCAGTGAAAAGGCGGTATATAAATAAAAGCTTACTTTTAGTATCCATAAACAGCTAAAAAAAAAAAAGGTTTTAAAAAGTGTGCAAGCATTTTTTTACAGCAGAAATGTGCGGGTCATCGTTACACGGCAGTCCCACGGGTGATCTCCAGATGCACCAGTTTAGTGGGCTTTTCATGCTCCCCATTTTGACTCTCATGGCTCTTGTCTTTCTTCTCATCACTGTTTCTGTCAGACCAAAAGCAGGTGATCAGCTTCTTCCTTGTAAATCAAAACTATGAACCAAACCCCACAGGAAATAATGCAGAAGAAATGTACTCAAGAGTGAAAAGTGTAACTCCACTTTTCATGGCAGAGAAGTGTTTTGTCTCCCTCTTATTATAGAGGAAAATCAAACATCCTGGAACATAGTCCTTCTACAGTCAAATAGATTCAATCTTCTGACAGCTATATCCTCCTTTATATTCACCATGAAAAGTAGGCAGGAGTTTTGATCTTTCTAAGGGATGTGCAGACGGTTCCCACTTATAATTTGAGTAAATGAGTCAGAGTCCATTTGTTTGTGGTTCAAAGGGTTCTCAGGCAGATCCAGTTTTAATTTTAACTGCATTTTGGAGGCATTATAGTAAAAAAGGATCGACATATTCCCTGAGCTCTGTCTAATTAGAGCAGGTGATTGCTGATTTTAAAAAAGGGAATTGCAGGTAAAAGTACATGCTTCGAGATTAACTCACACATGAGCCACATGAACATTCCTAATGAGTGCCTTTCCACCCTTAAATCCAACCCCTTTGATTATTAAACTATGGCAACTCTTACTTCTTCTTGAAGAGTCTCTTGAATGAGCTCCTGAAGCCTCCTTTGTCCTGTTTACGACTTCTCTCACTAAAAGCTGTATGGTTGTTGTCGTCTTCTCTCCACTTCAGCTCTTCGCCCCAGCACTGGAGAGCTGAGTCCTGTGGAGATGAACATGACATTATCTAGTATCTATCGACATCAAGAAGGCTTCTCCTCAGTTCACGAATACTTACGATGCTGGGCAGCCCGTGCAAATCGTCGCTCTGTTTGTCCGTGTCTATTTTATTTCCCTGTGGATTCTGGATCTTGCGTGATGGAGTGGCACAACCTTTGCTGCCCTTGCTGCCCTGGCGTTCCAGTTTGGCGTGGCTGCCCAGTGCCCCTCTGTGATGGTTCTCCGACAGAAGGTTGTTGTCCATGCCGGTCACAGTGTTCTCCAACTGGAGGCCATTCAGGGACTAAACTCAAACACATGAGCACCATGAGAACTATGAGCACATGTTGAAACATTTTCAGTCTATGGTTGAATCAACAGTTGGGCTAAAAATCAATCAAGAAAAATCATATATATTGTAGATGATCATTATGAAAATATCATGAAAAGGAACTAGAATAGTAATAGTAGGTAGGTAGATGATGATGGAAGACCATAACCAATATTACTTACTATGGCCAGTTTTTTATTATCCTTTTTTATTTCCATATTTTTAAGATAAAAAAGTAAAAATATGTAGTTTATTTTGATATTTTGACTTAATTAACAATTCATATCCAATAAAATACAGTATTGTTAACATAGAACATTATATATTCATCAAAACAACAGCTTTCATGATTTAGTGAATCGTATCGTAAAGAAATACATCGAGATACACATCATGTCAACAGGCAAAGATACCCAGCTATAATGACCAGTCTGTTTTTTCTTTCTATTCCAAAATGTGTGACAGTTTGAACATGCTTTTTTTGGGAATATGGTTTGCACACAAATGAATAATGCGAAGTTGTAGTACTTTAAACTGGTGCTTGTATCTGAGAAATGTCAAATATCGTACTGTATTTTTGGTCTACAAACTTATTCCAAAGAGTATCTTGTATCAATATTGGCTCTTTGGGTGGATTAACATCTGACAACACGGGAAGTCAAGACCTGAATGTTGAGCTCCTCCATCCCTCTCACCTTGCTCTTCCTCTGGCTCGCCTGCAGGGGGCGTGGCTGATTGCGGCGCATCAGGATGGCTTCATCTGGAGACACGCAGCCTCTGTGGAGGAGTTTGTAACCATTTCCTTGGCTGACACCGCTGCCATAGAGCTCATGTGGGGTGAGCACGTCTGCCCTCCTCTGGTGGGCAGCGGAGGGTCCTTTGGGACATTTGACAAAGGCGATGTCAATGGAGGAGTCTGAGGAGGCAGAGGAGCATCGGTCGAACATGGACACATCGTGCAGCGAGCCTCTCTCCTCATACAGGCTCTGCATCCCAGGAGGGTCAGGGGGGAGGAGGTACTCCCCCAGGGCATCTGCTGAGCCCAGGGCGCCCTGCTGGGGGGTCCCATGGTGCTGGCAGGAAGCCTCACTCTCCGGGATACTGCCCAGACCTGAAAGCCAGAGGTCGATTAACTGGTTCACTGGGGAATAAACTGTCCCTTTACCATTGCTGAGAGTCTGGCCACTGCCTACATGGGATACATAAAAGACGATTTATGGATTATACATTATGCAAACATTCATTGTCATATTTATATTATAGAAATATTATATGAGAAGTAGCAGCATCTTATTGTTAGTTCTTTAAAAAAAATCTATAGTCATATTGTTGTACAGATATCAGACCTGGTGGCTTGTGGTTTCTTGACTCCATTTCAGTGTTGAGAAATGGCCACTCGGGCTCATAACGTTCAGAATCACGGTCCCAGTCTTGGAAACGGTGAGACTGCATCTGCTCCAAGAGACGCTGCTTGTTGCGCTTGGCATGCTCCCTGTTAGATAGGGGTTTTTTTTAATAAATAAAAGTCCTACTGACAGAACAGCACTGCTGGCTGGATAGGGCGAGCCGATAGTGTTAGTCTGTATGCCACTTTCCACTGTCTTTAAGAGCTGTTTCATTGAAGTTCTACACAAATGTGTTAAAATATAGAGAAATAAAATATTGAAAGGCTGTTTTTAGCATCTCTTTGATATTATACCTCTTTATTTCCTTGCGGTTGTGCAGCAGTAGTTCCTGGTTGTGCTGGAGCAGGTGGTGATACTGAGAGGTGAAAGATCTGAAGTGTTGAATGGACACCAGCAGCAGGAAGTAGTCCGGGTGCTCGGCTTCTGTCTGCCTCAACAAGGCCTGCAAGCAAACCAAAGAATGTTTACAATCTCTATTTATTTGATCTCATCTTCGTTTGAGGCAACAGTGGCTCAGTTGGTGGAGCATTGGCCTTTGAGCCTGAAGGTTGTGGGTTTGAGCCCACCACAAGACCTACTTCACGACTCCCACTGATGACTGCTGTCGCTGTGTCCTTGGGCAAGACACTAACCCCCACTATGTCTGAAGCCCCCACAACACTGATATTGGTTTTTTGAATTATCATTATTGTCTTAGTACCTTTGCTTCAATCAATTGTGTTACCTCTGCCCAGGAGTTAAAGTGATCACCAGTGTGTAACTAAGTGTGCTTCTCAATACTGGGGTACCTAACCGTCACACCTCTAAAAATGGAATTAAGAAATTAAATCTATATTCATGTATTTTGGTCTCTGACACACTTTTTGGGCAGTTTTCTCAGACAGAAAATTCCCAAAGCATAAAATAGTAATTCCCAAGACTATTTGTCAAACCTCTGGAAAATATAATGTTTCCTAAGTTTCTAAGTTGAAGACTGCATGTTGTAGTCTGTGGTTCACAAAACTTTACTGTAACAAAACTCTTTCTGTTGGGACAAACGTCATGCACTGTGACTGAGGCATTTGTAAATACAAGCAGGTGACACAGTGATGTTCCTTTTGTAAATGACCTGCAGCAGGAGGAGGTACTCTGGGATCCTCTGCACCGGCTGAAGCAGCAGCGAGTACAGAGACGGCTTGGACTCATCTCCCAGAATGTCGCTCTAAAATCAGAAGGTGACTCATGAAAAACAAAAGTTAAAAACTCACTTACTTGCTTGAGAATGTAACTAAGTAGTGTAACGTATTAATTACTTTAAAAAGTAATCAGTCATATTTTATAAACTACTTTTTCAAAGCAACTTACCCAACACTGTTAACTATATCTGAAGGAGAAGGATGTGAAATGGTGGGTAGATGTTTTACCTCTAGTAAAGAAGAAGCCGTACTTCCAGAGGTCACTATACTGATGACGGAGAGACACTCAGGGAGCTCTTTCAGGTATGAAATATAGAAATCCAAGAAATCACTCTGTGAAAAACATTGAAAGGGACAATGTGATATCAAACATAACCTCCGTCTGCCCTGACTATCATCATAACAGGATAATGCAAACAGGTGTGGCTGACCATTACTGCATTTCCTCTGGGTCACTCACAGCTACTTACCCACACATTGGAGGTAATATAATCAGTCCTTACTGACCTTACACAGTCCTAAAGACAGAGCGACATGTTACAGCCGTTGGGAAACACCAGCTTTTATTATAAACCAATATCATGGTATACAGACGAGTCTTGTCTGCATTCTATAATTACAAACTGGATTTCAATACCAGGTGTTGAGTTGATACTAAACACCATTTTGACACTGCGATGACAATCTAAAGCAATTCTATGAGCTACATTTTTAAACATAACATAAAATAACAATACAACTTACATTTTAATGGTACCTCAAGGTACACAAGGTTAATATCATGGGAGCTCAAAATAAAAATCATTCAAAAATTGCTCAAAAAATCTGCACTGTTTAAGTGATTTTTTCTTTCAACATTGATCCTTTCTCAGATGAGTATCTATTTTTCACAATAGATTTAGCATCACTTCATACCTGATTATGTATACTTTTGACAACTCTAATAAAGTCAACACAACTGTTGTCTATAATAGGTTGTAAATATATAAATACACGTCACAAGACCAAACGGACTGCCCAGTAAAGTCTGGTCCTTGAGTGGTCTTCTTTGCCAGGTTTTTTTAGAGCAGAGCAAGTGTGTTACAGTATGTCAATGACCTCACATAAAGCACATGTGTGATATGTGAGAGCCAAAAGAATAACTGCAGAATCTGAGGAACACAGGGATCAGCCTCCTGCTGGGACTCAAAGGAGAACCGGGACTGGCCTCCTGCTGGTGCCCAGAGTTAGGACTAAACATGGGGAGGCAGCGTTTAAGGAGCATAAAAACAGTTTAATAAAAGTTCTGTTTAACTGTGAATACAACTGAAATATTGTATCCACACTCTCTGTAGTGTTCTGTAACTATTAAAGAATGTAAATAAAAAATATTTAAGAATACAAATAACGTGTGTGTCGTGCTGTTGTTGGTGGAGTTCAACAGGTATAATACTAAATGTAACGTCAAACCTCTTTGCTGGTGAGCCTCATAAAAACATCCCCCATGATGCCTTGCCACTGGCACTTGAGCACCCGCTCCTGTAACGTGTGCAGGAGCTCCAGGTGCTGCTGGATGAGGAACCGCAGAGAGCTGGGGAACGAACTGTGGGAGAGCAAATATAAATATGTCTTTATTATCATTTATTGTGTTTGTGGTTAAACTGGGAGAGACAATCTACAATTGTGTATCTGTTGACAGCTGGTCTATCATTGGGAACATGTGAGGTTATTACATTAAAGCTAGCTGGAGCTATGTAGAACTCATTAACTGCCATGGTCTGGAGTTTGTACGTTGTCCTAATTTGATTTAGTAATTTCCTCTGCCCACATTAGGCTTTTAAATGAAAATATTTGACACATTTATGTAATCGTTATTTATATACTGTAGCGCCTTTTATAGACCACAGTCACCAAGCGCTTTACAATTGTTGTGGGCATTTGTCTCTCACTACACACAGAGATGGGAGCGGGGTCGCTGAACAGGAGACACATGCCAGAACTATTGTTCATGTCTCTAGTGGTAGGGGAACCGGAGCACCTGGAGGAAACCTACGCAGACACAGTGAGAAGATGTAAACTCCACATAGAAAGGTCTGGAGGTGGAAACGAACCCAGGCCCCTCATGCAGAGCCACAATATTCACAGTGCATCTAAACTGCTGTAAATCCATGCCACTCTGGGATCAAAAAAACTATCACCTTGTTTGCCTTACCGCTTGTCTTTTGTGGTGAGTGTGTCTGATCCGTTGAAGGAGATATTGGCCTTCAGTAACAGAGACAGGTGAGAGACATAGACCCGCTCTGACTCCAGCAGCTCCAGAGACGCCCTCTGCCTCTTGTCTGAAAACACAAACATGTAAACATATTTGTCTTGTGTTGAGATGTAGCTGAAACTCTTGTCCTCCTACGGTTTTTGTTGGTGCCTTCGCCCTCATCTCTGCTGTTTTTCCTCTCTCCCCACCCATGGGCCCGCTGCGGCTGAGACTCGGGGTCAGTCGTGGACGCTTCAGCACAAATGAACAAAACAAGTGATTAGTGATCAATGAGTAAATATACTTTACTGTGAAAATGAATATACTGTGTGTGGAAGTGTTCATATACTGACTGTGTGTGGACGTGTTCATATACTGACTGTGTGTGGACGTGTTCATATACTGACTGTGTGTGGACGTGTTCATATACTTACTGTGTGTGGACGTGTTCATATACTTACTGTGTGTGGACGTGTTCATATACTGACTGTGTGTGGACGTGTTCATATACTGACTGTGTGTCGACGTGTTCATATACTGACTGTGTGTGGACGTGTTCATATACTTACTGTGTGTCGACGTGTTCATATACTTACTGTGTGTGGACGTGTTCATATACTTACTGTGTGTGGAGGTGTTGCTCCGTTGTGGAGATGCACTATGAGGAAGACTGGACAGATAGTGCTGGATGACGCTGAGCTCTGATTGGCCGATGTGTTCCTCCCCTGCAGCTGCCAGAACATCGGCCTTTGAGCTCTTACGACTTTTGGAAATGATAAAAGGAGATTATAAACTGAAATAATTATATACTCCAGTGAATCAGGACCAGTTTAAAGTTTAATTAGAAAAATATGTATGTTTTAAGAAATGTCTGAATCTAATTTTCAGCTGTGAAAGGGAAATTGTTCAAACACAACAGACAATGCTCCAGGCTTCTTTGGGTGAGTTTGTTACCACTTACTGTATAAGTAAAACAGTCATCAGAGGCTAAAACTAGTGTCTTGCCTCAGCAGAGTCCAGTCATCTGATACAGTTTGAGTTTGACAGATTTTAGTAGGTGTTTTAGAGAAATAGGTCAGAAGTTTAAGGGGTTTACCACAGAGTAGCAGCTTGATTTGTACATAGAAACTCTTTACCTTTGGGAAGTGGAAATAATTTCTTTTGTATTTTCTATCTGTAGTTGTTCAATTCTTCTGTGAATCTCCCTTTGCCGGCTGGACATCTCCTTAATGTGGAACAAGGTGGTACTAAGCTCCTCCTGAGAAAAAATAAGTGAGAATAAGGTTGTTGCTTTAGAGCAGGCATGTCAAAGTCAAATACATCAGAGGGCCAAAAAAAAATGTTTGCTACGCGCCGAGGGCCGGACTGGTTCAATGTTTCTCAACATCCAGAGGCAGTGTTGGTGACACCTGTTGGCTTGATAAAATATGCTCTAAAGCCAATCCTCATACTGTACTTATTAGATGTAATAGACATCTGAGAACATGAAAATAGTTTTTTTAAAAAAAGCTCAAACTTGGTGAAATGTAAAAGAGCAGTCTGGACCTCTTTTCAGGGCGTTTTTTGATTAAATCTGCAGAATGGATTATACTTTGGGAAATACAAGTGGATATTCTTCTTCAATGAACAGTTACGGAGAGAAAGACTAAGCAAGGATGGGGAAAGTCTAATTTGTTGGAGCAGCAGAAGACGAAAGGTAAAAAACAAATACAGACGTGATTTATTTTGTGCCCATATTATGCGTTATATCTTTTTAATGCAAAGTCTGATATCGTTTACACTTACATATAAATATAGCTGAGAAAATAAGCTTTAAAATGATATATAGCTTGTGGCTTACGAAGTTCAAAATACATCTGCTATTGCCAACAGATTGCTGGCCCTCGCTAGCCCCCGCCGGCTTAAGGGGTCAATACATTGCCTCAATGGCATAGATAATTCATTCGCGGGCCGGATTTGGCCCGCGGGCCTTGACTTTGACACATGTGCTTAAGAGTAACGAGAATGGGTGCATGTCAGCAATCTCGTTCATCACTGTGACAGAATATTACTCTTGGCATCTAACGAGAGAAGAGAGTGAGGGAACAAATGTGAACTTGGTCCCCCCCACTTGTTAGGGTTAGGTCTTGCCTCCCCCCACAACACACGCACTGGTTCCTTGCACCTCCAGGGACATACATTATTTAGAGTTGTGTCCTTCTGAGAACTGAAGAAAACTCTGTGTGCTAAGGCCGCTACATAATTAGTTTATAGGCTGAAGTCAGATGTTTAAAATTATGTTAGAGGCCTCTCTCTCACAAATTAGTATGTGTGTGTTTGTGTGTCACCTTGAATGTGTTGAGGGAGTTCTTCAAGCTCATTATCCTATCATCCACATCAGTCTGCTGAGCCTGAAGCTGCTCCTCCAGGCTCCGATCCCTCTGCCGCAGTTCACACAGCTCCGTCAGGGCGACATGGAGCCCGTCACGCAGCTCTGACACCAGGCCCCGCAACTACACAACATGCTCGTTTACAATGTCATCACAAATGACCTCATTACTGTGTCATTCAATATGACGCATATATATACATAAAGTTTGTATTGTTAATGATTGTGTTGATTTTAATTGATTCTATGAGGATGAATAAATCAGCTCCAGGGAACATTACATGGGCAGCAGTTGTGCCTCTTACAGCTCTCGCGCTCTCAATCATGTGAAAAGCATCAGACGTTTGACTGAATAGCATCTCTGTGCGGAGCCTCCTTCCTGTTCTGATTATATCTGCGTTTAACCAGTAATGCACCTGATGGTCCCAAATGCCAAAAGGCCAAGGCGAGATAAATCAAGTTAATTGTGTTAGGAGTGTTTTAATCAAGAGTACACATTCCTTACTGTATGGCTTGTAAATGTTGCCGGTTGAATCAAACTCAAGACAATACACTTGGTTGTTATGATCATCTTTTTACTACACAAAGTATGACTAACACTGGCACTAATTATAACGTGGCAAAATGACACGAAACTCATGATCCACACTCTCTGCCAACTCAATGATGATGTGCCCTCCAGCTGTTTTCTAACATTGCTATGAATGTGAAGCTATTATCTGTTTTGTCGGTATCGGCTACTGGTGGTCACCTGAATCTATCAATCTATCGAAACAGTGTTACCTGTGAAATCTCCGGACTGCCTTTCTCTTCATTCTCTTCACAGTCCTCTGCCTCTGTTCAGTAAACAATAACAAGTCATAGGAAGAAAGTGGTGTTTTGTGTGTGAAAATCAGTTCTGGACATGGTTTAATGGTCCAGACATTAACACATAACTGCTTAGTAATGCATTATACAGTACATGTACAGTCAATCTGTGTGGACAGCACAAAGAGACGCCCTGTTTGTCTGTAGTGAACACACATCGGCCGGCGTCACCACAAATGTCAACTTATCATAATTATTACCCAATAGACAAGTTACTGAAGCATTATGTTCATGGTCTGACACATATGAGAGGTTTGTGATCCCAACGGTTTTAAACGCAATCTTTCATTCATTACTGGGCACATTTACCCCTGGTCAGTTTATAATCATTTAAGAAAACTATTATTGGGATTCTAGATCATTATGAATTTATGTTAATCTAGTTTATTTATCACCGCATTTGATTTGTTAGAAGCCCATAGCACAGATATGTTTTATATCGGATATCGGATATATTTTATCGCGGATCGCCATTGTGCGCTCTCAGGGAAGAGCAGAGGCGGAGGGCTGTGTTTCTACGTCAATACAAACTGGTGTAACGATGTGACAGTGATCTCCAAGCACTGCTCTCCTGCTCTGGAATATCTTTTCATTCATTGTAAACCATATTACTCCCCGCGGGAAATTGTTTCATTCATTCTTGCCTCTGTTTACATACCGCCATGCGCGGACGCGCGCGAGGCTCAGCGCGCACTCGCAGAGCAAGTACTGTGTATGGAACGCTTATACCCGGACTCTCTGATTATTATCCTGGGGGATTTTAATAAGGGAAACTTGAGCCAGGAATTACCCAAATACAGACAGTTTATCAAATGCCCGACCAGAGAGGAGAACACTCTGGATCACTGTTACACCACCGTGCGCGGAGCTTTTCGCGCTGTTCCCAAGCCAGCCCTCGGCTTCTCAGATCACTCCATGATACATCTGGTCCCTGCTTACAGACAGAGACTAAAGCTCTCGAAACCTGCAGTGAGGAGCTCCAAAGTGTGGTCTGATGAAGCTGTGGAAGAGCTGCGCGCATGCATGGAATCTACAGACTGGGACCTTTTCAGAGCTGCCACAGACAGCTTGGATGAATATACGGACACTGTGACGTCATACATCCACTTCTGTGAGGATAGCATCATTCCAACAAGGACCAGGGTCATCTATAACAACGACAAACCCTGGTTCACTGCTAAACTCCGGCAGCTCAGGAAAGCAAAGGAGTCTGCTTTCAGGGAGGGGGACCGCAGCGGCTACAAAGCAGCTAAATATCAGTTCAGGAAAGAACTGAAAGCAGCCAAGTCCCGGCACAGAGAACGACTACAGGAGCAGTTTGGTAACAACGATACTGCTTCTGTCTGGAGGGGCCTACGGGAGATCACCAACTACAAACCCAAAGCCCCCCCCTGTGCTGATGACCACAAGCTAGCTGACGATCTGAACTTATTTTTCAGTCGCTTTGATGCTGCCCCTGACACCTCTCCCTCCCCCACCCCCCACTACTCTAACGACCCACCCATCAGCCCTGCCCCCAGCCTAACAATAGCCGCTAAAGAGATTAAACAACTCTTCCTGAGGCTGCACCCCCGCAAAGCTCCTGGCCCGGACCACGTGTCTCCGGCCACTCTGAGACACTGCGCCAGTGAGCTTACTCCTGTGTTCACGGCCATTTTCAACTCCTCTCTGCAGTCCTGCCATGTCCCGGCCTGCTTCAAATCCTCCATCATTGTCCCCGTCCCGAAGAAGCCCAGGATCACAGGACTCAATGACTACAGACCTGTAGCACTTACGTCTGTCGTCATGAAGTCATTTGAACGCCTGGTTCTCTCCCATCTCAAGTCCCTCACCTCCCCCCTCCTGGACCCCCTGCAGTTCGCCTACAGAGCCAACAGATCTGTAGACGACGCCATTAACCTGGCCCTCCACCACATCCTACAGCACCTGGACTCCCCGGGGACCTACGCCAGGGTCCTGTTCGTGGACTTCAGCTCTGCCTTCAACACAATCCTGCCATCCCTGCTCCAGGACAAGCTCTCCCAGCTCAACGTGCCCGATTCCACCTGCAGGTGGATCACTGACTTCCTGACGGACAGGAAGCAGCGAGTGCGTCTGGGGAAGAATGTCTCGGACTCTCGGATTATAAATACAGGAGCCCCACAGGGCTGTGTTCTTTCTCCCCTGCTCTTCTCCCTGTACACCAACCACTGCACCTCCAGCCACGACTCCGTGAAGCTGATCAAGTTCGCGGACGACACCACCCTCATTGGACTCATCTCCAACAACGATGAGTCCGCCTACAGGAGGGAGGTGGACCGGCTGGTGTCCTGGTGCAGTGGTAACAACCTGGAGCTGAACGCCCAGAAGACAGTGGAGATGATTGTGGACTTCAGGAAGAGCACTGTCCCCCCGCCCCCACCCTCCGTGATGGACTCCCCCATCACCTCTGTGGAGTCCTTCCGTTTCCTGGGCACCACCATCACCCAGGACCTCAAGTGGGAGCCGACCATCAGCTCCCTCATCAAGAAGGCCCAGCAGAGGATGTACTTCCTGCGGCAGCTCAGGAAAGCCAAGCTGCCTGCACAGATGTTGGTGCAGTTCTACACGGCCATCATCGAGTCCATCCTCACCTCCTCCATCACCGTGTGGTTCGCTGGAGCCACAGTCAGGGACAAACAGAGACTACAGCGCATTGTGCGCTCTGCAGAGGAAGTGATCGGCCGCAGCCTTCCATCGCTGCAGGACCTGTACGTCGCCCGAGCTCGAGGCCGGGCTGGTCGTATCACAGCCGACCCCTCTCACCCTGCACATGGACTATTCCAACCACTCCCCTCAGGCAGGAGGCTGCGGTCCATCAGGACTAGAACCTCCCGCCACAAGAACAGTTTCTTCCCCTCTGCTGTTGGACTCTTGAACACTTCTTAACCTGTCCCCCCGCCCTTTATAAAGTCACTTTACTGCCCATCATACGTCACTTTACTTCACTGTACTGCTGTCACCTTACATTGTGTGCACCATGTGCACTTGTATATTGTAAATAGTAACTGTAACTCTATTTTAAATTTAAATTTATTCTTTAGAAGTGTTTTTTATTCTTATTTTTATTATCTCTTTTTGACTGTTGCACTGAGCCAAAGCAATTTCCAAGTCTGTGACCTCCCGTTACTTACGTTGGCAATAAAAATGATTCTGATTCTGATTCTGATAAAGTAGGCATATAAAGTAACCTTTGGTGAATGCTGATACATGACTTTATATGATAAATATTAAACAAACAAACAGTAGTCATGAGTGAATGACTACTCATATTTGTTGATTTTTTCCACTATAGTTCAACTTTGAGATCACCCAAATCAAGTATAAAAAGCGGACGTTACCTTCTTGCTCCACCTCAGTCATCTCTTCAGTACAAATGTGTGCGTTGCCATCTTCCATGTTCACAGTCCTTGATCCAGTTTCAGAGGCCTGACTTGTGGACGTGCGTTCTCCTTCCTTCTGATCCTTTCTCTCTTTTGGACTGATCGCTCACTTTCTCTGCGCTCAAACATGTGAGTCCTGTGATTCCTCTTTCCCACAAACAGGCCCTTGTTCTCCCACCACAGCGACACAGAGGCTAGATCAGAAGACGATAGGATAAAAAAAGAGGATATATTTGTCCAACTCAGAGCAGATGGTTCAACTTGGTGTAAAAGTAAATGATGTCTGATATACTTACTTATGTTTGGGTACATTTTATACATCCAGGCGAATACCAGAGACGCATCCAGCAGAACTCTGAGGACATAAACATCACGTCATTGTCAAAAGTTAGATTTAATCAATACTCACATGCACACTACAACATACTATAAAGCACTTCCATTCCCTCCTCCACTGTACCACTCTAGCCTTAGCTGCCCTAGGGTAAACATACAAAAGCAAGACAACTAATCCGTACTCATATTTTTCACAAACACTCATACTCTGCAATGTGTTTGTTGTGGCTGTCCCTCCTGGTGTCTCCCTAGCTATTGCAATCTCATGGGATCATGCTTTCACAAGTCCTTTTCCAAAGCTATAGTTTTCATCATAGATTTCTACAGTCCATAGTGTGAAACTGCCCTCAGAACTGCTCAAGTCAGATTCATAAATCAGACCAGAATCAAAAGTGCTTAGCTCCCACTACAAGAGTAGTTACCAAGGTTACATTATGGAGCCAATACATGGAAATTGTTAGACATTAAATCACAAAGGGACATGTAATATGATGGAACAAAGCAGCTGAGGAGAACAATAGATATAGATGAAGAAACCTCGTTATCCACGTGTTATGTTTTGATTTAGCGTTTTTAACGGACGTCTCACACATGACTCGTACACGTGCTGTTTGTTTGTGGTGACAAGAAGGAAGGAAGCCTAGGAGCTTTGTGCATCATCTGACAACCAACAACAGACTGACGTCATTCTCACAAAATCTGCTTCAACATAACAAAGACATTAAATTGAATATGGTGGTTTTTTACTTGACAAAGTCGTGAAAGAAAGATTAAGCTGTTGTTGAAGCTGTTGTTTTGAAGTCCGCCTATAATAAGACTAAAATGAGATTACAGTCTGCCAACAATGAAAATTACATGGACGGTGCCTCTTGGAGATGCTGCTTCACACCAGCTGTTATAAAGAAACATAAAGAACTACATGACTCTATAAATCATTATATATATTTATCCCTTTATACAGTATTTTCCCTCCACATAAGCCGTCTACAGTAGCAGTTATATTCCCATAAATGTATAAACTAGAGCTATTATAAGTTACTCAATGATTTGCAACTAATTGATTATTGAAATTATTCACAAAGCTAGGATTCATTCATCATTTCTTGTTTTTTAACATACACGGGATAAAACTTGCATCTGAAAAGGTTGAGTTGTCTGTAATCACTGTAGGCCTAGAATGAGATTCAAATGTGTGAACGTATTTAAAATTCAAATCTATTTTGTTTATCATTTGGCAGATTTATTTATTGAGAAACCTAATTATTCTCTAAAATAGGACTTGGAAGTACTCGATTTCTACTCGACACACAGCACACATTTTCGAGTAAAGTTTTACAATCTTACAAGTTCATACCATGACGATATTATACATTTTAATTCTAAGTGTATTTAATTGACAGCACAAACCTTAATCATTTACCTGGACTTTACGTAAACAAAAGAGCCGGCACGTGACACACATCCGGGTTGCCCTGTGTCACGTGGCCTTTGTACTTCCTGACAGTCTCAGCTGGGATTTGACAGATGTAGGTAACCACTTATTGTGGTTGTGTTCCTAATAGTTTCGTCTAGTAATGCGAAGAGAAACCCCTGTAAATACCCCGAGATGGAGCAGTATGGATCGGAGGACGAGGAGCAGGACACGCCGCTGCTGCACGGAGACAAAGAAAGATGTGTCCAAAGAGGTAGAGACATGAAGTTTAATTTTAATGCTGACTGGACAAATAGGCATCGCATAAGAACTACAAGATCTCTCTCTTTGCTAGTGCTGTTACCTGTGCAAAACTACTACCCCATAACACGTAAACGTCAATTCAACTGGATTTCTACTCTTCCTTCCTGGACTAACATTCGTGTGTTGTTTGGTTATTCTCCTCAGCTCCCGTCTGCTGCTCCGCCCGCTATGGTCTGGCACTGCTCTCTTCTTTCGGGTTTTTTGTGGTTTACTCTTTACGCGTAAACCTCAGCGTGGCTATGGTGGACATGCTGAATGATACAAGCCACAAGACCACCAACTCCAGCAGCTCCGTGTGTCCAGCGCACGCGGACCCCCCAAGACCCCAAAGAAACCACTCTGTGAGTTTAACCTTATTCCCACGTATATGTGCAACATACTATTCCCCTGGTTTAGTCTCACCCCTTTGTCTCACACTCTCACGCTTTTAATTTGTGGCCACTGGCCACACATGCATGTGGAAGAGAGATACCCTCATACCTCTGAAGTTGAGCAATGCAGGGCCTGGTTAGTACTGGGATAGAAGACCTCTGGGAACACCAGGTGCCACAGTGGGGCTATTGTATCCAATGAGTCTGGTGTATGACTGTTTGGTGGTGATTGGAATGGGCCAATGATACAGACTGGATAACTCACTATCATTGTGCCCCAGGGCAGCTGTGGCTAGAGCAGTAGTTTATCACCACCATTTATGGAGTGAATTAATAATGGATTTCCAAAAATCTGCTAACTATAATCAATGCATCAATTTTAATTTTACATAATACTGTTATAAATAGTATCTTCTTTTATAGCATTGTAATCCTTCACATTGTCAATGTAAGTATGCTGGTGGAGGGTCTGGTATGATCGCCTCTATCAATGCATTCTCGCTGGGTCCTTCTGAAGTAAACTCTGGTTTATTTGGGGCATGGTGATCCTTTATGGATATGTATAAAACACCATATTATGGTTATGACCCAAACAAGTGTGCTCTGATCTATGAGACACCTCAGTGGGTTCACTTCTTTTGAAACAGAGGTTCTCTAAACTTTTCAGAGATCACAACATTGGTGTGAAATAAACTCATGGATCTCACTGCTGAATAATAAATAAATAAATAATATTTATTGTGATTATTTACACACCACATACATTTTCTGTCTTCTTGTTTTTGTTTCCCTTACAACTGTTGGACCCAAAGGGGAAATTGTCATTATTGTAAGAAATGATCCTAATAGTGGTGTTGCAGTTTTTTGTAATTTAACTTTTTTTCTTCTTTTTTTTTAAAATGATCACAATTTATTTTAAATAATTGGTGTAAAAATTTAAAAGTGTGAATATAATATAACTAATTAGATTGACCCCTGAAAAAACACAGCCCCCTTAATCTTTAGAAGTGCCATGTGAAGGCGTGTCAAATACTTCATACTTCTAAACTTGTATTGTGACAGTATTCTCTCCGTGTCTTGTAGGCCAGTGTGTATGACTGGGATTCTGAAACTCAAGGCTGGATCCTTGGCTCTTTCTTCTATGGCTACATCTTGACTCAGATCCCCGGGGGATACCTCGCAGGGCGCCTGGGACCCAAATGGCTCCTCGGCTTTGGCATTTTGGGGACTGTCCTCTTTACGATGCTCACACCCATAGCTGCTGACTGGGGGGCTGGCTACCTCATTGCTGTGAGAGTAATAGAGGGAATAGGAGAGGTAAGAGCTAATGCATTTATTTGAGCTCCATTTCTTAAATTTTATTCATTCTTCAATACCATTTGGCTAACCAACATCTGAGTCCGAAGTTTTATTTCAATGATAAATAAATGAATAATATGCAAAAAAAAATGGTGGCTTTAATGGTGCCCAGTCTTCAGTCAACTACTGCCCTTGCTTTCTCACTTGTTGGTCTGATTCACTTTAAAGTTTTAAAGTCTGGTTCACAAAGGGAAACAAGCTTAACAGATCTGTTTCAGTGACTAGAGGGCACATGTTCACTTGTTTGGTGGTGAACCAGAATTGGTCCAGTTAAAATGAACCAGACTGACATCTGTTTCGGTTCTCAGGGCGTTACGTTTCCTGCAATGTACACGATGTGGGCCGCATGGGCTCCACCTCTGGAGAGAAGTCGACTGCTGACGATTTCATATATAGGTACAGCATAAACAAACAAAAGCAAGTCTTAATAAATATCTTCAATACCACAAATACGTTTCAATTAAGTAGAACGGTCATCACTACAGAGGATTCTTTTTATGCTAGAGGTAGAGATTTTATTTCATTTTGGTTTAGTCATTATTCATGTATCTTGTCCTGTGTGCTCGTCATTCCTACTGTTCTGTAACTTGTGATGCAACACTGAATTTTCCCCACTGTGGGACAAATAACGGATCTCTTAAACTTTTTTGCAGGAGCTCAACTTGGAACAGTAATTGCTCTTCCACTGTCTGGGGAAATCTGCTTTTACTTGGATTGGACCTATGTCTTCTATTTGTTTGGTATGTTGTAACAGGAGTTATATCCATAAATGAGTGGCACTAATGCATGTCATTCCAGTGTTTCGCTAACACAATGGTTTGATTCCAGGGGCAGTTGGATTGTTGTGGTTTGTCTTGTGGTCATTACTTGCTTTTAATACTCCAAATGATCATCCAAGGATTTCAGAGCAAGAGAGACTGTATATCAGCTCCTCTCTTAAAAACGAGGTAAAGCTAAACACATGACATGAATGATCCTGTTAAAAGCAAATTAAATGTTAATACTCACTTTTACCCGAGCAGCATCTACTTCTGTGTTAACATATTTTTGCCGTGCAGTTGTCCACCTCCACAGACCACATTCCCTGGAGCTCCATAGTGACATCAGTGCCACTTTTGGCAATTATGGTGGCTCACTTCTCCTACAACTGGACTTTTTACACGCTTCTCACTCTGCTACCAACCTACATGAAAGATGTTCTTGGGTTCAGTATCAAACAAGTGTGTGAGAGTTTAAACACACTTCCAGTTTCCCTTGTGACTATCTTTCTCTTTTTGTGTGCACATGACATACTGTACTTTCACTTACTACAGTAGATTACCTAATATCCTTTTTAAAAAACAACTTGATAACATACATATTCAAGGAGTCTATCCTATATAAACTATTGTGCATCCCAGACGGACAATTTATTTTTAATCAAATAACTAACTTCATGCTTAATAACATTATTCCATGACTGAGCCCCATGCAAAGACAGTCTTCTCCATCTCTGACCATAATAGCTGTTCATGTGCCTTTAAGAACGGGATGCTGTCGGCTCTTCCGTACATCGGCTGTGCCACGATAGCGGTGTTCAGTGGGCAGCTTGCCGATTACCTGAGAGAAACTCGCCACTGTCCAACAGTCTGGGTTCGAAAGATTTTTTCACTTGTGGGTGAGTCACATCTGACTTTACAACTAGGGAATGATTGCATTATGGGTTAAACCAGACTTTTACAAGTGGCAAACATAAGCAACCCACATTTTTCTTTTGGATTAGATAATGTACTTAGAAGACTGTTAATATAAACCATGAGGCAGTTGTAAAATTTAAAATAAAGAACAAAGAGAATGTTTTATGAACATTTTATGGAATTATTGTTCTTGTACCCCATTTCCTGTAGGCATGATTGGGCCGGCCATCTTCCTGGTGGCAGTTGGATTTACAGGCTGTAACTACACATTGGCTGTGACTTTTCTGACCATCTCCTCTTCGTTGGGCGGAGTGTCTGCGTCCGGCTTCAATATCAACCACCTCGACATTGCTCCATCGTAAGAACTTCTGTTCACACACACTTCATTACTGTGCTGAGAACTGACTATTCCTCTTATTTCATAATGCAGGTTTGCTGGAATTCTTCTTGGAATCACAAACACTTTTGCCACAATTCCTGGAATGGTTGGACCTGTTATAGCCAGATCACTTACTGCAAATGTAAGAAATTAATATTTGCTCATTTACATATAAAAGGCAGTTTCACATTATTTGTACTGCTAAACCAGGTCAGACTGAGCCTCTATTTACATTAGCTTAATATTTGACTATCGCCCTCTTGTGGTTCATGTGCTTTTGGCACTTGTAAACCATTAAAAATCAATTTAATCATTTTTGCAGAACACCATGGAGGAATGGCAGACTGTCTTCTACATCGCTGCTGCAATAAACGTGTTTGGTGCAACATTTTATACTGCATTTGGCCAAGGATCGGTTCAGGCCTGGGCAGTCAAGACCGCCTTTAACCATGGAGACTGAGGCAGCAAATGGAAATGGCAACGTTAGCACTAACTGTTTATAAACTCTAAAGAGTCAAATACAGAAGGGATATTGAGGACTTAAATGTCAGTAACTCGCTTGTTCCTGAACAATGTTTCTGAGGTGTCTGTTCTGCAGAAAGGATGAGAGCAAAACACTTTAATTACAATCTTAACGCCATGAGTGTACAAGACTCATGCTAAAGCCTTACAATATTTTTTTTTACTATTTTCTCAATATGCAAGTACTTGTGCATTATTTTTTTATGTAATATCACATTGGTTTATTATGAAATGTGTACTAAACACTACTAAAAAGGGAACCAAATGAGAACTTTGTGACCAATAGCTTTCTTACAATTTCGCACCATCACCAATTCTCAGGAATCACCATTCAAATTTCCCATGCAAAAAAATATTTAAATGTTATATCATTTTATGTGTCATTTGTTTGTTTACATTCATGGTCTGTGCCTTTCCTTGAAAGATTTTGATTTTAGATTAGTTTCCTTATAATTTTTTATTGTAATTTACCTGTTTAACCATCATCATAAAAAGTAAAATTACAGTGATATCTTTTTTTTCCATTTTGGACTAAAATGTGTTGGTTAAAAAAAACATATTTCCAAAGTCGTAAACGGGTATGAGCAACAAAACCAGTAGTTTATGAATTGAAAGCACACTTGAGTGCTTTCAATTCATAAACTACTGGTTTTGTCCACAAGATGTTGCTATATAATCAAATAACTGCTAGCTGGGAAAACGGGTGTGTCATTCACAGGAAATGATTGTATTTGAGAGAGTAACTTGTAAGCCTTTCATTGTTCAACATGCCTGGAAGAGGAAGACCACGCACAGCTAAAAGTCTAAATGAAAAACCTACTTGCAAAACACAAGCAGAAACATCATCCCTGGATGCATCTTCAGCAAGAAAACCACTTGCCAAGACCTCTAAGGAAAAAGAGAAGACAAGTGAGAAATTACCAGTGGATTATATTTCAGAAGACAGAGAAGATACTCCCGTCAACACTGGGAAGAAACCGGTGCAGGCCTCTTCTCAAGACCCTCCTCCAGGATCCTCAACTCATGTAAAAGGTACAGCCAGGGGCGCAAGACCAAAGGCATCATCTGTTCAAGCCAAACTGCATGTGGACAATGAGGATTGTAGCAACTCGAAGACATTAAACACTGATGTGAAAGAAAGAAATAAGGATCCCAAGGCCACGACAAAGAAGAAATCACCAAAAGCCCAATCACAGAAAGAGGACGCGAGTGTCTTTGTTGATGAATCATCAAAAGTGACGACTGAACTAAAGAAACCTTCCCTCAAAGACAACAAAGCTAATACTCTTCTAAAAGCAGAGCTGAGAAAAACCCTGGACAAGCTTAAAATTAGAATGAATGAAAAATCTAAAGCTTCAGAAGTAATTAACAAAATAGAGAAAGTCATTCTGGAGCATTTAAGAACAACATTATTCTTTGGGCAAGTTATCGAACCACTGCATACTGGCAGCTATTATGAAAATTTGAAGGTACTGAAAATGGGCAGGGCTACCATATTATATATCAACAAATATACACATACATACCATGTTTGTACTTTTGCAGATATCCAACCCAGATGAGTTTGATATAATGTTCCCAATTCCCATTAAACGCATAAACATACAACCCTTTAAAGAAGATGGAGCGTTTTACATCGCGTCATTAAAACGTGATACACATAGCCGTCTACAGGAATTTCAGCAAGGTGTGGATAAACCATTACCAGCAAGTAAAATACTGCAGAAGTTTAGAGACGAAGTCATTTGCAGTGTCCAAAACTTTACAGGCAAGTAAAGGAAAACAATGTATGTCTTAATTTAAAAATAATAATAATGTGTGTTTCAGGTGCCAAAGTGAATATTTACAGGAAAAAGAAAGGATGCCCTGCTGTGACACTAAGTGTAGAAATTGAATCACAATTAATTTCACTTGACATTGTATTATGTCTTGCGATTACATCCAGTTGGCCAGATTTTACAAATGATGGAATGAAAATAGAGACTTGGCTCGGCGGAAAAGTAAAGAGGAACTACAAATACAAGCCATACTATCTTGTGCCAAAATATGAGGGCAGTGGCACAGTTGAAAGCAATGGCATTTCTGCTAAAGGTATGTACTGCTACTTTGATTTAGTCCAACATCCTTGTATTGTTCAATCATAGTTTTGTTTACACAACTATGAATACCACTTTTTCTTTTTACTCTTAACTGTATTCCATCTAATGCAGATTCCTGGCGTATTTCCGTTTCCCATGTTGAGAAAGAAATCCTGACAAATCATGGCTCAGAAAAGACATGCTGTGAGAAAGATGGTGCCCGCTGCTGCAGGTCACTATGTGCTTAGTTACTTGGGTGTAATTGAAGACTTTGATAATCGGTGTCCTGAATACATTATTTTTTTCATACAGGAAGGACTGTGTGAAGCTGCTTAAGCATCTTCTCAGCCTCTTGAAGGAACAGGACAAATCGTTTGACAAGTTCTGCTCATATCATGTGAAAACAACCTTCCTACACGCATGCTGCTCCAGGCCAAAAGACAGTCAATGGGCAGCAGCCGACCTGGCACTGTGCTTTGAGCAACTGCTTGAAGATTTTGAAAACCACTTGAAAAGAAGGCAGCTCAGCAATTTCTTCATTCCCACTCAGAATCTGCTGGATGGCTGCAGTCAGAAAAACTGCAACCTTCTTGCACTGTGCATCAATAAGGAAAAAAAGGAAGGCTTTCCTATATTCAAAGGCTAAGTGTCTTTATAAGAAAATGTTGCATCCACACACTGGCATGGTGGGGGGCCAGGCCAGAGAGTGGCAGATTATACTGTATAACAATGCAACTAATCTTTTTTATTTTTGTTGTCAAAAATTGAGTTTATGGACTTATTATTTTGCCTCCATTAGTGGCGATAGGATACTTGTCAAAACAGACGGGTGAAGAGGAATCAGCATGGAAGTGTTATAGAAATATTTTAGTAAAGCAACCTGAATTAACACCAAATAGTTATGAGTGTAAGTTATTAACTAACAGTGAACTCTGGATTCAGATACAGGCCATAATGCTCTGTTGGCAGCAGGTCAGTGATAGATGGAGACGTGCTGCATCATGTCTTTGACCTGGGTCATAGAACAATATGTTCAGTTCAAAAGCAGATTGTTACATATATCGGAGTTGTATCAGCGTTGGGACGCGTAAAGAGAAGCCTTGAGCGACACATATCAATGTTGACTCAATTTATGTAATATCTAGAGTAGATATGTCTTTGTTTACTCTGGTCTATTTAATGTAGTCATTTCCTCAATCGTGGCAGTCGATTTCAGACGGCTGCCCGGTGGTATTGGTAATGGTTCTGTTATTCATTGTATATGTGCACATTTACTAATGAATAAACTCACACTTTGTTTGGAATTACAGCTCTGAGTCGTTTACATTATTTTACTCTCGGTATGTGGAGAAATTCCACAACAGAAGCTATTGTTAACAGCCATTAAGTTGGTAACACCTTGTGATTAAATCACATTTTGACCAGTTAAAATTTGTGTTATTGGCTACATTACAACATGAAAACCCTGTATTCAAGTGCAGCCTTGAATATAGGGTTTTACAAGATGGTCCAGAAAATATGGTTGTTTTTGACTCACTTTTGGATTTTCTTGTATACATTTTTTTAACTAAAATTAAAATCAGATTTTTAAAACAAATTATAAAACCAATGCCCTCATGGAGGAAAAAAAATAATATTTTCAAACCAAATAATTTTTTATCATGCAAAATGTAAATTCTTGACTAAATACAAATCATAAAAAATGCAAACAAAATAAAAGTAATGCAGTATACATTTACAAAAAGATTTAACATATAAAACTATTTACAGTCAAAACTAGTACATTTTAACCAAAGAGACAAAAGGGAGTACTTGAACATACATAAAAACTTTGAAAGGCAAAAGGGTGTTTTCCTGTAGAGAAAAATGATCATTGCTACATTATGCTTGTTCAATGTCAAATCAAAACTATGGTTGTAACAAGTGTAACCCTGTTCAGGGTAAGGTTAGTATGCCGTTTCACTTACAATCAGAAATGAATTAGAATGCCCAGTTTTGGTCCCGATCTCTGCGACTTCTCCCGCCGTCTCTAAAGCCTCCTCCTCCTCTTCCTCCTCCTCCTCCTCCTCCTCCACCACGTGTTTCTCGTGGAAACATGTCCCTCTCTCGTTTGTGCTTTTCGTACCTTTCTGCCATCAGCACCAACTCTGTAGGAACCTCCTAAAAAACATGAAGCAAGACCTTGTGAAAAGAGCTCATTCCAACAGTAGTAAAGTATAGTATTAGTTGTAGATGTACCTGTCCAGCTCGCTCCAGAATGTGAATCAACTCTGGGGCCATTCTCCAGTTGTCTCTTGTGACCAAAGTAATGGCCGTACCTGACCGTCTAGAGAGAAAAAAATTAATTATGAGTAAAGAAAATTCTGGACAAATTAAGAGTCATGTACCCAGCTCGTCCTGTGCGACCAACACGATGAACATATTCCTCTATATTTCGGGGAAAATCAAAGTTGAAGACATGTGTGATGTCGACAACATCTAACCCTCTAGATGCAAGGTCAGTGGCCACGAGGATACGGACTCTGCCTGAAATACACATTGTTGTAGTAAAACACAGTTTGTGATTCAGTTATGTTCCAATGACATACTGTTTTTAAAATCCTTGAGTGCTTCTTCCCTGTCGCACTGCTCACGGTCACCATGGAGACTCTGAACTGCAAGACCCTTCAGGCACATGTCACTCGACAGATCGTCCGCCCTGAGGGGACACATAACACCTCAGCATTTCACTCATGTGCATCCACTTTCTGATCCAAGCGTTATTGCAAATTAATGCCCAGGGTTGTGAACCCAGTATTTTATGTTTCAATATAGTAACAATAATAGTTTTACTGATTATAATCAAATGAAGTATGAGAATTATGGTAGTTCAGACATGTTGAAAGATGCATTGATAGACGCCCATGCATTTATTTATTCATTCTGCAAGTGAAGAATAATGGGGATTCATCAAGTGTTATGTAACTCTTAACCACCCAATGTTGTCCCCAGGTCACAGGTATCACTAGTGCCCTCTCTTATCTACATTTAGTCTGCAATGTAAATGTGTTGCTCTTTGTTACAGCTTACATAATTTTCTTTCCAACAAAAATAATGGCTTTATCCTCTGGCTTCATACTTCTGATAAACTCAAACAAAAACGCCTTTTTCTCATCTTCAGCCAAAATCACAATGTTTTGCTCCACAGTGTTGACTGCCTATGGAAGGGAAAAAGGTGAATGGTAACTGCAACAATTACACACGTGGGAAATGTTAATATTATCTTACTGCCAAGTCCAACGTGCCCACATAAACCATCATGGGGTTCTTCAAATAAGATTTGGCAAGTCGCCGAACTCCAGTGGGCCAGGTGGCACTAACATATATTGATACGGTAAATACAGTTAAAAAAAACGTTAAACTAAAAGGCCATACCTTGTCATAACAGTTTGACGATCTGGTCTGATGTCAAGAATAATCTTCATTATCTGCGGTTCAAAGCCCATGTCCAACATTCTGTCTGCTTCATCAAGGACCTTCACAAAGGAAATAAAATGACTTAAGTTGTTGTCCAATTAAAAATACAGAAACAAACCAAGTAGGTGATGGAACGTAGGTTGATGAGTTCGTTCATCTGTAGATCATTGAGTCTGCCTGGCGTCGCTATCACAATATCCACTCCGCCTCTGACCAGGTTGATCTGACCCCGTCTGTCCCCTCCTCCATAAATGCAGACACTGAGAGCCACAGGAATACAGGATACTCTTCTTGTGCAAATTAAAACACATTTCTTGATGGCAATACCTTTTGTAGTCCTTGTATTGGTATTTGCCACACTCTGCCTCAATCTGTAAAGCCAACTCTCTGGTGGGAGTCAAAACCAGCATACCTGGGCCACCTCGCTCACTTTTGGAACTTAACATTTAGCAGAAGTTTATAACATTTAAAACATAGTTATAATAGTTTACGGTGTTCAAATACAATGTTGGGAGGGATATTGGCTATATTTGATTTGATTTTGTAAATAAAAATCACACTTACACGGTCTGTCCATCCATATGAATGAAGCCAGGCAGCAGGTATGCCAGTGTTTTGCCAGTTCCCGTCTGTGCAATGGCTATGAGGTCCTCTCCTGACAGCAGCACAGGCCATGCTTGGGACTGCAATAAGTGCATAGCTTTACAATAATAGTTACAATGACTTGCATTCTCGAAACAAGAAAATTTATCCGACATTGAAATTTGAAAATAATCACCCATTACCATGTTTAACAGAGAAAGATGAGTCTATGTTGAGAATATCCCTGAAACCAGTCTGTAAACTGTAGAGTGTGTTTAAAGTGAGTTTATGTAAATTTAGTCTTTGTAAAAAGAAATTAAATAATAATAACAATAAGTTAATTCAATTGTAGTTGTGTTTAGTTTAATTTACAAAGAACATCCCTGAAACCAGTCTGAAAACTTGTCGGAACACTTGCATGCCTCAACAAGTTTATGCTAATTGTGCGCGCGTTCGGCAAATGATGAGCCAAAAAGTTTCTCTTTCTGTAAATAAAAAACACTGGTGTATGTACTGTGTACGTTTTTTTTCATATTCCTATAACCACCATGGTTAACAGACCAAGAACTTTTATGTTGTTGATGTTGTAGACTGACACTAAAAATAAACTATACGTCATGACTTTTGGTTTCATTTCTAAAGAACAGCCTGTTGGTGCACATGGGAAGGAAGCATTATATTATTCTAGATAGAGAACTGCACTGTACTCTGACAACAAGAAACATCACAACTTAAATAGCAAAATTGAAAAACGTCTTTGTGTAATTTCAGTAGATGCAGAATAAACGCGTATCACACCTGTATAGGCGTAGGCTTAACAAAGCCAACCCGCTCAATGTTTTCCATACACAATGGGTAATCCTCAAAAGCCTCCAGGAAAGTGCGACAGGGATTAGGAATTTGACGTTTTTCTCCTTCATCCTTTAGGTCATCTACAAATACATTATTGTTTGCTTGCCTATCAAAAATAAAACAATTACTTTAATCCATGTACTGCCCATAGTTTATATCTAAAATATGTGGGTGTTAACAGGCAGCAGAGGCAATCATTTAATTACTATGTTACCTCCACTCGCTGACCTCTTCAGCTGTCAACATGGACACACATTTAGACTCCTTATAGAAGTTTTTTTTCAGTGGTGGAAGACCTGATGATGAAAGACATTTTTACATATTAGAAATGCACTAGATTTTAAAGCATTTCCTTACCCTGCCACTTGAGTTCCTCAAACTTGTCCTTGTTTTCTCTTATGGAGTTCCAGTCAATCTGTGGTTCAACTGGGGCCACACCAGCAGATTCCACCTGGGAATTTGACCAAACGGAGCCACCTCCTTCCCCACCACGACTACCACCACCACCATAGTCATTTCCTTTACCATTAATAATGAGACAAATGCAAGATTACAGTGCTTGTCATTTCTATATAACACAAACATACCATTCCGTATGTATGTCTGGCCATTGGACACAAGCTCTTCGATCATTTCCTTGGCTTTTTGCTGGGCAGAGGGTGTACCAAAAATGGAAACTTCACCTTCACTCTCTCCTTTATTAATCTAGAAAATACAATAAATGTAGTAATATCGATTTGTAGTTAGTGGTATTACTTTTCTTTGCAAACACCTTCATAACCAAGGAAGACTTGCCTTAATTCTAGCACCCGAGGTTTCCTCAAGTTCACGGATTTTACTTCCTCCTCGTCCTTAAAATAAAACATACATTTAACAAGTGTGTATACGTGTTAACTTGTGAGAAGGGTTAGGACTAATATGAACTAATACAATGACGACCTATCGACCTTTAGTCGATTAATCAGTCGGTTCTATAGTTGACCAAATTCAGTAATAGTAAAATAATTATTAGGTTAAACAATTCTAGCGTTTAACTTTTTTGTTATTAATACGTAAACATTTTCATTCCATTTAAGTTGTGAGTAGTTTGGGTATTTATTCATCTACACATTGACAGGGCATTTTATTTAGACAACAGCAATAACACAATGCATTTCTACTGCAACAACCGAACAACACTCGCAGTCTTTGCATCAACAAAAAGGTTCATGACAACTAACATTAGCTAAATGAGTTTTTGATTGAAACTCCGTAAACTGCCCTGGTTTGTCACTTCTATATGAAATAACCACGTGTGTTGATGCTAGCATAGGGCGCTAGCCTGAAAGGCCATTTAACAGTGTTATATTTATCCAGAGGAATATTTAGCGGAGTAAAGTCTCACCAATGACTCTACCGACCAAGCCCTGTTCCACAAAAATGGTCACGGCTGTTGAGCTGCCGCCGTCAGGTCCAGGCCGCCAGGAAGGAGCTCCGTAATCCCGGCCGCGGCTGGGAGGCCTCTCGCTCCTCCAGCTCCGCTCCTGGGGGCCATCTTCGCTCGCAAATCTTCTGCCACCTTTTCCACCAAATGAGACATTGTCTCTCTCCCAACTTTTGCCAGGGTTATCCCATAAAGCAAGTTCTGTTTTAGGCTTGACCTGAGCAATCACAGCGCCATTCCAGCAGTCATCCTCCCAGTCTGACATCTTCCGGCCTCTGAGTGCACCTGGCCTGGGCAGGTCTATGGCAGGTCTATGGGCAGGTCTATGGCATGGGCAGGTCTATGGCAGGTCTCTGCGCAGGTCTATGGCAGGTCTCTGCGCAGGTCTATGACAGGTCTATGGGCAGGTCTATGACAGGTCTATGGGCAGGTCTATGACAGGTCTCTGCGCAGGTCTATGGCAGGTCTCTGCGCAGGTCTATGGCAGGTCTCTGCGCAGGTCTATGACAGGTCTATGGGCAGGTCTATGGCAGGTCTCTGCGCAGGTCTATGGCAGGTCTCTGCGCAGGTCTATGACAGGTCTCTGCGCAGGTCTATGACAGGTCTATGGGCAGGTCTATGGCAGGTCTCTGCGCAGGTCTATGACAGGTCTATGGGCAGGTCTATGACAGGTCTCTGCGCAGGTCTATGGCAGGTCTCTGCGCAGGTCTATGACAGGTCTATGGGCAGGTCTATGACAGGTCTCTGCGCAGGTCTATGGCAGGTCTCTGCGCAGGTCTATGACAGGTCTATGGGCAGGTCTATGACAGGTCTATGGGCAGCTCAGGCATGTATGTGGGGCATGTGGGGCAGGTCAATCAGCCACACCGGCTGCATGCCAATTCTGAAAACATTCCCTTCCTCATCGTTACTTTTCATTTACCTCGGCAGTATTAATATTTAAAATACTTTCAATATAACTTTAACAAACCATTTGAAAAGCAGACTTATGTCAATATCATAATAATTATCATACTCAGTTTTTGAAGTTGTTCTTTATTAATGTAGGCCTTTTAAAAACCATTTTACAGTTGTCATTTAGAACACAACGTGCATTTTAATAACTTAATATCAACTTGAAAAGAAAGTACTTAAAACCATTTGAACAGTTAAGTCATTAATATGGTCCAAGCAACAATGGAAGTCACTTAAACCAACTAATGATCTCAAGTCTAGGCCTGATGGTCAACCCCGGACACCTGCAAAAAATACAAAAAAATAATAGGCTATTTTTCTTTCTACTTGTTTTTGGACATTTCACATTTTCTGGGTCAGCCAAAGTGCTCTTTGCTTACATTTATTATATTAAGCATAAGCCTATTGATTTAAAACAATAGAGAGTGACGATGCTGCAGTTTAAAATTACATTCAAACGTTTGTAATAGCCGTCAAAAAGGAGGTCTGAGGCACTGTTAATAAATACAATAACAGTCCTTTATGGATTCACATTGGACAAGCCATGAGGCTGTAGTGTCGTCACTCTCCACTGTCTTTTGGGAGAATCAAGCGCCTCATCCTTGAAGAGCACCTGTTTTTTGAACACAGAGAACTCACTGAATCACTCACTGTTTGGTTCTTACAATTAGCCTACTGAAAAATATGTGAATTGCTAAATAGGCCTATTTGTGGCATATACATTTATTTTCAAGTTAATTAAAAATACCAGTTAGGGCTATTCTAACAATTTAGATTACTGTGACAATATAACTATTGAAAACATGTCGGATATCTGCACTTTAGAGGAGTACCTAGTGCTGCCAAAACCCTATAGAAATATGGGATTGTCAGCTACAGGGTTATGTTTATTAATCATCTAGTTTGACTAATAAATAAAAAGTAACTATCATGTAGAACATCCATCCATCCATCCATCCATTTTCTTCCGCTTTATCCGTTGCCGGGTCGCGGGGGCAGCAGTCTAAGCAGAGACGCCCAGACTTCCCTATCCACACACACTTCCTCCAGCTCGTCCGGGGGGACCCCAAGGCGTTCCCAGGCCAGCTGAGACATAGTCCCTCCAGCGTGTCCTAGGTCTTCCCCGGGGCCTCCTCCCGGTGGGACGTGCCCGGAACACCTCCCCAGGAAGGCGTCCAGGAGGCATCCTGAACAGATGCCCGAGCCACCTCAACTAGTTCCTCTCAACGTGGAGAAGCAGCGGCTCTACTCCGAGCTCCTCCCGTGTGACCGAGCTCACCCTATCTCTAAGGGAGCGCCCAGCCACTCTGCGAAGGAAGCTCATTTTGACCGCTTGTATCCGCGATCTCGTTCTTTCGGTCATTACCCAAAGCTCATGACCATAGGTGAGGGAGGGAACGAAGATTGACCGGTAAATCGAGAGCTTCGCCTTTCGGCTCAGCTCCCTCTTTACCACAACGGTCCGATACAGAGACCGCATCACTGCGCACGCTGCACCGATCCGCCTGTCAATCTCACGCTCCATCCTTCCCTCACTCGTGAACAAGACCCCGAGATACTTGAACTCCTCCACTTGAGGAAGGACCTCTCCACCCACCTGTAGAGGGCAAGGCACCTTTTTCCGGTCGAGCACCATGGCCTCGGATTTGGAGGTGCTGATTCTCATCCCAGCCGCTTCACACTCGGCTGCAAACCGTCCCAGTGCATGCTGCAGGTCCTGGTTCGTTGGAGCCAGCAGGACGACATCATCCGCAAAAAGTAGAGATGAAATTCTGTGGTTCCCGAACCGGACCCCCTCCGGCCCCTGGCTGCGCCTAGAAATTCTGTCCATAAATACAGTGAACAGAACCGGTGACAAAGGGCAGCCTTGGCGGAGGCCAACATGCACCGGGAACAGCTCTGGCTCCGGTCATACAGGGACCGGACGGCCCTCAGCAGAGGACCCCGGACCCCGTACTCCCGGAGGACCCCCCAAAGGACACCCCGGGGAACACGGTCGAACGCCTTCTCCAAATCCACAAAGCACATGTGGACAGGTTGGGCGAACTCCCATGAACCCTCGAGTATCCGATGGAGAGTGTAGAGCTGGTCCAGTGTTCCGCGACCGGGACGAAAACCACACTGCTCCTCCTGAATCCGAGATTCGACCATCGGTCATAGTCTCCTCTCCAGTACCTTGGAGTAGACCTTACCGGGGAGGCTGAGGAGTGTGATCCCACGATAATTGGAACACACCCTCCGGTCCCCCTTCGGAGGGTGTGTATATTCATTGTAATGTAGAACATTACAATGAATATATCTTTGGGTCTATGTTTATCTTATTCAAATTCAATAACTTTACTACACTCTGCTTCATAACTGGAAGTCAGGAACCAGGTTGGGCACAAATAGAATGATTATAAAGACAAATAAAGTAATTTGCAATGCATTAACACCTTTGTAAGTTCATGACCTCTGCTTTTCTCTCAAACCTTTACCAGTAAACAAAACCACTAAATAGATGTTCCAAATGAATAAGATAAAACAGTTTGAAACTTCAGCCAATGACTAAAATGACACATTCTACCAATGGACCTCTGTTGCCTTTAGATGCACCGTGTTTCTGACCAGCTTAATGCAAAACATGTATGGGTGGGGCAGCACATTCAATGACTAGAACATCTCCCTTGTTGTGGTTTTGAATTGACTCTTCCCCTTGTTTGGACGTATTTTTATCAATGTAATTGTTACACGTCTCGTATTTACCGTACTAAATTGTATGCTATATATGAATGCTAATAATAGGCCATGTTTTAGGCAATTTATAATACTGTTTTGCTATGTCAAATTCTGTAGCCGTGCTCCATACAAATACAGCAATGTAATTGAATGGATTGTTTAGTTAATTTGTTGTGCACCGGCATAAAGATAAAATATTCGGCCTCAAATGTTATGTATAACAATAATGTAATGTAATCTATCATTATTGATGTTATCTTTTCATTGTTTGAATTCTATGCCTGGTCTGTGTGCGGGGACTGGCTGAGAAAGTCTGTGGAATCCTCCTTGTTGCGAGGAGCTACTCCCTCCACACGCTCCGAGCGGGTAACCTCACCTCCTGGAGACCGGAAGTGGAAATGTCCCGCACGTGAACCTAGTTTACATTCATTGAGAAACAGGTCTGTGTCGTCCCAGTTGCACTCTCCGGGCCCCTGTTCACTGCTGCTGCTGCTGCTGCTGTTGTGTCTGGAGGGCCGGCTGCAGTCTCTCTGAGCCTGGCTGAGGTTGTGCACAGACAGAGACTTCCCCAGGTCACTTCTCCAGTCTGACGCCCTCTGGTCTGGGCTCGAGGAAAGAAGCATTAAAGGGTTGATTTCCAAACTCATGTGTCTTCTCCAGGCACTGTCACTCTTTAACCCAGACTCTCGCTCAACTCCTTCCTGGGACACTTCGCTGTCCTCTTGATCCTCATCCAAACTAGATCGGACTATTACAGAGGGTCCCAGGTGGCCCTCTCCTGCCTCAAAACAATCACCTGGGGCAGAGTCCGAGGGGCAGTGCAGGTGAGCTGGCTGCAGCATCGGAGGAAGCTGGAGGGTGAAAGGTCCAGAGGAGGGCGGCAAAGGTGGTAAATCAGCAAAGTGGGATCTCTTGGAGCAGACTATCGGTGTTAGCAGTGTGGGGTATGGGCTCTCGGGGGGCAGTAGTGGAGATGGAGACAAGGAGGCCGTAGATGGAGGGTACGAGGGAGGGGCAGAGTCTGGAGGGATGTCATCATCGGCCGGTGGCAGGATGAGTCTCAAGCCCCTGGGGTTTGAACCATGCGAACGCCGGGCTCCATCGCTTCCCTCTCTGCTACCCCCAACTGAGCCATGGTTGTGGGGGTTGTCCAGCTCAAACAGGGGCAAGGAGGACAGCGCCGAGGGGCCTTTCTGTAGGACTTGGCGGTAAATATCTAACAGAGAATCCAGCTTTGACTCAATGGAGCACACCTGGAAATAGCATCAATTACACATTAGTTTGATTAGACATGTGAGTGCTTTTTTGTAAACATCTTTGGACTGACCTGTCTTTCCACCTTACAAACTCGCCCCAGCATGCTCATGCCCTCCATCGAGTCTCCATCGTGGTGAAGTTTTTCTCTCAGTTTTTTGTCTGCAGAAATATGACCTTTTCCCAAGATTTGGTCCACCCTAGATACACATATAAATCATTATTTAAGTTCACTCAGAAAACTGACAAAGGAAATTAATTCAAGACAATTCCAAGCCAGACCAAAAATATTAATGAATATCAAATATACAAATATCAAAATATTAATATTTCTGCAAGGAAATAGGGGCTATGTGTCTTCCATTTTGATGCACCTCCATTGTCACTGCACTCCTCTCATGCAAATATTAAACACAAAAGCCAGTTAGAAGCATTCATTCATTCGATTAACCACATTTGAGCAAAAATATTGTTAATAAAATCTGATCACATAACTATCAAAAAATTAGTGAATTGTGTGTGTGTAACCAACGTTGACATATTTACTATTATTGTTGTTGTAACACTTTTGTTAATTTTGTTTTTTCTCATGCATTCTGTTCATCACATCTTTTGAAATTAAAGTTCATCATTTACAAATGCAAAAAATATTCTTTCTCAAATATAGTTTAATCAAAATAACCCTGAGCGATTTCTCCTGTTGCTGCTGTAATAATTGTGAAGTGCAGGAGCAGACATGTTCTTGGGACGGTTACTGAGGCTGGGACCAGAGCCTGTCGCGCTGGAGACAGGAGAAAGACCATGTCAGACATTCATCAGAAGCTGCAAACACACACGCACCACAGGGCCATGGATCTGTCCCACACACTAAAAAGGAGTTATTCAGACAAGCTCACTCAATTAGGCCAACAGAGTCCCTTGAACTGCCGATGTAGTACTGAGGTTTAGATTACAATGAGGAATAAATAGGCAACAGCAATGCAAAATAATACAAATTTCTATACGGGTTAAATTTTGCACACAATGGGGTACCCAGTATGAATCAAGTGTGTGCATAAGTGATTAGCACCCCTTCACATTGGAGCCAACTGATGTATGCACATGCAGATAACATATAAACTGCTGCTATACTATCCTACTTTGCACCTGCAAGTTTAGCAGCTGGTTTGATAAAAAAAAAACTAAAAAAAATCCTGATGCATATGCACATATTATATACACAAATCATTAGTACAGGGGATTGTGGGTAACATGTGAGTGGACAGGCAGTGGCAGTTATGCCTGACCCTGCTGCTGGGTTCTTCTTCCGGGCTTGGCTGTAATATAAATGCAGAGAAGGAGAGGAAAAGTTCCTACGACTGAAGGGTCGAGGAGGAGGACCAACAACAGTGTCTAATCTGTGAATCAGAGGATGCAAGATGGATAGGTCCAGTAGGATAAAAACATTTGATTAAAAGGTCCTTTTCATGAATTAAATTACAACTCGATGTGTATTCTGACCTTGTCTGAAGACTCTTGATGCGACAGAGCATATCCAAATGTCCTGCTGAGTACTGCTCTATGACATCTTTCACATCATAAGGACGGAGTGTTTCCTTAAACTTCTTCTTTGCAACGTGGAACTTCATGATCCTGCATTAAGAGAAAATGATTACAACTCTCCCAAGATACAGACTGGAGCTGTTCGTCCTTTGTGATTACTCTTAGTGACCACAAGATGGTAGCATTAAATAGCCCAATTCTCACCTCACTGGATTTCTACCTCACTACATTCTTCCTGACATTGATTTTCCAAAGAAAGATTTTCTCAGATACCATACCATAATGGTCAAATGATGAAACCAAAACATGCTTGAATTCAAACAAAAGTGAAATCACATCTATCTAAGTTTCATCTTTGTTAATAATATTGATTCATGAAAGGTGATATGTGCAAGTCGTTCTTTCAGACTCCCCACTGCACTCATATTTTCCCCAAGTTGCCTAATTTTTCTCACTGTCTAAATGGCAACAATAATGACAGATGAGCCACTGTAATAATAGTCCTGGCATGGGAGGGGGTGCTCTTCTTCAACCTGACACCCTGGGAAAACCCGTCAGAGATAGCACAGAAATAAGCCTGCTGGTGGACACAAGATCATTAAGTAAAGACCATAAGGTGACTTACTCATCTAACAGAGCATATAAAAGCTATAGTAGAGATACATTTAGTGGGTAATCGGTAAGTAAGTAAGTAAGTAATGTTTATTTATATAGCTCATAATACAGACCAAGGTCACGCAAACCGGTTTACAATGTTCAGAGTTCAGATATTGTTCCAATCATTCCACACACGGTGATGACGGAAGCAAGTCACCAAAACACACTGGCGCATCAGCCCCCGATCAACAGCATCTATTCACTCTCTCATTTACATTCATACCTATTGTATGCAAGGCATTAGTAAAGTTCATAACATACCATATTTCTATTGTGGCTTATAAGCGACAGCAGAAGTCTGACTTATGAACAAAACACTTATACTGTTTATCCTGTTCTCCAGTCCCATAGGCCCATACTCTAACTGAGCAATCTGTCAGTCAAACAGTGGAGAAAATACTATTTATTTATAATTCTAGAAAAAGATGAAAACAACACAGGAACAGGGTCTGGCAGCAGGTGTCAATATTTGTCTTATATAGCATTACAGGTGCACACAGGGGGAAACCACATGGGGCTGATCCACATGAAGCTGGTTTCCTTAGGGACATATATAGAAAAATATACTACAGGTATATTATTCCTGCTTAATTTCCCTGCTGTTTATCACTGATGTAATAGAGCTGTTTGCATGAAGTAAGTGGATCTTTATGGGAGTTCAGAGCATCATGTATAATTGGAATATCACGACTAATAAATTAGACAAATTCAAGAATAATCCCTCCCAAACCAAACCAGACTAGACCTCACCTCACAGCCCTGATGACGGCCTTGAGAGGAGCAGACAGATCCTCCAGTGTGACATCACAATGGCAGCCTCGCTCATCTAACGAGTCCTCAGTGGTCATGCCAGGGTCTACTGCAAACAGAGACATCTCATCATTTATATACACATTATGATACACTGGATCAGTGTAACCCTCCTTGGAATGGCAGTGAGGTAAAGAGGTTTTATTACTCGCTAAGAAGAAAAATAAAAAAATAAACTTTTCTGGTGATTGTCTCTAAGGACATGGTGACACAGGAAGGAGGAAAAAAGGGATAACACACACACACACACACACACACACACAAAATCACTATCCACAAGCCTTGTTCATTCTTGGGTAGAATTTCCAAATGCTAAATGGTTCAACATTCAACTGTTTTAATAATTTTGCATGACTTTTAAACCTAAAATATCAAGAGGGGCTGGTCTGGTGTTTTGGTCTGTAATGTATACAATCACAAGCTACATAAATACAGTGACAATATAAATACACAGTTCTTTTAAAATTGTATCAAATATTGAATTCATAGACATCGATGAGGAAAACTCAAAATAAAGGAGTAAAGGAATCACTTGGAAGGCAGATTATAATTTGTATAATATGTAGTATACATGAGTGTTGGTATCTTAATTCTTTGAGTGGTCTGGTGAAACTACAAATTTGGAGGAAAGGGCATGGGGGACAGTTTCAAGTTATGGAACTGTTTTGCAGTAAGAGGAACTGATGCACTTCATAAAAATATATGGCACCATGACGAAGGAACAGTATGTGGACACATTGAAGAAGAATCTGCACTGAAGTCAAAGGTTGGGTCTTCTGGTGGATGATAACACCAAACATTTTGCAGAAGTTACAATAGTAACAACTCTTGAATAAATGATGTCAAACCTATAGAAAGATAGGATAAAACAAAAGACGGTATAGAATGAGTGGACTAACTCACTGCTGACGTCAACCATACTGTTTATCTGATGCGGAAGAAGCCGATTGGAGCTAACTCGAACAGGCTCAATACTAGAGCAAAATGACGTAGGTTTGCGACCGCCTAGCAACCAAAAGGCTGATCTGTTTCTGCTCATGCTATTCCTTAGATAAAGCCAAGTTTGAGGACTAAAGGCACCTGATGTTTCAGTTGATAGAACTCATAACATGGTTTAACATTATCCAAACAAAAACATCAGGATTGTGTAAAGTGTTAAATCATTGACTACAAGCCTAAAATGGTGGGAGTGCCACAGAAACAGAACCAGAGGAGTTTACTTTAGTCAAAGTGAGTAGGCGCGACACTTTCCAATAATTTAGGCTTCATTGATCCATAGATGTGTTGCTAAACCTTTTTGAGCCGTGACCATGGACCGTGACACGATCTCTTTCATGGACAACATAAACACCACGAGATGAAACTGATACGAAAATGAAACTCTGCCGACTTTATTGAAAATGCAAAGTCATGCAACTCTTCTATATAGAAAATCAAACAAGCACAGAAAAAAAAATCTGATCATTCAAATTCTGGCATGTATTCGAAATATGTTTAAAGCGAATATCCGGAGTTTCTAGAAAGTCTTGGTTTATGTATTATTCTTTTGAATTGTGAAAAAGGGATTGCGCTGTCTTTTACTATGGTCGAGTGCCATTGGTAATTTGTATACATCGATGTATGTAAGTCCCGCCCTCGGCCTATAGACCCCTATACAAACTGAAAATCGAGGCTCGATCAGCTAGCCAATAGGCTTTTACTTCCTGCAGCGGCGACTGTCAGTCAAGGTCCATGCTCATGCACAAAACCGTGCATGGCCACAAGGACGCGCATCTTCGGCCAGCGAACACAACATCATGGCGGAAAGCTCCGTAAACCCAAAATTGCCAATACCACGATTGCCATCTAAAGCTGCTCCTACATCAAAACAAAAGAAAAGTCCGGGGACAAAGTTGGCAGATAGACGCCTTCGTGACCACCGGAGAATATATCTTGGAGCGGCGTTTCAAAGGTGGAGGGACCTGCGGCTTTTGAAGGGATTTAAAACTGACCCTGAGTTGGCGATGTATCTCTTGGACAGGTAATGAAAACGTTTTAATGCCACTTTTAAACGTGTCGCTAGTGAAAAACAATACCACTGTCTTTCTGCAACAGTAGAATGTGCATAGTGTCAATTAGCATGCATCAAAGCTAACGTTAGCGTACCATTCGCTAGCAATATGTCGGCTCAGCTAGCTGGCACACTTCTACTGTGGACCGAGTCCATGTTTCATTTCAAGTCAAATGAAACTTATTGTTCGTTCTTCAATTGTCACTACATGGATTTATTGGTTTTCACGTAGCAGCTAACAATCACGGTACCCCAAAACACGTTATTACTAGCGCTACTTTTTCTGACATGTTACTTGTACTAGCTTTTTGGCTGCAAACTCCTGCAAGTCAGTGCAACGTTGTGTAGTTAAACGTCATTCTAATGATTATAACGTATCTTCTATGTTTAATTTGTAGCTATCAGAAACGATCAGATTCTTCAACGTCGACACCAAGAAGAAATATTAAAAGAAGTGGGAGCATGAATCTATTGGGTGGGAGTCTACTTCCTTCCCACTCCAATTCGAGCTGACAAATTGTAAAAATTAATTTCTTTGTAAATACATATGGTGAAACTAGGGCAAATAATGTTGCTTGATTGTATTGTAATGTTTATATATTTGCATGTATAAGCACATCATTTTGACCAATGAGGTGATAATTTCCAAGGGCCACCAAACAACATCTCAAGGCACACTGACATGCCAGGGCACACTGCCTGAAAAACTCTGATCTTGAGGGTTAGCATTGCCCGTCTACAAACAGGCTATGAAAATGATGTGTTTACTTTTTAATTAATTTGTGTATCAAGCTCACCATCAGGCACGGGTGTTCGTATCTGGCTCTTGAGGCGCAGTGATGGTCTGAATCGCGTGCGGTCATTGAAGCTCCAGCTCTTTTGGACTTTCGCTGGACTTCCACCCAGCAGCTCTGGCCCGCCCCCCACATCGTTACCGGGGGAACAGCGCTGGCGGTCGTTCATTGACGTCTGGCGGCTCTTCATGCTCTGACCACGTGGACTGGCCATTCGCACGCGCTCCTTAAAACTCAACTTCTGACTGAACAAAACAAGAGGTGAAGCCAGACACGGGGCAGACAGACCAGGTTCAGGAAGGATGAAAAGAAGCAGGTTGATAGAAATTGAAGATGAAAAACACAAGGAGGGGGGGCAAGAGAAAAAAGAGAATGTCAAAACTTATTTCCTCTTAAGAGTGTGAAGAGCAGAGCAGACACAGGGCAGCATTCGGTCTCCCCCTTCAGCCCAAATATATCGTCCATCCATCTGACATGCCACAAACAACCAACATCTGGGCTCTGCCGATGTCATTAAAGGAATAGTTCACCGTTTGTACATACTGACAAATGTTCTTACCTTACCTTAGACTAGTTAATACGTACCTGTCTGGTCTTAGTCCGTGCGCTCTGTCATGCAAACGGAACAAAAACGGGAGCACAACCGCAGCCTCCTCTGTATATTTTGTAGCACCAAAAGGTAGCTCCCGCTAGAAGCTACCAAACTCTTCCAAGTGTTCCCTATTAAATGTATATAGTTACGTGACGTGTTACACTGCAAAGTATAGTAACACAGAAATGTAACAGTCGATTTTCTCAGCGGATAAAACGGGTACTATATTGTGAGGCGTAGTAATCTGAGGGGCGCTACGTCCGCGCACTAACTTCTCTCCGGAGACTTCTCTCTCGCTGCTACTGTGTGTATTACAAGTCACGCTGCTTCTATTGACGGAAGTGAGCGAGAGAGAAGTCTCCGGAGAGAAGTTAGTGCGCGGACGTAGCGCCCCTCAGATTACTACGCCTCACAATATAGTACCCGTTTTATCCGCTGAGAAAATCGACTGTTACATTTCTGTGTTACTATACTTTGCAGTGTAACACGTCACGTAACTATATACATTTAATAGGGAACACTTGGAAGAGTTTGGTAGCTTCTAGCGGGAGCTACCTTTTGGTGCTACAAAATATACAGAGGAGGCTGCGGTTGTGCTCCCGTTTTTGCTCCGTTTGCATGACAGAGCGCACGGACTAAGACCAGACAGGTACGTATTAACTAGTCTAAGGTAAGGTAAGAACATTTGTCAGTATGTAAAAACGGTGAACTATTCCTTTAACAGACGGAAGCCCTAACTAGGATTGCAGCTTTTCCATATTCATGATCCAAAGTACATAAAAATTATATATACAAGTTTAAATGCAAACCTATCTGACATGCATGGAAGCAAACAAGTCTGTGATGCACCAACATTCATGCTGGCTATTGTCCTTTATGGGCTCCTGTAGCGTTGAAGTAGTATATTCTATGTTGCTGTTGTGAGGTTCTTTCCCATTTCTGACTAGTTGGCATATCTCTCTACTGAAAAAATATCTAATTATAATGCCTTTTCAACAATCTAGCCCATGAAATCACAATACATGTGTTTGGATTATACATTTCTGCTTTGTTTTTGCATGAGGGGCAAAAATCTGTGCTTGATGCAGTTTGTACATGCAATGCAAGAGATACCCTTTTTAGTCTTGAGTCTCTAAACTCTAAAATGTGTTATACTGTGGAAGAATTACTGCCAAAAGCACATGCGTTTATTTTGGAGTGCTTTTGCTAGTAGTCACTCTATTTCAACAGCATTGTACAGGCAGCAGGCAGTATCCTCAGAATGAACATAAATGATAACTATATACTGACAATGCCATCTACAGGTTGCAAGGGCAGAAAATATTCTTCGTATGTTTTCTCAGTATACCTTTTGAAGAGTCGCCTATGACTCCTACCCTCACTAGAGTGGAGAGGAACAAGGAGTAAACGTAGTTAGGAAAAGACTTATGATGAGAGAAAGCCATTCATTGATAGAAAGTTGTTTTTTTCCTATTGTGAATCTAACTAAGTAATGTCAATGTGTGTGGATGTTTGTAGCCCCGTAGCACACTATAAAGCAGTGTTTCCCAACTGGGGGTTCACGGACCCCTAGGGGTACACAGGGGAATTTCATTTATTAAAAATAACTTGCTAGTAAGACCACAAAGCACTTTAAGGTATCAAAGTGCTTTGTTCTTTGATTTGATCCTGACCTTTTCCTCCACCCACTGCAGCAGCCTCTCTGATTCCTCTTAAATGAATGGATAGTGAGAGTGCTATATCATACATACTTTTAAAGCTAATTTATATTATGTTTTTATTTTTATATTTATAAACTGAAACATAGAATTCATCTAAAACTACTAGCATGGACTCAAGTTGAATAAAATAAATTAAAATACCTTCACAGTATAAAAAATACTTGCCACAAAGAAAAGAATGGTGACCTTGGTATAACAGCAAAGCCTAAAACATGTGAACAAATGTGTGGCCTGAATGATAAAATGTTTGTTTGTTTTTTTACACCAGAACTCCCAGAGAAGACAGATTTAGTTTTGGAAGTGTAATTACTCATCTCATGTATAATCTTCATAACGTTGTGACCTTTGCTGTATCTGTATGTAGTTTATTTTTATGCCATTACTTTTTCTATGAATGTATTGTTTGCTTTTGAAATGAGAGTAGTTCTTTCTTTAGAACTATCTTTGTTAGAAATACAGCCTCTTTTTTGTGTGCTGTATTTCATTTATACTCACCAATGTTTACACTTAGAAAAGGCAAGTGAAGGTAAAAACGTCATGAACTATTATCTTAAAATTAATCTGGTGAAAAACTAAACCTTCTTTGGGGGAATTTCTCAGAATTCCATTGGTTTGAATGGGAGCAGTCCAAAAGTCGGCACTGGGAGTCCTAGTGTTAAAAACATGCAGCTGGTGAAGGGGTACACTGGGCAAAAAGCATCTTGGGAAGCAAACAGCGTCTTTCTAACAGTCGACAGCCGTCTTTTACAACTGACATGGTACATAATGCACCTGCCCAGGAGTACAGACGTCTCATTAAAAGCCTATTATCTCTACGCAGAAGTCCTCAGAAGGTGCCGCACTTGCTCTCAGCGTGATACACTCTGCCGCGTGCCTAAAGTTTACTACGGCTGGTGTTTACAAGTCTGCTTACATGAAAACCACTCAAGTTTATCCCGTTACCTACCACCGCCATGCGCCACGCGAGAGTCAGTAAAGCCACTAATAATATACACCACTTTTTCTTCCCATCTCGGAGAAAGAAATACCATAAGAAGTGTGCGTATAATTACAACTAGAGATAATTTGTTCCTGCTACTCTCTTACAAAGGTAATTAAAGGAATGTTTTTGTTTGGGGATGAGCATAACATTTGTTGATATGTTTAGGGCTATTTTCTTTCATTTGCGGCAGCATGAGGACCCCAATTGTTACTATGGCTTTCTGCACCATAAAAAGTATACAAGCATAATTAACGCTCACAAATCCTTTTCTGTCTTCTCAAATCGTCTATCTCCTTTCTCCTCCTCTTTTTAAACTTGGCTCTGAATCTTCCAGACATGTTTGATGAGTTATATAAATAACATCACAATGGAAAAAGTGTGTCATGGTAGAGACATGGTACAGGCTTCAGACTTTGAAGGAGTGCATACATTTTTATAGTCTTTGCTGTGGTCGTATAAGTGTTGAGAGGAAAGTAAAATAAAAGGAGAATAGTATATTGGCCGTATTTCAGAGCGGAATTATATTTACAAGTGTGAGTACTTTCGGTTCTGCTGTAGTCCTACAAGCGCTTTCAAATGATGTGTTTGTCCATCACATCTGAACCATCACCTATTCACAGGTGAAACTCTGAAAATTACAATATCCTTTATTTTAGTAATTCACCTTAAAATGTGAAACCAATAAAAGATATAGACTCATTGCATACAAAGTAGCAAATGCAAAGTCTAAGTTATAATTTTTATGAGTATGGCTTACAATACATTTTAAAATATTCTAATTATCTGAGATGTTTTATTTGGGTTTTTTATTTAAAAAAATGAAATTATATTTGTTTTATTTAAACCATATTCAACCAGGTCCCATTGAGATTAAGAACCTCTTTTTCAAGAGGACTCCTGGACAAGAGAGAGCAAAAGACAAGCAGTGAGACAAAATTATCAATAACAAAGGCTTGACATATTTCACTTTACATGGAATGAGTCTGTCATATATGAATTTCACTTTGTAAGTTGAGAAGTAAATGGACTTTCAAACAATATTCTATTTTTTTACAGTTTCACCCGTATTTAATGCAGTAGTAGCTATTACAGGCAGTACACATGGGCATTGTTCACTCTATTAAGTTCTACGTCATTATATGCCAGCTGTTCAATATAAATAAGGAGATCAGATTGATGGCTGTCACACCACCCACATAATGAAATATGAAGAGTTTCTTAAGAATATATCTATGTAATGTGTCAGCATGTCAAGAATAAATATAACAGAGAGGGCTGAGTCATACAAACCTGTAGGTAGTCTCACCCTGCTCTTTCCTGGTTAGTGGGATGAAAAGGAAGCAAACAAAGGAGATAAATCAATGTCAGGGCAAATCTACATAAGCAGCTCAACCAATGATTCAACTACAGGACAATGTCAGGCCTCAGTCCAAAAGAATAGTGTGTGTGTCCAAAGAGAGCATCCACTGTCAAATACACGCAAGCCATGGACATGCACGGTCTTTCTTGTAAACAAGAGCAGGAAAAGAACGGAAAGCGCATTGCGACAAAACTGGAAAATGACTTTAGAAAAATTTAACGCCCACATCAGATGGAGAATTGAAAAGAAAACTGACCAGTAAGAATTGGCTTTGAGAGTCAAGTAGGTTGTTAACGGACACACTATACACATCTGTCATAATTGTGCAACACCGAATAGATTTTTAGCATCTCCAAACGGATGCAGTATTTTCAAAATGCTGCACCTCGAGTCCTGACTAGAACCAGGAAGTATGACCACATTAGTCCAGTTCAAAGGTCTCTGCACTGGCTTCCTGTGGCTCAGAGAATAGACTTTGAAGTTGCTTTGATTGTGTACAAATCTGGGACAGTCTTGATGTACGGAAGGCCTCATCTCTATCATCTAATCTGAAAACCGTTCATTTTAGCTGAGCGTATATGACTGAGCTATATAGAGTGAGTTTTTAAACAGTTTTTGTTTTCTGCATTATTTCTTTACCTTTCATGTTTTATCATGTTTGTAAATGTGTATGATTTTATGTATTTGTAAAACACTTTGGGTTGCACTACATAAATTGTGCTTTATAAACAAACTAGATTGATTGAATAAAACGTATTTAGTCGTAAATTGTCACTTTATGGATTTTCTAATCTAAAGTGAATCCTGAAATATGAATTACCTTTACAATCCACCATCTGACCAAAAAACGTTTAATCCCTTAGTTTAAATGTTCATGCTTGATTGCAAAAACTGATGCTCTGCTTGCATGCCCAAAAAACCCTGTCTGCAAGAGAAAAACATAGACAAGCATATGGTCAACAGAAGACAACCATGAAGATAAAAAGATGCTGGCAAGAGGAGGAGAAGCTGCAGCAGCCATGTTGGGACAGTCGCTAAGTTGTTACCTACTTGATTGGGCTGCAGGTATGCAATGCCTTCAAATGAGGCTTCCAGGTAGCAATGGAAACCGAGTTCTCATCAGCAGCATAACTACGCCAGACACACTACATGCAGAGTCACAGGGATAAATATCACAATTATTAGGGGAAAGTGCAAAGGACGGCATGTATTCGATTGGGGGATAGAAGGAAGGTTAGAAGAGAAGGGTTATTGGTTAACAGATGCATGATGGGTAGGGGTTTTGGGGACTGCAGGTGATGCTGGTGGTGGGTGAGGGATACATGCCTGAAGGGAGAGAGGGCGCTTTGGTAGTGTTGCCATGTGGCCCTGAGGTAAGGCCGAGCGCCGTCAGTGGAGTACAGACGCCAAGCCGCCTGGGAGACAGAGGAGGTCACAGACGCATGGCACAGACACACGTGGGGATGACACAAACACGGTGAGGAAATGTGACATGTGGACCACATTAACAGGCAACAAATGGAAGTTCCCCAGATAAAAATAGGAACTAATTATGGTAACATTAAGATCTAAAATAGCAGCTTGGTATCTTGGGTGGGATTGCTATGTCCAGAAGCCGTCTTACTCATGTGTCACATAGAAGGGGAATAAGCACATGCAGTTGTTTCACTGATGATTCATAGGTATAGTTTTACATGGACACTTGCAGCACTTTTATCACAGCAGTTCAATGTATCAGGTGTTTTCAAGTCAAAAAGGGGTCAGTCTTTTACTCTTCTATTTAAAACTCAATATTTATTGAGTTATTTAACTTTTCATTTCCAACTTTTATTGGAAATCAAAATATATGGACTCAAACTCTGCAGGATGCCTGGAGGGAATCTGCTGCAGACAAATCATCATGAACATGCCACTCGAACCCAAACACCATGTGTGACTTTTCATTTGCCGTGGTAAAAATAATGACACTTTTAGCATGTCTACTGTCCAGTATACATGCTATTTTAACCTTAGGGGTTACTCTGGTACAATGCAATTCTGTTCTATGGTCCCCTTTTCAATAAATTAAATTAACTCATTGACTGCCATTGACGTATTTGTCTGAGACTGGTGATTTCTGTCAAACTTCTCTCTATTCGACGGAGGATTACAGGAGAACCAAACTAGCAAGAAACAAACTAATTTTTGCTGATGGAAGTAGACAATTCAGTCTTTCAGAATCTGGTTTCAAATGTTACATAGTCATAGCACACAATATTCTGTGGGCCTTGAAAATCAGTGAAATCATCAAAAACGGCTGGCAGTCAATGAGTTAATAAAAATAAATATGGTCAGAAATCTGCCTTGGCTCTATCATTATGGTGTGTGAGTGCGACTGTAGTCTGTGAGTTGTTTGGGTGAATGGTTTAATTGAACTGTAAAACACTACATTTGTATGACAAGCTCTTTATAAATAAAGTTTTCATTGACTGATTGATCAATTATCATTCCTCATTAGTGATGGTATGTTGTTTGCTGTAAAGCTATACAGTCACACCCATGAACTCATAAACAAATAAAATAACCAATTCAGGAATAACAGTAGAATTTCCAAAATAATGTAGATTATAGGTTGATCCAATATTTCTCGTGATTAGATCCTTTTAGTGTTTCGATTTGGATTTTATTGATTTATTATTTTAAGTACAAAGTATATAACAATTCTTAAATGTGGCTCTTTTATCAAGTGGAAATTGTACAAAAAAGCCAAAAAAGCCAAAGCTGACGATCTGAATCTTGATTGTAATTCATCTATAGCTCATCCCTGTATGAGCGCAACACAGTTTCATAAGCTGGAAGTAGGACAAACACCTTTATTTGGCTCTTGTTTAAAGTGTGAACGTGTGTGCACACCTGGATCAGACTAGCAGCTGGGTTCCTCCTCTTCTCAAAATGCTTCTGTCGATGCTGCTCCTGCACCTTCAGGGCAAAACCTGAGCCAAGTATGCCCTGCGGAGCAAATACACGCAATCTCACTCAAACTCTCACCTCAAAGAAATAAATAAATCCCCAAAAGATGCTGCCTCCTCACACCTACAAATCTATTCGTCTAAAAGCCTTTTAACATAAAGGTCCAATAAAAGTGCTGTGAACTAAACACCAAAACAGACAAAGTAATCCCCATTCACAAAAACACCAACCTCGGGGCAATACCAGGACTGACTGACCATATGGGCTTATCAGAAGATAAGCAGGTCAGAGCTGGGTTTGTACCGGGATGGAATACCAGGTGAGTGAAGTTGAGTGTTCAATTCAATTCAATTCAATGTATTCTTGTATAGCCCTAAATCACAACAGTAGTTATCTCAGTGGACTTGAACTTTTGAAATCACCAACACATTTGATCAGAGAATCAAACTGTTCCATCACAAAATAGAACACAAAGATATTGGTCCATAAGGGGAGTTGACCAATGTCCATGAATGTTGATAGATGTCCATAAATGTTGTAGAATGTTAGAATGTCCTGGATCATCAAACATACGTACGTACTGTATATGCGTGCGTATGTGTGAAGGATTGTGTTAGGGACAGATGCGAGACAGAAGTATCTATCGAAGGTAATAACATTCTAATGTATGGCTATGGAGAGAACAGTAAAGAGTATCTATAAAAAGCACAATAATGTTGCACAATTATTAATATTCACAAACCTGGTACTTCCAGGAGTCCAGGGAATCTGTTCTATCTGTATTAAAATGCTCAATGCGTCTGGACAGACTGATATGGAGAATGTGACTTACAGCCGGCAGCGCGAAGAAAGAGATCCCCAACAATGCGAAACCGGCGGATAACAGTCGGCCAGTCCAGGTCTGGGGGGTCTTATCGCCATAACCAATGGTTGTCAACGTGATCTAAAGGGGTGGGAGTAAACAAATGATTAAATTATATTGTTGCTTCTTTCAAAATACATTTTGATAAAATAACCATATCATTAAAAAACACCTTAAACTGTATTAACTATTGTATAAATCTATTTCAACAGTTCTTTGCATCACTGCATGTTTGTTTTTGAGAATGGACATGACTGCGTTTCTTGTTTGTATTTTGTCTAGTTTCACGTTTTTTGTGGAACAATGGGTCCCATGAGGAAAAGGAAAGCAATGACAAGATAAATAAAGTAGAAAAAAGATACATGCAGTTTATAGTTTATAGAAACAGTAGTACTAAACAAATTGACATAAAAATGGTAATTCTTTATGTGCTTTAAGTAGAAGTTACTATTTCTTACATGTCGAGGCAATGTTAAAATTCAGTCTATTGATGTTAATGTTGATTAAACATTTAGCCAGTATTATAGCACCAGGCATTATGTAAACTCAACTTGAAAGTTCTAATTCAATGTGTTTAATTTTTGGAAATCACATTTTACAAATCGGAACAGGGCGTTGGAGACACACCCACAGGTCAAGAGAAAGTCTAAACAAGTGAGTGGTAAGTTTACTCTGTGACATGAACAGCTCTGAGCTTCATATAAATATAAATAGAATGAATGAGTTTCTCCTGTTGGTGTGGGCTCACCGTTCCCCACCACAGTGCATCAGCATATGTGGCAAACTCTTTGTTAAACTCCTTTTCCACCAAATACACCAAAAACGAGGAGAAAATCAGCACCAGAAATCCAATGTACCACGCTGTCACCAACTCCTGCACAGACACACACAATGTTTGTTATTGAAAGCGATTCAGCAGAACATTTCTATCTTTTATGTGGGAAAAAAAGAAACAATAATATTGCCGAGAGGATGAGTGAATACAAGTTATGAGTCATGTGTGAACTGAAGACACAGCCAGCAAAGGAATGTGTTACCTTTTAGAAGATTAGATATAAAGTAATATCGCCTTTTTTGCCTTAATGGCATGTTATACCTCATTTCAAAACAACCAAATATTTTGCTATAAGATTACTAATACTTCATCAACAAATGTATCTGTAAATAATAATAATAATAATGCATTGATTTTATATAGTGCTTTTCAGGACACTCAAAGGTGCTTCACATTCTCATCAACATTCATCAAGGCATTTTGTTGTTTATGCCCTATGCCGCTCAAATGAACTCCCCCTGGTGGGATAAATGAATAAAGTAGTCTGAATCTGAATCTGAATCTAAATCTCTAAATAAATCATCGTCACCAGGGGAAGTGATGTCCCCCAAACCTGCAGTCTTACCTTGCTATGTGCGTAGACTACAGAGCCCAGGAGCTTCCAGGTGCCGCCCCTCCGGTCCATGCGCACCATTCGGAGGATCTGCAGGAACCGGAGGCTGCGCAGCGCTGATGTGGCAAAGATATTTCCCTGGCTACCTGCTGAAACCACTGCCACGGAAGCGATAAGGACAATGATGTCTGGAAAACACACACCGGTTCACTCAAAAGACCTGTGTTGTTCTGCTTTATTGAGAAAAGTAAATGGATGAGATTGTGCTGGACCTATGTTTGAGCCCATCTATCACTTTTAAAAGACATTGATTCACACAGAGCTGCTTGTTGCCTTTTCCATCTCAATACGTCACTCTCAAAAATTTCACCTTTGCCCACCTCACCTGCCACAGCTCTGTTCTCCCTGTCAGGTGAAAAATTAAATTGGACAGACACTAATCCAGAGAGCTTTTGAGCTTTCTGATGCTTACAATAACAGAAAAGGTTATGTTGACTTTCACACGAAATAAGTAAGCAAGTAAGTACGCAATGATTATTTATATACCGTCTTTCACAGACCAGAGTCACAAAGCAGTTTATAATTGTGGGCATTTGTCTCTCACTCCACACAGAGATGGGAGTGAGGTCGCCAGTACAGGAGGCGCATGAAAGACCTCTTGTAAATAAGTAAAATATACTTGAACCACTTGTGCCCAACTTTAATGATTAGATAAATTGAGGTACTCGATGCCAGTGTCCATCAGTTCGTAATGAAGATTGCCTTTTTTAGAATGATCTACGGTATGGTATAAACTCCTCCATCTTTCTATGGATTGCTATTGCTTTTTTTTTAGCAACATGCAGTACCATTATCCCTCCCACTCAAAACCACAGTGCGTTGTGAAGATTAAGGAATCTGCGCTCATCTCCCCTTGTTGTCGGTCCATTGTGTTTTTGTCCCTGTTTTGTCTTGATTTGAGTTTGGAGTTCTGTAACCCTGGATTTGTTTTAGTTTTTTTTTGTGTGTGTATTAAATCTTATATTTTTGGCAGTCTTGTATTTTAGGTCTTATCTCCTTTTCGAAACGTGACAATGGACTTCTCATGGCTGCCTTCAGAAAAGATGTGAATCTCTTTCTTTGCAAGAGTTGTACCGTTTTTCTCTGCTGAAAATCAAGGTATTTTCGCTTCAAAAGTCAAATCACTGTCATCTTTGGGTTCTTGGATAAATATGACTTCAGTGTAACCCTGGAGCTCTCTTTAGTTTTAGTTTCCAGACACAAGCGTCATGTCTCCAAGTCATTTTAGCCTTTGAAGATTTAGATGTTAGTGACAATGAGACATGCATCAGTTATGAACGTCATCATTCTTTCTAAGCTTTATTGTGTTGAGGTGTTAGGGAAGATACATTTGAGACCTGAGCTGATGAACTGTTGAGGGCAGAATGTCATCATCCGTCCCACTGAGATGGAATCTGGAATTATTCTCTGTTGTTTGTGAGCAGCCAATCAGGAGTCCTAATTTATCTATGACAGTACCAACTACTTACTTATAGCTGATTCTAGAACGTGTGAGCCCTCTTATAATCATAACTATGACTATTATATGGAAAGTAGCATTAGTATTAGTATCATCACTATCAGTATAAAAGTGTACCTATGACACAGAATGGCTTGCGGGCGAAGCGAAGGCGTCCCTGCCAGCCTCTGTAGCGACAGCAGCAGCCTGCGCTCCATATTCTGATGATGTACTCCAGACCAAACACCACAATCATCACAAACTCCTGCACATAAGATTAACACAACACTTATTACGTATTTCAAAACACATCCATGTTGTGTATGTTACCAGAAGTTTACTGCACTTTCATCTGTAACTGTGTGACATAGTAATCACAGGTGAATATTTATGAAACAAAAATAATATATGCTATTCAAGTAAAGTTTAAAATGTATGTCATAATAAAAGTTATATAGGATATAAGTTAACTTGTATTTTCCAAAAGTATGTGGGTTTCCTTTGATCTGGGTCTCGGGTGATTATGTCAAACATCTTACATGAGCTGAATATATGTTTAATGAGAGTGTACCAGAATGAGCAGGCAGTGAGAGGAGAACTCCTGATGAGCCGGAATAGTGGAAAACACCGACAGCACCAGGCATCCGAACACCAGGATGAACCTGCGGACACATTAAGGCCTCTAAGAAACGAGTGATTACAACAGCTATAATGACTGAAAATGTGACCACATAAAACCTCACTGATTTATACTCTTACAATCAATAACACAAGCTCACAGCAGCAGAAGATTTTATTATTGATTTGACCATATTATTATGTCCAATTATGTTTTGATTGATAAAACTAAAACATGAAATGTTTGATTATTTCTGGTAAAAATCTTACCTTTTTAGCTGAGCGACCAAAGCTTTAGCTGAGCGACCAAAGTCTTACACCCTGCATTTCTACTTTTTTTTTCACTGTGAATATGTGTTATTTGTTTGAAACGAGATCATCACATTCACAATCTAATCTTTTGTTTATTAACATTTGAAGAAATCCAATACATTAAACGTTCTTACTATTAAGTCCAACTGAGATTTGTCTGAGAGTCGGATACAACCACCAAAAGAGCCACATCTGGCTCCTGAGCCATAGGTTCCCGGCCTCTGCTTTAACCCATTAGTTCTCCACTGTAACAGTAGAGATATACAGTTGATCATGCTTATTCTAAGAGAAACAGTCAAGTTGATGAGTGAAGTCAAGTAATGAATAAGATTGATGATTCTTTATGATCATTGTGTGAGTAACACATTTTTACTGTCTCCTGTCATTCTGTAATATCTCTCTGCACTTGTTGTATTAGATTACACTTCTATGGCTGCATTGGTTACAATTTGCATAAACTTCTTAGGAATATGAAATCAATTTTTTTTGTGTGGCACAATGGCTATTCCATGGATAAGATAAACCTTTAGAATGAATAATGAAGGCAATCCATCTTAGGTAATGTAATATGTTTTATGAAAACTCCTATATTCTCTTTGGGGATGAGGCTCATTGGGCCTCATTCACGAATAACTTCGTAAGAAACTACTCAACTTTCTTCTCAAGTTGTCCTTAAGTAGATTTCTAAGAAGTCCCCACGTGGGATTCATCAACGCACTCGTAAGCCGCTGAATTGTTCGCAGCTGTTCTCTCAGATTGATGAATCCCATTTCCTCGTAAGTACAGCGCGCGTGCCAGGTGCTTCATTAGCATAGGTACTTAGCATAAGTAACCGCCCACTAATGCCCATATAAGGGACTGCAGGGCCGTGTGCAGACGGCAGAGGAAACAGCAACAGGCCTTTACACGAGCAAAAGAGTCACCCTTTTTTCTTCTTTTACCAGACTGAGAATAAAGTTATAAAATGTTGACTTAAAAGTCGAAATATTATGATAATAAAGTTGAACTAGCAAAATTATGAGATTAATCTAAGAATATGATGAGATTAATCTCAAAATGTTATGAGCTTAATTTAAAAAGATATTATGTATTATTTTAAAGATGAATCTCAAAATGTTTTGAGATTAATCTCAAAATATTTTGGACCCTGGGAGGAGATCCAGCGCGGACCAGCGCTGAGACCAATGCAGACCCGAGGAGAGACTGGAGTGACCAGCACACAGAAACCAGCGCGGACAGGAGAGACCGCATAGACTGGAGAGACCGGTGCGCAGAGACCAGCGCGGACCTATAGGAGAGACCGCATAGACTGTAGTGACCTGATTGGAGAGACCGGTGCGCAGAGACCAGCGCGGACCGAAGAGAGACCGCATAGACCAGACTTGAGAGACCAGCGCGGACCCGTATGGATCCAGGAGCATGCAGCACGGACCCGTATGGAGAGACCAGTGCAGACCCGTATAGATCCATGGGAGAGACCAGCGCAGACCCGTATAGATCCATGGGAGAGACCAGTGCAGACCAGTGCAGACCCGTCTAGATCCATGGGAGAGACCAGTGCAGACCCGTATAGATCCATGGAGAGAGACCAGACCCGTATAGATCCATAGGAGAGACCAGCGCAGAGACTCAGCGCGGACCCAGTAACCTCCTGCAGCAGCAGTATATATGCCGTTGTTCTGTGGCCCGTGGATAAAGAAATGCCCCCTATAAATAGGAAGGGGTCACTAATACACGGCAAGATTTCCAATGTATTTGATAAAGCGTTGGCACATTTCATTTCAAAATGAATTAAAAAGTAGGCCAGATCTGCAGTGAAAAAGGCGGTATATAAATAAAGATTACTAATAAAGATTACTACAAATAAATAAATACATACATCGATATGACGGACATATCACTGGAATGTTGTATTTTTATTCAACTTCACCAAAGAGGACAACCCCAGCGTGTGAACATGTCGGCACTGAATGCGTACGAGTGCTCCTGAGGACTCGTAGGATTTGTACTTGCCCAAGAGAAATTCTGGTTACGAGAAATATTTGTGAATGCCACTTTCTTCGTAAAAACCACGTAAGTAGGATTTACGTACAAATCTGTTCCTAAGAACCGTTCGTGAATGAGGCCCATTGTCTTTGCCTGCCCTTCAGCTGTGACGTCACACATTGTCGGTGCCTGAACCAGAACCAGGTGGAAGACTGTGCCATATCTAGTGTGTGGCAAAGACAAAGCACCTCTCACTTGTTTTATATAAAACTGAAAAAAAATTCTGAGCTCCAGCCAAAAAACATGTACATCCAGTGCAGTAATGTATTCAAGTCCACATTAGTCTGGTTCAGTCGATAACGGCCATGGAAAGAGTTATCAAAAAAAGATTAGGAGCATGGATACTTCTTACATTAACAAGAGTCTAGGCATCTATAAAGCAAGGCACTGTGTGTCCCAGTGTGTTTGTCCAGCACAATAAATGTGGCCGCATCGACATAAAAAGTACTTTTACATCCATGACAGAGGGTTCGACTGCCATAATAATAAGCCATAAAATTTTGAACACCCGTAATAAAACTAATATTCCACATTATTCATATCCAGCTCTTTGTGCTGTGTCTGTTTATATGTGTAACCATGTTGTTTGCTTATCTTTCCTTTTTCTTGAAATAAGTTTTAAGTTTCTTGATATCTCATTGCCCACAAATGCAAATTCTACAGGAATGCATACGTCCTACAGGCACTGCACTAGTATCACCTAATTCAGAATTGGATGCAAAAAACTTGTTCATGTTATGCTATCTTTTACTAATGTCACACTGTCAAAAATACAAGTAGGCATAGTCTTGAGAGAACACAGCCCTACATGCACTACATATACTGTTGGTGAAGGAGGCAACATTTTTGCCTCTTTGAAGACATGTCCAGAAAATGACAGAACGGAGCAAAATTGTACATCCACACTCTCTGAACAATGAGTGAAATCATACTGTTTTGGAAAATATTCCGACTTCAAAAGAAACAACATCTCCTATAATGCAGCATGTTTTGGCATCTGAAAGTGTGGAGATGTGTGTGTTCTCTAAATGTGTTTGACAGATTTGGCACGTTAGGGGTCAGACTTTTCCACAAAGAGCACCATGGTGTCATTAACCATTTTCTTTTTGAATCTCAAGCCAACTGCGCTGCAACTTTCAATCAGGAGGAAGCGGGGAGGGACGAGGAAACAGCAGAGAGAAGAGGGAGCCCAATTTGGAAAAGAGTGTCAGCAGAATCATGCCTCACGATGGCCCAAATACTGAGAAAACTACTTCACATGAGATCAGGCAAACACAAGTGCAGGAAGGAAAGTAATATAGATCTACAGTTGTATGTATACACTGCTTAAAGCAGAGACAGTGAGGCACTGTTTAAAACGTTAATGAGATGCCGATAAGCTGTAACGGAGCCAGCTCAGGTGTGCAGTAGTGCAAGGATTCAGGTATTGCTGGTGGGATAATCCAGGAAAAACCATGGAATTTTTAAAACATTGGATTCAGTATTGCATTTATGTCCATTGACAACTCATCCAAAACATACTCTCACCAAAACATATGTTTCTAACTATGTGAAATAAACATGTTTGCAAATTAATTTATGATAATTAGATCGCATAATATGTTATCTCATTAAATGAAATAAAAAGCAAAATTTTCTCCACTTAGTGGCTGGGGGCTCCCTTAGAGATAGGGCGAGTAGCTCAATCAGACCATAGGAGCTCGGAGTAGAGCCGCTGCTTCTCAACTTTGAGAAGAGCCAGTAAAGGTGGCTCGGGCATCTGTTTCAGGTGAGGTGATTCCAAGCACATCCCACTGGGAGGAGACCCCGGGGACGACCATGCTTGAAGGACTATGTCTCTTAGCTGGCCTGGGATTCTCCAACAGGAGAGAAACAATATAACCATTGAGTAGGCAATGACCTGGCTAAGTTCTGGTTTATATTGCATCTGATGTCTTCAGATCACTAAAAGACAAAAGGCAATGCAAAAAAAACAACAACAAAAAACAGAAATTGAAAGACTCTGGGTGTAACAGGAGAACCTTCACAGTCATCTGTGTTTATGCATCCGCAAACATTATCTCACCTGTTTTATTTCTAGGCAACTACCTGGTCCTGCACCAAACAGAGCCAGGCCAAGGACATAAGGAGGCCCGCACCACACCGCTGCACACTTCAGGCTGAAGAAGAAGCAGCTGTACTCGAGATAAATAAGAACAGAGATTATACAGCCAGGATTGCATGTGTTTATTTTACAGTTTAAAGTGTGGCTTAAAATGGTCAATGTATCGGCAGATTGTGGGCCGGTCAATAAAAAGGTACTGACCTCCAGCCATAATTTTCCAAGAGGTTGCTCTAAAGAACTTCTATGTAGACATTTACAAAGGCACTTTGAACAAGTAGTTAATAAATCATATTGGGAATGGTGTTTCAAACTAAAGATAAACTTCATAGTGAAATTGCTCGTCTGCATTTGACCCAACGGGACAAATCTCCAGAAGTCGAGACATGTTGTGCATGTTTTTGTGTGGTGGGACCAAACCCACCCAAGCATAGGGAGAATCTCCAGTCCAAACATTTACATTAAGATTTCACAGAATGTATCACAAGTATTCAATTCTAATTGAATTGAAAATTCAATCACACAGTATCTCTTGAACATGTAAATTCCAATTTTAATTGTACATAAAATACCCTTATTGCACAAAAGATCTTTTGTCTTTTCATTTGGACATGTCCTATCTTTTTTTTGAGTGATCCTATTTATGCCAAATGTGAAACTTGTCCATCCTGAGATCAAAAAAGTGTTATTATCTTATCTTATTAGTTCTCCCGATGAAATATAACATTTCATCATCATTTAATAATGATGCAAAATATTCAGTCCTAAAAAGGACAGGAGCAGCAGTCCAGGCGATGCCTCTTCTGCCAGTGTCAGGAAGCAGTGTGACAGCTACTCGTCTAACAAGCACAAACTGACACAAACCTGTGCATCACAATCTCTCAACTCTGCTATGACACGTGCCTTCTCCACTAGTTTTAATTACAACTTTGGAAACAGCCGCTCGCCTTCATCTTTAGTGCCCTTTTGTGACTGCAGACAGATAGTAAAATTTGAAAGAGCAAAGCAGGAAAGAACCGGACCTGAGCCAATTTTCCATGATGCTGAGGTGGGATAGTGATGGAGACTTGGAAAGCGTGTCTCAGTGGTGAATGTGGCTCGTTGCTAACAAGACACAGGCCAATATCCTGTTGAACAAAGCCAACAGCTAACAGGGTTCATAAAGCATCCTTCAACCTAAATCACTCCGACTTGCAAAAGTCTTTTCCATCACACCGGGCTTGTCTCATACAAGAAACATCGAGGGAGTTGAGTTAGCAGAGCTGTGCACATGACAAGAAGGAAACTAGAGTGGTTAAATGCCATTGCTGGAAATTCAAAACAATCAAATGTATAAACTAATCTTACTTTCTCACACTAATCATCTTTGTGATAGTAAGAAAAGGTCAATGATTTGGTTGAGGCATTTCATTTCAATTCAATTCAATTCAATTTAATTTTGGATAGCCCTAAATCACAACAGTAGTAATCTTGGAGGAATTTGCTAACGCAGATCAGGGAATTAAAAAGTTCAAAAACAAGACTTAATCTATCATTTAGTCAGCAAGCATGGAAACATCAAGACTTTTTAAAAGGGCTGGGCAATAAGTAAGTAATGCAAGTAAGTAATGTTTACTTATCTAAACAATGCGATGATAAAAATCACCCAGAGCCATTGGTCCCTAAGGGGCAGATGACCAATGTCCATAAATGATGTTGAACATCGAGTGTCTTGGATCATCACCATCGTCCTTGGACCCTAAAAACCCAGTGGGGGAAAAGTGAGAAACCTCAGGGAGGCCCACACCGAGGGAGGGATCCGCTCCCACGGACGGACGGGTTATAGATCCAGGATGTGTAAATATGGATATTGGTTTTAGATGCTGCCTGAATTTTTCATTATACTTTAAAACTTTTTAATATTTCTATCATGTGATATTCATTTGAAAATATTTTGAGTTCAGTCTGCATACCACTTTTGTAATCCCTTAGTAGTGGTTTTATCTCCCATAGCATGTTCAAAAAGCGATATAATTACTGGACACGTGTGATCTATACTCAAAGCTTAGCCAGCGAAACTGAAGGTCCATGATACCTCTGGGTTCATTCAGCCAACAAGATTAATGACACAATCTGCCCATGGTTCATCATTCCCTAGATACACAGAAAAAGTGAAAAAGAACACTGTAATCATGTCTTCTATTCAGTTCATGCAACATTTTCAGCAATAATAATTAAATAAAAAAATTTACAATCCACCAACATACTGCCATGGCATGCTTTCAAACTAATCTAGTACGTCATAACATCACAGACGTAAATGAATAGGTTTAGAGAATAAATGTCTGGATTATTGAGTTGATATTTGTGCTTTTTCAAGTAAAATGGATTCAGGATTGTCGCCATAGTGATATGTTGTGGTAACTTTACATATTCACTCATTCAGAAAGTTTGGCTTCAAATTCAGATGATTTTCTATTTGCAGTTAAAAACCACATTAGAATATTTGTACAGAACAGACAACAAAAAACTAAAGACAGAAAGCACATAGGAAAACAACAGATAATGCGAAAGAAGATTTAAAAACAAGCACACACTAGTCGCAATAAAGTGCTAGATCATCCTGCCAAACTTTATTTCATAAAGATAATCACATTGAAGGAGTAGGAGTTTGTACACTGAGTTGGGATGAAATATGATGACTATTCAAAACAAAATATTGTATTCTCTGAATTGGAAAAAATTAAAGACGACAAAAATATATAGAGATATACAAGATTTGAAGCAAGGTTTATATCTGACTACTGTAAATAAATTCAAATATGCACCGTTTGACCCAACTATAACATTTTTGTAAGTGTTTGAGAAAGCTTTTTAAAGATATCTGAAAACATATCAGCAAAAAAGACCCCAGCAGTGAACAGAGGGTCAGCGGTGTGGGCCATGGGTCTTGTGTGGTCAGCTCATTAGGTAACAGATGGTTCCAGAAGCAGAGGAGACTCAGCTTTTATGAGGGAGTTTTTAGATTGGATAAAGTGCAAGACAGGTCAAACTACTACTTTTGCCAAATTCATCTAGTTT